CTTATTGAAATGAATATAAGAATAATGTTGTTGTTGCATGATTAGTAGTTGTTTATCAAATAAATTTCCCAGATAGGCATGCCAATGATTATCATTATCAATAGCAAAGGAGTATACAAAATGAGATCGGACAATGAAAGTATTAAGGATGTATATTAAGGAGTCAAGGATGTGTTCTACTTCGTTTTTCGTATCAATGCAGTTCACAACATTATTCTTATCGTTGTGCAATTTTTGGCTAGGAGGAAATTTGTGTTTCCTATAATAGATATCGACCATATGGTCAAGCTTTCTACAGTGCAAACAAATCTTCTTGGAGTTCTTGTAACTCTTGTTGTCATGGTTTTGTGGAAAGCCATATTTATGATAACAAATGCTCTCAGTGTGTCCATGTTTTTTATATTGAGTGTAAGAAAGAACCGGTTGAGCCTGTAACAATGTTAATCTTGGGTTGCAATGTAGCAAGTATGTTGTTCCCTTGGATCTGTCTTTCCTATGAGAAATATAATAAAATATATGTTAAATAGGTAATTTAGTCCCTTTATTTTTTTAAATATTTCAATATGGTCCCAAAATTTTTAAAATTTTCAATTTAAACATGAATATTGAAATTGATGTCAATTTTAAACTACTGTTATTTATGTTTTAACTCCGTTATATTAGATGTCTAGTTGGAGTATCAATTCTAATGTGGTTAGGTGATTGGTTATAGTTACGTGACAGATTTATCACGTCACATTAAAATTGCAATAAGAAAGGAATAGGGGTCATGGATGTGTTTATCACTGTCTTTGCCTTCTAGTCGACGATGGTCGCTTACCACCGCTCATCTCTCGTCACCGCCGTTCCTTCGTCGTCGCAGGTTCATCTTCCCTCGTCGTCGAAAACAACTCGCTCACTCGATGTCATCGTCACAAACCCTAAATGGAACCAACCTCCTCCTCCTTCGTCATAGTCAATCTCACACACGATGGCGATTGAAACCCTAAACCCCCACTGTCATCACAAATGGAACTCTCACCTCCCCTATCGTTGTAAATCCTCTTACTTTCCCTTACTCATTTGCACAAACTCTCAATTGTTCAAACCCTAAACACAATCGCGACCCTATTTCTTTATTCTTGCAATTTTAATGTGACGTGGCAAATCTGCCACGTAACTATAATCAATCACCTAACCACATCAGAACTGATACTCCAACTAGGCATCTAATATAACGGAGTCAAAACATATATAACAGTAATCCAAAACATATATTGTGTTTAGTCCTCCAAGAAATTGCATAGCATGGTCCTCATCCTTTTTTTGATGAATGGTAAAAAGGATAATACAAGAGCATTTTGGGACACAAGTGCAAACCAGATCATGTCGAAAATTGTCTAGTTCATCCTAAATCATGTGAAGTTTGGTAAAGAACTTCGTAACAATGGAGTTACCTTGCCTAAGCAAAGAAGCTTTCATTTGTAAATTAACAATTTTTAATAAATTACCTTGAAAGTATTTAGTTTTCGAGTTGTTCTAGATATCTTCGATATTGTAATTTTTATTGTCATAATATTAAGTTTACTCTAAATATTTTGCAATATAGAGTGCAACCCTAAGTCATTCTTCTTGTTCTTAATATTCTCTCTATAAAAGTTAAATTTGGGGTTTAAAATGTAAAATAAAATTGAAAAGAAAGAAATAGAAACCGAAATCAAAATCAAAAGATAGATCAATCCATGAATTTTCAATCAAACAATCATTTTATCATAGTTCTCTAAAAATTTCAATCCAAGTTTGAACAATTAGACGATTCAATTAATCAATTAAACTGATTATACGAATTAAATATCAACATCATTCAATTTAATTTGTATCTAATTACCAAAGCAAGATTCAATCGATTCGTAATTTGAATTTTAAAAATAACATTACAAATTAATATCTTAAGATGCAAAACCAAGATTAGACAAGAGAATAAAAAACTTGAAGCCATAAATGATTAGTACAAAACTCAATTTGACTTGTTTGATCTTGATTATGTGAATTAATTCTCAAAATTTAGTTCTCTTAGAACTATGAATAAATTCAGACAAAAAAAAAAAAGATGTACAAACATGTCCTAAACTGAAAAACGAAACAAATGTTTTCTTGATATGATTTTAGGACACTTTTAGTCTATATAAAAACTCTCAAATCTGAAGTAAGCATGTGCCTAAATGTAGACTCTAATTAGTTCTATAAGCCTAATTACAAAAGATAAGCTAATAAAAATGAAAATCAAATTTGTTTGTGTTCTTTATACAATTTCAATAAATTTGCCTCAACTTCTAAAAATCATAGAAAATATTACAAAATTCCAAATTTAGCAAACCATATATCCATTCGATAGTTTTAAAAATATAAAATTCAATGCAACTTAAATCGACCAAAAATAATTTCAGTAAAAAAGTTATGGCTAAAATAGTAATCAAAGTTCATATTAGCTAAAAATACAAAATTAGAGCAAATATGTACATTGAATCCAATTTATTTACTATTAACTAAAAATGAGTTTAAAAATGAAAATAAACAAATGGGAAGTGCATTTACTATCACGTTGACCATCCATAAGATACTTTTTTAAATAAGTGAATGATCTATGAGACCACCATGTTGTTACAATGTTTCTAAGAATGGTAGGAAAAATTATTCTTATCAAGTTCTTTAGCAATATTATCAATAAATTTGAATTTGTTCTTGACACTCAAGGTTGCAATCATGAACCTACTCCAAGAATGATAATTTATTTGATCAAGAACAAGGAAAATAAGAGTAATGCAAGACTCTCACTAGGATGAAGATGAAAAAAAAACTATGGATGAATGAGTTCTGCATATCTTTTTGTGTCATGATAAAAAATGAAAAAGAAAGAAGGATAAAGACAAACAACAAAACTCTTTAAAAGAAAAACTTTGTTACCATCTTGAAACTAGAACAAAGGATCATCGTGGTAGACAACAATGTGAGGAAAAGAGAGATAAGAGAAAGGAATCTATTATATGTATTATTGATGTATGAAAAGAAAGAGACACAAGATCTATAAATACACAAAATGAATAAGACAAAAGTAATCAAAATGGACAACAAGTAACGGACCGGATTGAGTTACTATCGAGTTATAAACCAATGAACAACAATAAGGAAGAAATTAAGAGAAGGCTTCCTAAGAATATCTCTCTAGTACACTGGTGAATCTTGACAAATGATTTAAAGTGATAAAATAATATCTTATCAATAAATAATATATAAATATAAAAAATATAAAAGTAAAATTATAAATATATAAATAATATATTTAGTGATCATTAAATTTGAGAAAAAAAAATATATATATATATAGACCATGACTTTCCAAGAAATTTCATCAGTGCTTAGGAGTATCAAAATAGGTTTAATTTCATGGACCAACACGAAAGATTCGAAAAATAGATCCGGCTAAACAAAAAAAAATTGTATTTTAAATTGAATCAGACATATTTTTTGTCCGACTTAATTAAGTCATAACCTATATGGACTTAGGTCAGACTAATCCTATAGACTTATGGGTCTACCCATTTTATAAAATAATAATAATTTTCTAAATAAAAATAATATTATATATATTATATAAATTAGTACTGAAAAATATTCATTTATTTTAAGAAAAAATATATAATAATATCTTATTTCAAGATTTAATTATTAATATTAACTACTATTTTAAATCAATAAATTATTAAAAATAAATAATAATAATAATAATAATAAATTTTAAATTCTTATTTTAAAATTGAATAGATGTATTATCTTATAAGTTATATATTAAATTATTAATTTTATTAATAAAATATAACATTTTAAAATAATTTTTTATTTAAATATATTTTTAATTAATTAATTTTATATAGATATATTAATATATTTTTTAAAATTTAATCAAGTCAAAATTTATCCGTTAATTTATTAATTTAATATAAAATTAAATTAAACTAAAAAATTTTATTTATTTTAAAATATATATAAGTTATCATAACGAAAAAAAAATCATCTGTACGATAAAACCAGACAGAACTGAATTACCGTTTTTACAACTCCACCAATACTCCAAGTATATACGTGTTTGTCAACATTTTGACTATGCCTCAATGCTTTCTTCACACCACTTATTATCTCAAGGGTCAATCAAGACACGAATTTCTTGTAACAAAAAAAGGAGAATAAAAAGATTAAATTTTCTGATTAAAAATATACTCCAGACAAAGAAAGTAGTATGTAAAGAAAGAGTTACAAATTTAGCTAAGATAATGGTCAATAATGGTAATCATATATTCATGATCATTCATTTTAGAAGTTAAATAATATATTATTAATAAATAATAAATAAATATAAAATAAAATAAAAAAATGAAAAAAATAAAATTATAAATATATATTTAAATATATTAAATAATAATTAAATTTGAGGAAGATAAAATTATAAATTATATAAAAATTAAAAAAAATTAGAAAGATAAAATTATAAATATATTAAATATTTAATTATAAATATAAAAATAAATATATTAAATTTAAAGAGTAAAAATCATAAATTATATCATAATTATTAATTTTTAAGAACCACAATTTTCTTAGTTCCTAAGATGATCTGTCGTTACACTTACAAGTTATATAGAACTTCGGGAGTAAGAGGACAAAAGGGGAAAAATCATTTTACCCAAAAGAAATGGAAGTATATTTCTTGAACTTTACCTGAACAAAACTTCTGGAACCAACTATAAATTTCTTCAAATGTGTATTAAAAACGTGGTTTTATTTTATTTTTCATAACCCAATTAAGCAAACAGGGGTAGTTAAGTTGAAGTGACACTGCAAACATTGAGGACCGCAAATTGGACTTGTCCTTCATCGTAAGGTCGTCATAAATTTATAAAAACAGTGCTAAATAATGAAATGAAAACTTTATGCATGAATATTTACAAATATAAATAAACGGTTTTTCACTGGTTAATTAACAAATAAAATTACTTACACAAATTAAAAAGTTAAACAAAAATCAACCACTTAATATAGGTATTTAGTGTATTTTTTTTGTTATTTTTGGAATTTATATAAGTGTAATTCTAAATGTTTATGTTACATGAGAATAAATGAGTTCATCTAGAGTTTTGGGAGAAGTTGATATAAATAATTGTAATAAGATTGTCTGACAAATCAAAATGAGTTACAGTGGTAGTGAAGGCAAAAATTGAAATGAAAGCCAGTAAAAATTTAAAATAAATTTTACTAATGGAGTAAAATTTTATAAGTATTTTAAAATTTTGTATTGATAGCAAAAGATTCGCAATAAATGAATTAGAAATTCAAATTCATTGCCAGTAGAGTGAGAGTGAGAAAAGTCTCCTTGGAGGGTGCGGTTATAAATAAGGGCTGTCGTGTAATTTAAGTCAAGGTTTTATGGATTTAAAATAATTAATGATTTAGTTGTGTTTATATTTTAAAATATATTATAATTTTAATTTAATTTAATTAAAAATAAAAAATTATTGATATATATATATATTAAAATAATTAATTAAAAAGAAATTAAAATAAAAAATATAAATTTACATTAAAAATTTAATTATTATTTAAGATATAATAATTTAATATAAATTATAAGAAAATAAATGTATTTAATTTAAAAATAAATATTTAAAATTTATTATTTTAAGTAATTTTTTAATATAAAATAATAATTAACCTTAATTATTATAATTTTTAATAAATAATTATTAGAAAATTATTTTAATATTTACTTTTTTAATAAATAATTTTTTATCAAATTAACTTAAAATATATATATATATATATATATTAATAAAATAATATTATTTTATTTTTATTTAAAAAATAATTATTATTTTATAAAATGTTTAAACATATGAATCTAAGTATTAATTCAATGTTTTTGTAATTATGACAAAATAGATGGGATAAAAATAGATATAATTTAATTTAAGTTAAATAATATTTTTTTATTTAATTTAAGTTAAATAATATTTTTTTTATTTAATTTAATTTATTTCTCAAAATAATTTTGTTAATTCATATTTAAATAAAGTTGTTAAAGAGAACGGTTTTTACCCAATTCTGTCGTTCAACTAAAAAAATTAATAATATAATTTAATTTATATTTTAAAACGAATTATAATTTTTGAATTTGATCGTATGTTACCTTGATGAACTAATAAGTGAAATTTAGTGTAATTGAAATTTAAAAAGAAAATTATTAGCATATTTATATCAAGATATTTAATTTAAAAATTAAATAAAATAAAATAAAATATTTTTAAATTTAACTTATATTAATAAAATATTTTTTTTTAAATATAATAATTTAATATATAAATTATAAAAAAATAAATTCATTCAATTTTTTAAATAAGAATTAAAATTTTATTATTTGATATTTTTATTCATATTCTTATTTTTAGTAATTTATTTATAAAAACTTATTTTTATATTCACTCTTAAAAAAATTATTAAATTAATTTATAATATATATTTTTAATAAAATAATATTATTTTTATTTTTTTAAATAATTATTATTTTATAAAATAATTCATCATTTATGAACTCTCACCGGTAGGTGGTAGGTGCGCTTAACCTTACCCCCAACTCGTATAAATTTACACAATAATCTAATCTAACTGATAATAAGCTAAATATATAAATAAATCCCTTTCAAGTCATAAATTGTTACTTTTTTTAAAAAATAATTTTTTTTTTACAAATATTCAATATATAATTTTAAAATTATATTTTTCAATTAATTAATGAAAAACAAATAAATTAAAATAAATAAATAATAATATAAAAAATTAAAAAGGATTATTAAATGGATGTTTGATAAAACCTAGTTGTAAATATATTGGATTAAACTTTTATCATTACAATGGTAATTTTGACACCCTTCGTAAAAGCGAGGTAGATTGAGGCTAAAAGCAATGCCACGTGGCAGATAAGGTCGCATGTCACCTTACATCGTGTTGTAACTACAAATAGTGTTACTTCAACAGAGCCTTGGCTTATCTTATCTTTACCAGAGGAAGAGGAAGCATCCATCCAAGAGGAGAATGGCGACAGCACCGGCTTTGTGTGGCTCTGTGTTGAACACGTCCTTCCTTAGGAGACAACCAGTGAACATCACAAGTCTGAAGGCATTCCCCAACGCCAATGCATTGTTTGGTGTGAAAGTAGGAGGTCGGGGTGGTGTCACTGCCATGGCTAGTAGCTATACGGTGAAGCTTGTCACCCCAGATGGTGAAAAAACTATTACATCCCCAAGTGATTCATTTATTCTTGATGCTGCAGAGGAGAATGGCATCGACCTTCCCTACTCTTGCAGGGCTGGTGCTTGCTCTTCCTGTGTTGGCAAAATTGTCAGCGGTAGCGTGGACCAGTCAGAAGGTAGCTTCCTTGATGACGACCAAATGGATGCAGGATTTGTTCTCACCTGTGTTGCTTTCCCCACCTCTAATCTTGTTATTACGACCCACATGGAGGAGGAGCTCGATAGTTAAATCTTCCTTTCCCACCATTTTCCTAGGATATGATCTTTTCTCAGAAATGTGATTCCATGTTGAAGCTATTTCACTTTTGTTAAATGTCCTACGTTTAAGTTTATATGCAATAATCGTGCTATGAGTTACTCTATTGTATTATAGAGAAAGAACTCTTATGTTTGTGCACGTGAATCTCATAAAATTATGTACTAGTTATTTGCTTCAGGTGTAGAAGCAAGTGAATTCGTAGTAACTATTGTGGTATTCTTTTTCTTGCTGTTTTTGCACACAATAGCCTATCCTTTTGCTCGGGTTGGATGAAGAACCCTGATTTTTGTTGCTTGTTCCATATTCAATTTGATCATGATGGTGGTTGGCTTCTTATCTGCGTCATTGTCTTGTTTGTTATTAACACGTTGTCTTCATCATTGTGGGGGATTAGTACATAGACAGACAAGTACTCAGCCCCCATTGAATCTTTTGGTTTGTTGGAAGTCTCAAAGTTGATCCACTGAACTCTCAAATTTGTTTCACTCACAAGAATCTGAACAAGAGGCATTGACTATTGACTCAAAATGTACCTCACAATGGATGCTCCAACTAGACCTAAAATTGATATAAGATTTGGGAATAAGTTACTTTACACAAGAAACTAAAAGGTCATTCATGAATCAACATCAGCAATGAGGCCAATTCAATAAAATCTGGATTCCCAATTTTATATGATTACTTTTGGCTTCTACTAATGAAACAGAAATACCAAAATGTGCTCATAATTGCCTCTAGAACCCAAAACGCAGATTATCTCTCATATCACAATTTTTATCCAATCAATAGTTGTTTTTTCAAACCCAAACTGGCATTTAAGCCAAGGATATAGAAAAGAAGGCATCAGATCAGAAAAAAATTATGAGGTTGTTGATAACTCTGTTTTCCAAATATAATTATGTTTGTAGGTTGAAAAAAAGACTTCATATGGTTTGGAACCATTTCTGTAATTCACAGTCTACAGATAACTCATTATATCATTGCAAACTGGGTTTTGCAGCTCATTTCCCCCTTAATATTTTATATCACTGCACATATACCAAATGTTAAATGATTATAAAAGCAATTTTCAAATTAAAGTGAGGGACAACTGTAACAAGTATTCAACATTGTGTATTGGATTCACGCTTAGCAAGATGCTGCAAGCTTTGTGTAGAGTTTGAGTGAAAGTCCCTTTTTTTTTTCAGAAGATGAGAAACGAAAGAATTGACTTGTTGCGGTACCTTCGCACTTGATTAATCATTAAGAAACTTCCACACACCTAGAAAGGTAGGTTACTATTCATAACGCATTCATGGGTTGTGGAAAACTCCTTTTCCCCATAAAAATAACTGCATCCTATTTAGTGTGGCCCAGTGGACGACCACAAACCATACACAGAAGTGGTCCATGCTAGATTTCATACATGAAGTTTTATAAACTCTTACCAGAGAAAGGAAATATATAGTCAGATAGAATGATGCATAAAATGATGCCACGTGGAAGATAGGGTTGCATGTGGCCTCACCTCATGCACGTTATAAGCACACTATTTGTGCATGATGAAGGTCCCAATCCCCATTGTTATCTATCACCAACAAGAAGAAGTTAGCAGCAGTGAAGAATGGCTTCGATCACACCCGCTTTGTGTGGCCCTGTGTTGAACACCTCCTTCCTTAGGAGACAGCCTGTGAACATCACAAGCCTGAAGGCATTCCCCAACGTTAACGCCATGTTTGGTGTGACAGGAGGACGTGGAGGTGGTGTCACTGCCATGGCCAGTTACAAGGTGAAGCTGCTGACCCCAGATGGAGAGCAAGAGTTTGAATGCCCAGATGATACATACATTCTTGACCAGGCGGAGGAACAAGGCATCGAACTTCCCTACTCATGCAGGGCTGGTTCTTGCTCTTCATGCGCTGGCAAAGTTGTGGCTGGCGAGGTCGACCAGTCAGATGGTAACTTCCTTGATGACGACCAACTTGCTGAAAGATTTGTTCTCACCTGCGTTGCTTACCCCACCTCTGATGTTGTTATTGAAACCCACAAAGAGGAGGAGCTCACTGCTTGAATCCTATCATCATCACTTTTCCTGCTTCATTAAGATTCCTCCTCTCCCAGCCCCATCGTGTTTTTGCCATTTTCTCAGGATATATACATGTAATATGCTTGTTTATGATAAACAGTTTAGTACGCATTAATTCATTACTTCACCTGTATGTAGTAGCTCAACTTCGTGGTTGTCACTATAATTAATCTCCTTTTTCTTTCTTTTGCTGCACATAATATCCTTTCCCTTTTACCTGATTGAAAACAACTCGGTTGTGAGTTTTGTTTTTCTTTTCGTCTCTCCCTCCCCTATGTGGCATACCATGCAACGAACTTGCATTTTACCGGTGTTCTTAACTTTTACAAGCTGGCGGTGGCTTCTTGTTTACGTTAGTGCGGAGGATTAGAGTTGCGAAATGCTTGGCCAAATTCTTTTTAACCTTCATATCCCTTAAAAGAGAAGACTATATAGCTAATATTGTATCTGAAGTATAATATAGTTTCTTCAGTGTGGACTACTTAAATGTATATGTTCAATTAGGAATTATTTGTACATCTAAGCTCTATGAAGTTCCAACTAGTTCTGAAGTAGTTTAAAACACTAATTGATCATGTTTTCTGAAACAAATCGAGAAGAGTGATAGCTTTTGCTTCCCCTCTATTACCTACAGGATCTTCACCATTGTGGGACGGTTGTGGGGGTTTAGTATATACAGATTCAGACACATACTCAGCCACCTTGATTGAATCTGTTGCTTTGTTGGGAGTCTCGAAATTCAGCTGGTCTACTGAAGTCACTGTTATCTGATTCAAAGTCTCTAAGGATGAGCTTCGAGTTAGAATACCAGATACTACTGTTATTTCGTCCCTCTCGTCTATTGTTGATTCGAGGGAACATACTGATCTTGCGGTGTGTGAATGCAACGAATCATGCTTAGACTTGTGTTTCACTCTTTTACACCAACTATGCAGGGACTCTCTAACACTCTCCGCCACTAACGCCTTCTTACATCGAGATCCCATCTGAAGTGAGTCATCAAAGGATAAACAAAATGAGATAGAATGAAAAATGTACTATAAGAACTTAACAAAAAGGATTAAGCCAACCTGACAAACTATTATATTCAGGGGCACTGTCATATAGCTACACCAGAACTGAACAATAGCACTGCAAGTTTAAAAATAACAAAATGCGAGTGTCCTTGCAGATTGAAGTAGTGTAGAAACCAGAAAATTAGTCAAGAAAGTAGAACAAAAAGTAAATCTTGAAAGAGAGATCAAACCAACCCAGATGCCAACCGAATGATGATCATGTAATGATTTCTCATAAAGCACGATTGTTCTTGGAATCCCCACTAGACAAACAGAAAATCAAGAAAATTCACCTAACAAAAGCATGTGATAAGTCACGGATACACTCTTGAAAAACTGAAGTCTTACCAATGTCCAAATAAACGTAGCCATTTCAAATGCATTCTGCGTGAACAGTAGAGAAAATTAGAACAAGAAGCACAACCATGTAGCATGACCTGCCTACAAATAAAGTGTTATCAATCCTTACCTGAAATATGACAAATTGTATCAGCCATAACAGTATATCTGGTTTTTTGAACCAAAATAGACCATCGCGTGGCTTTACTTGTGTCCTAGCAAATGGACCTGTCTGCTCCATAATCTCAAATGCTAAGGTGGATACAACATGTTGAAGTTTTGTCCCTATCAACATGACAAGCTTTTACGTGTAGAGAAATCAGACCTTGAGGAAAACAACTTCCAATGGAGTTTTTCATTTTGATTTGTTGAAATATCAAATTAGAATATACATACAATTGCAGGGATAAATGATAGCCAGAAGTATATATTCAGACCTGCAAATTAGAAACTTAAATATCTGAGGAAATTAATCAAAGACACCGACAATATACACGTCTATAATTCTGAAGAGAAGTTACCATGGATGTTCACGAAGATGCAGACTATGGCATAAATCCAAAGCGGCCAGCTTCAAAATTGAAAAAAAAAAAATGTTATTCAGCTCTAAGTTTTCTCATTGCTTTTCTTAGTAGAAGTAAGTCTAATGTTGATTAGAGAAAGCATTGGTATTGCTACAATATCTCTAAAATTCTCTCATAGGAAACTTCATTTCTCTTCACTCAATTCCCTATGTTAATCATGATTCACGAGCATTCTGTTAGTTAATTAAGCAACCTAGTGTTAATAACTTGCATCAGTTTGCAAAACACCAGTTAAAAGGAGAAATCCATTTCAAAATGGTTCTTACCTTATTCCTAGAATGCCATGAAATTCATCTTCCATGCTTCGAACCATATATTGATGGAAATTATAAGACAACGGCAATTTGTGTTCCTGTAAATTTACATAGCAGGGATCGATGAGATCATAAGTGGTATGGACTAGAGCTAGTAAGGAAGATGACATGCAAGCTAATCCTTAAATTATCATATGATGTTTATTTATAAGAAGAAAGACATGGATTTTTTTTTATTTGTGAATACAAAAGTACAGCTCAGTTCACCACCAAGTATAGCATTTAGAAAGTTCCTTCGATTTAGCAGAACTAATTAAAAGATTAGGCAATTAGAGAACAATCATGGACAAACAAGTCTCCGGGCATGCATTATTTTATCCAAAATCCTTCAACAAATTAAAAACTTACAGTGATGAAACCTAAACGGAGTGCAAGGTAATCTGATTTTCGTATAGAGCTCCTAAACTGACGTAGAAAACAGAGCTGCAAGATCAGATCACAAATTTTAATCCATTATTGAGGCATTCAAAATGTGCACAGGGATGATAAGAAAACTTAGAAGCTAGGAGAGAAATTGCTAGAATAATTTTCAATCCATGAATATTTCCTTATCTTGTCATACTTTTGAAATTGTTACTATTTAAACTGAGATTTTTAGAGAGTTCAGTTGCTAGAAAAAATTATCCATAAAAACGCCATCTTAGTAAAAACAAGCATACAAATAATTAATGATGTGCGATTTATGTCGATAGATATTACCATCCAGTTTAGGATTGGACTCCTGCTCCATGGATGAGAAGTGTGATGAAAAATAAATGTTGTCTGTCGCTTCATCAACTTGATTTTCTTTGCTGTTCAACAAAAAAATGGTAAAATTATAGGTCATATTATTAATTTGTGATACGTGATGCAGAAATATTACATGAGAAACAAGCATAGAAATCAAGATTGGAGGGTTTTCCCCTCCGTCATTTTTTTTGTACATTGACAAAGTTCATGTATTGTCAATGAAGTACCATTCTGTGCCATTTACCTTGCAGGTTTCCATCGCTTGGCATCCTAGCCTGATTTTCCCATCTGCGCCAACTATAGATCTACAAACACATGCAGCAAAGAGAAAATAAATTCCGTTTTGCTCAGCATGTAGAGGCAAGAAAACAAATTGCTGTATTGTGAGTCATTTGTGTTCAGTAAAAATTTTCATCAATTAATCCCAAGTGTTCTATCAAAGGATATGAACCAGACAACCAAACATAGAAGACAACTGCAAGTGATTGATTGGAACAAGGATCCCTTGTAAGGGTTTCATTGTTCCTTGAATATTAAAGGCTCAAACAAAGACACTTATTTAACCATGTGATTATAAGAGCATGTGCTGTAATAAACTGAAAATTATGATGACTGACCTTGCTCATTGCCAAACCAACTGCGAGACAACTATAGAAAACATGAGTGATCCCGAGAACAAATAAGAACCGGTGCAGCTGCTCAAGACCCTCATAAGAAACAAATGGTTCATGACCCTGCATTCATGTATTAGTATTTTTGGAAGGGTAATTTGTAGTATTGCAAAACAGAGATTTAATTTTGAGTATGACAGTATATGCAAGGTAAACTGTTTTTTCAAAATATCTTTTTGTGAACTCAGAAGTCACTTTGTAACAATCTCTTTTAAACAAATCCAGTTTCCCATCTTAATAACATTTACCTCCAATGATATCCTCCGTCACTGTCATTCAGTAACAGAAGAAGCCATGTCCATGGCAAATATTTACTGTCTAACATTATGAAAGTGGATATACTCACTGTAATGAAGAAAGCAAAGCTTAATTGTATTTGCAATTAGAGTATGCTACCTCTCCACATTGGTTGAATGCTCCAGTATTTAATCCCTTTGGAATACTAGTTTCACCAGGGACAGATGATGAGCTTTCAAGCATGATATTCTCATTGATGTCGAGGTCTTGCTTAGAACAAATATAAAATCGACTGCTAAAATATGACGAATTAACACAAATTTCAGAGATCCACCTTGCACTTTGTGCCAACAGCAAAGAGATAAGCCCAAGCAACATCAGCTCTATCACAAAAAGGAGCAATCCAAATTAAACACAAAAGAAAATCAGTAAAGCTGACAACTCCACGGCTCTTGAAAATAAGGGGAACGATATTAGTAAAATGTGGAAATGTGGAATCATACTCAGTGTCCTTACCTTCCTTAATTTTCACCAGTGAAGCAAAAAGTGCCTTCCTTCTTGTTTTCTTCAACCACTGCAGAGCCAAGAAAAATAAGTTTCATATCATCCTCTTGAGATTTGAAAAGAACTGCTTGTGTTTATCAGTCCACTTTTTTCTCAGAGTTCAAGCCTGTTACAGCTTATCAGGGAGAGGAAGTGCTTCTGGAAATGACTAGCCAACATGGATATAAACTAACAAAAAAAGCAAGTGTGCCACTATCATGGCAAGTAGCAACCTAGCAAGGAAACAGTGAAAAGGGTGATTTGTTGACTCTACAGTCTTCTACTCATAAATATTTAGTGTTTACCTCTCCAAAGCGGTAGATTGAACGTTCAACCAATAAGCAGACAAAGACCATGACAGTAACAACAGAGGCAACTGAATATGTTGGCGTCTCAGCTAGAGAGCGACCCGGCTGCACCACCTCTGCCATTGTTCACTTCAACTCAACAAGTTGAAGGCTTTTTCATGAAAAAAAGTAGAGTGCTTTGACTCCACATAAATGTGAGGCAGATGGGATCCAGGGAATGGGGAAGTGCAGTGCAAAACGGAAGTATATATCAGTTTAATAATTATTTGGTGATGAAGAAGGTGCATGTGCACATTGGAAACCTAGCTGACTCACCTTTCATCACAAAAAACATATTATTTATTGTTATGTTTAATTATTATGATTATTATTTTGTCACACCACACAAACTTTTGCTCACTTTCCACTCTCCTGCTTCTCTCTCTCAAATCCAAAACCATGCACATGGAGGGTTTCCCACTCTCACGGTAAGGTTGCTAATAATTTGTAAGTTGCAAGGGTCCCAATAGAAACCTGGTATATTCTCAGGATGCGGATGGCTTTACGATGAATATGAATTCACAACATATCAAAGAAAAGTGAGTTCTGCCAAAAGAAACATCAAAAAGGAAGCATAGAAAGATAGATTAATGACTAAAGCTATCTTTTCATTAAAGTTGGTCGAATATTTTGCAAATTTTAAAATACGCTTGATAAATTATATTCCACAAAACAAAGAATCAAGCTTTTATTGTTTTGAAACTGAAAAACCTAGACTTTATTGACTAAAATGTTCATTTTAAAGAATGGTAGTAATTGCCACACATTAAATTAACTTTGAGATCATTCATATTTCTTATAAGGGGTAAAATATTTAATGCAACCATGGAAAATCCATTTAATACAATGATATGATAGTTTTAGTTTAGTTAAGATTTTTAGACGCATACATTCATATTAAAAAAGATTTTTTTATCATAAAAAAATAAGTGGTCTAATATTTTTCAAATATTTGATAATTAATTTGATTGTTATTAACAATTAATATCTCAATATAATTAAAATTAATTCTAATATGAGATATACGACTTAATCTTATAAAACTGATTAAATAAGGTGATAATTGTAATATCCTAAATTTTGCAATCAATTATATAAATAAATTTTGTAAGTTATAAATATGTCCTGAATATTATATAGATTTATTATAAAAATAAAACATGATTTTTATAGTAATTTTATCTTAAGAAAATTATAAAATAAAATTCAAGGTTAATATTGTGTCAAGTAATAATTTAATAATAATTCTTAATAATAAAATTAAATAAATGAATAAATAAATATTTAGAAATTTAATATTATATAAAAAAATATTAATAATAAACTTATTCATTTAAATATTATGTAAACTTTCAATGAGGAAAAAAATAATTTTTAGATTTTGAGTCAAAAGCATGATTTTAAAGTTTTACATTTTGAGTCACATGTGCATATCATAAATATATTGCATGATGAAACTGTAGGTTATTCATGATTTGTATGATATTCTCTACTATGATTCCATGATTTATTTATTTGTTTCTCTTAATCAATTTTTAAATTAAATTATATATGGTTGTATATTTATTAAAAGGAATGTTTGTTTTATTTGTTGTAGATAAAATTAAATGTCTAACCCCATAAATATTTCAATCCCAGATGTTGGTGACGTATGATGCAGGAATACATAGTCCAAGAGATAGATGTCGATGCAAAAATCCGGAGCTTGGTTGGGAATTGTATAACATATAAGTATAACTTTATGACTTGTAATATTTTGAAAACTTTGTACTAGAACTTGTTGCTTGATTTAATATAAAACTTTACCTAAATTAATTATTCACTTGGTATATTTTCTATTAACCTTCTATGAATATTGAAAATATTACTAACTTAGATAATAAATTAGGATTAATAAATGTAATCTGTAAGGGGGTACATTAGTGGTATTTATGCATCTTTGGGGCTTGTGAGTACAAGTTGATTAGGGAAAACATTGTTTGTATAGAAAAATTTTAAATATAAGAGAAGGAAACCTTTAGAATTTCAAGAAGGAGATAATATATTTTTGAAAGTGACACCTATTACGGGAGTTGGCAGAGCTATTAAATCTAAGAAACTTTCCCCTAAATATATTGGGTCTTATCAAATTACAAAACGGGTTGGAAATGTTGCATACGAGATAGCTTTACCACCTTTTCTCTCAAATCTTCATGATGTATTCCATGTGTCACAATTGAAAATGTACATTTCAGATCCAACACATTCTAGAACCTGATCAAGTACAGGTAAAGGAAAACCTCACCTTTGAACCAAGTCCTGTTAAGATTGAACAAAGAAGGATTAAGCATCTAAGAGGAAAAGATATTCCACTGATTAAAGTTATCTGGGATGATGTTAGAGGCGACGCTACATGGGAATTGGAAGAGAAAATGAGAATTGAATACCCTTATCTATTCACATAGAATGTATTACAAATTTCAAGGACGAAATTTTATTTAGTAGGGGATGATTGTAATATCCTAAATTTTGCAATCAATTATATAAATAAATTTTGTAAGTTATAAATATGTACTGAATATTATGTAGAGTTATTATAAAAATAAAACATGATTTTTATAGTAATTTTATCTTAAGAAAATTATAAAATAAAATTCAAGGTTAATATTGTGTCAAATAATAATTTAATAATAATTCTTAATAATAAAATTAAATAAATGAATAAATAAATATTTAGAAATTTAATACTATATAAAAAAATATTAATAATAAACTTATTCATTTAAATATTATGTAAACTTTCAACGAGAAAAAAAAATAATTTTTAGATTTTGAGTCAAAAACATGATTTTAAAGTTTTACATTTTGAGTCACATGTGCATATCATAAATATATTGCATGATGAAATTGTAGGTTATTCATGATTTGTATGATATTCTCTACTATGATTCCATGATTTATTTATTTGTTTCTCTTAATCAATTTTTAAATTAAATTATATATGGTTGTATATTTATTAGAAGGAATGTTTGTTTTATTTGTTGTGGATAAAATTAAATGTCTAACCCCATAAATATTTCAATCCCGGATGTTGGTGACGTATGATGCAGGAATACATAGTCCAAGAGATAGATGTCAGATGCAAAAATTCGAGCTTAGGTTGGGAATTGTATAACATATAAGTATAACTTTATGACTTGTAATATTTTGAAAACTTTGTACTAAAACTTGTTGCTTGATTTAATATAAAATTTTACCTAAATTAATTATTCACTTGGTATATTTTCTATTAACCTTTTATGAATATTGAAAATATTACTAACTTAGATAATAAATTAGGATTAATAAATGTAATATGTAAGGGAGTTACAATAATTATCTTAAATATCGTAAATTTTAGTTAATTTAAAGTTTTTAAACAATATTTCTTCTATGAATAATGATGGTGAAGATTAAAAGAATCATGTTTTTATAAGAAATATGTTAAAATAAAATAAAAATACGTGATAAATAATAAAAAAAAAGTAAAAATAAGATCAATTTGACATTTATCTAATTACAATACTATTTTTTTTTTAGTGATATTAAACTTTTTAAATAAAGTATTCTGAGTTTAAATAAAGTATTCTTAACTTTGATTCCGAAGTATTTAATATAATTTTTAGTAATAGAGAATAAATATTCATCTATGCTATGAGTTAAAATGCTAGTTATTTTTATTGAAGGTGAGAATCTAATTTTCTTCAATTGCAAAAGTTTAAATGACGTAAAAGAACATACTTTTTTATCTGATAAAAGTACTAGTGGATGATCAAACTCTAACACAATTTTTTTTTTTAAATTCAATTTCAAAAGTAATAAATTTAAAAAGAAAAATTATTTAAATAAAATACTTACTCGTTTATTTATCTTATTATATTTGTATATTATTATTTTTATAATAACAATAAAATTGTCAAATATAATGTAATTTTTTTTAAATTACTATTTTTTTCTTTTTCTTTATTTATTTCTTGTGTTTTTTCTTTTTCTTTTTTCTCTTTTCACTCTCTCTTCTGATTTTCTTTCCCTCTCTCATTTCTTCTTATTCCTCTAATTAAAAATATTATATTAAAATTTAATAAAATATGTCTTTTATTATTTTTAAAAGGTAACAATATTTAAATTATCCATAATTAATATGATTTAATATTTTATATTTTAAAAAATAATACATAATAAATTTTGACATATTACATGTTATATTATAATTATTAAGAAAAAAATCAATATTTAGTTTAAAGTAATTTTTTAATAAATATTTTTCTAAAAATACTTAATTTGACTAATAATTATAAAATCCACCTAATTATAACTAGATTAAATTATAAAAAAATCATAAATAGTCAATATTTTTAACTAAATGAATAATTGATTTATTATGATAAAAAAAATATTTTAAATATTTATTGTCATCATAATTTTAAATAATTAATTCATATTTTTTAGTTTTAGTCTTGATTTTAAAGAAATACATTTTTATTAAATTTTAATTTACTATTTTGAATTATAAGAATGAGAGAAGAGAGAGAAATAAAAAGACTTAGTAAGTTTTAAATTTAATTAAAAATCACTCTATTTCTATTTTTTATAAATTATATTTATTTAAATTTTTATTATTTTTTTTTACTCTTTTGTTTTATTATTACTAATCTTTTATTCATTGTGTGTTTAAGAAATGATGTTTGATAACTGATATGTCTGTAATTATATCGTGTGAGATTTAATATAATTACTTATAATGTATTAGTTAATAGTTAGTAACTTGTTAATTTTTTATCAGTATTTTGTAATGTCATCGATAAAAAGAGAAAAAATAATATATGAATAAAGAGAAAAAAATATTTTAATAATAAACATATATAATTGATAAATAAATTAAAATATATTTTATTTAAACACATTTTTTAAAATATATTATTTATAATTATGATTTTATTTTTTACTATTAAAAATAAGTTTTTTATATAGTTAATTATTATTATTATTATATTGAAATATCATATTAGTCTATTTTTTTAATTTTATATTAGTGTATTAATTGGTGTTACTATAAATCATCTACGAAAATAATAATAAATTAGTTGTTACATAAAAAATGAAAAATATATTATACACATTATTAAAGTTTTTTACTTAGTTAATTTAGTAGACTCTGTTTGTTTATTCTATTTTTAAAAAAAATGGTTAATTGAGTGTTTTAATTTTTTTAGTTGAATCAAATTAGTTTATTTATTAAAAAGTAAATATTTAATTTATTTGCTTATTTAAAAATTTGTTTCTTTAAAGTGTCTAGATAAACTTCAAAACAAATAAATTATCGACAACAATTTTGGGATTTTGAAGCGGTATTTTTATGAGTATATTTTTGGAGAGTTTTTCTTATTATTTTAGTTTCTATTTTAAATTATTCCATTTTTTTTTAGTTGCGTGTTGATTTGTACGAATAGGGAAATGATTTGGCAGTTATTTGCTGATCGTTGATTAAATCTGAATTTAAAGTCCAATCGTTTTTTCTGGTATTTGTCGTGCCACTAAACTTTTATTTATATTGAGTAAGGTTTATAGTCTATGTTTTGTTCTGAGAAAATAAAATATGAGCAGAGAAAAAAAATTAAAAAATGATATTACTTCTAATGAATATAGGTAAGATATTAAATAATTTTATATGAATATAGGTAAGATATTAAATAATTTTATATGAATATAATTTTCTTTTAAAATTATCCTAGTGATATGAACTTTCAATCATTTATCCAATTAAAAGATAATGAATATGAAATAATTTATGTAGGTATTAGTGTTTGTTTATCTAATTTTTTATAATTATTTTTAAAATATTATTTTAATTTTTTTAATTTTTCACTTTTTTATTTTTTTTATTTTTATTATTTTTAAATATATAAATTATAATAATTTTTATTTTTCTATTCGATCCTATCAAAAAATAGTTATAGCTTCCACATAAGTTCTCTAAATTTAAAATTAATCAAAAGATTTATTTAGGTCTGTATGAATATAATAAATATAGAAATATTACCAAGATGGGAGATAAAATTTATTGTTTAATTTTGTTTAACTAACTAATGAAAATTTATTATTTTATTTAATTCCAAAAACAAAACTGTATATTCAATTTTTTTTTATTACATGTGTTTGTATTCTGGTTTGTACCATTTCGCATACATTTACGCCATTCCTGAAAGATTGAATTTCAGTCTCTAATATCAGAAGAAAGAGCCCTAAAACCCTAATCTTCCAAAACCCTACACTCTCTCATGGCGTCGTCGTTAATTCGCCTCCGCCACACCCTCAGAGCACTCTCCGGCGTCACCCAGTCCATCTCCGCGACGACCACGGCGTTGTTTTCCGCCCCGATCAGATGTTCCGTTTCACGGAGCTGCCACTCTCCGAAGAGTGTGATTCAGTCCCGTTCGTTTAGGCCATCCTCGATTTCGCTTCTCTCTGTTCGATCCTCGCAGAGCAACATCCCCGACGAGATTGGCCCCGATACCATTCTCTTCGAGGGCTGCGACTACAACCATTGGCTCTTCGTCATGGACTTCCCCAGGGACAACAAACCCCCTCCCGAAGAGATGGTTCGCGTTTACGAGGAAACTTGTGCCAAAGGCCTCAACATCAGGTTCCTCTCTTCATCCCTTTTTATATAACCCTTCCAATCACAACGTTTTGATTATAAGCTATAGTCCTCATCAGCATACACTAGCAGCATGTTAGATTATGAAAAATATTATCACCTTAAGTTTATGGGTAACTACAAAATATGAGTGAAGTTTGTTAAATAAAAATTAGAAACCATACTTTTTTGTGATTTTCAATAAATTTTAGTTGAGACCTTGTTAGATACTGTGTTGGTCTGTTGCTAGCTTTTCTCAAAATTGTTAGATGTTGTTTCTTGGTGGTGGTCTTCATATGAATGTGTTTTTCTTTTAGTGTGGAAGAGGCGAAGAAGAAGATATATGCCTGCAGCACAACAACTTACACAGGCTTTCAGGCAGTCATGACTGAAGAAGAGTCTAAAAAATTTGAAGGTATTTGTTCCTACTTCCCACTCTCAAACTTCATGATCCTGTAAAGAAAATAGAATTTTGATGTTTGATTTATTGCATCTTAACAGGTCTTCCTGGGGTCATCTTTGTGCTACCAGATTCCTATATTGATCCAGTGAACAAGCAGTACGGGGGTATGATTATTTTTCTTCTGTTCAAAATAGTTGTCCATGCCTGAGAAGTTTATTCGATCTATTCATTACTTGTTCAATTTCAACATTGGCTATATCATGTGCACTTCAATAGTTTGCTACCCTTTTGACTGCAAAGATATTTCTGAAAGAAAGTTTTCATGGTTGATAAATAGGAGATCAGTACATTAATGGAACAATTATCCCTCGACCTCCACCAGTACAGTATGGAAGAAATCAAGGAAGACGAGACAGAAATAGGAGTTTTGGTCAGTACAATCGACAAGAGAATCCAATGCCAAGCCCTCAAGGGAATCCCTCTTACAATAGTCAGGGGTCTGGGCCAGGGGATGGAAGAAACTATGGGCCTTCACAAAATTATCCACCCCAACAGAACTATGGTCAAGCATCATCGAATCATTCACCTCAACAAAACTATGGCCAAGCATCGCAGAATTATCGACCCCAACAGAATTATGGCCAAGCATCACAGAATTATCCACCCCAACAGAATTATGGCCAAGCATCTCAGAATTATCCACCCCAACAGAAGTATGGCCAAGCATCTCAGAATTATCCACCCCAACAGAACTATGGCCAGGCATCACAGAATTATCCTTCCGAACAAAATTATGGTAAAGCATCACACAATTATCCACCCCAACAGAACTATGGTCAGGCATCACACAATTATCCACCCCAACAAAACTATGGTCAGGCACCGCAAAATTATCCACCTCAACAGAACTTTGATCAAGCATCACAGAATTATCCACAATATGCACAACAGCAGGGCTTTGGACCTCCAGGACAAGGGGAAAGAAGAAGTTATATGCCACAGCAGAACTTTGGACGACCCGGACAAGGAGAAAGAAGAGATCCTATCCCTAGGCATGATGCTTCAGATGTGAGGGGTGATTCTTTTACGCCATCATATATGAAGGATTTCAAGCCATCATACATGGATGAATTTGAACAGGCTGAGCAGGGGAATCATCCTGCCAAAGAACATACAGGTTCACAACAAAGATATCCACCTTCTGGCCCAGGCAATTTTACTGGAGAGGTATACTATGAAACCCAAAAATTGAGAAACATTCAAGTCCCCGTTTCTGGGTCAAATTAGTCAGAATAGAGATAAAAAATGATGCTTCTCTTGTTATATTTAATATTTAGTTCAATATTTTGTCTTGCGGTTAGACTGTATTGGTTGAGGCTGAATGTTGTGTATTCTCTGCTATTGGCAAAATTATCAACTTTGTTTCAATCAATTCAAAAGGTGACTTGTCTCTGTTGTTTTTTGCAGGGAAGATATTGATAGTAGTCTGAGACATGTGGGCAGCTCGTATTAAAGTACTAATCACATTCTAAGCTGATTTGCATGTCCTTTCCATTTGGTGGAATATTGATTTATTAACGTCGTGTGTATCCATCAATTTTTATTCCATGCACTGCTCTGTTACAAAGTTGGATGTGGTATGTGGAGTTAGTACTGGCTGCTACCTTGTTTATTGAACATGGTTGAACTGTGAATTTCACGTGGTGCTTTCATCTCTCACTCCTCTTCCTTTATCGTTCTCGTTGTGACGAACGGAATAATAAATGATTGTGAATTTACGTACTCTGAATGATGTGGCAATGTACTCAGTTTCCTGGGCAGCCTACTGCCATAGCCCGCTGCCAACACCCATGTTCACACTCTTTTGTTTGATATCCTATTTTGGTACATTTTTTCAAGTTTTGGAAGATCTATTTCTTTAAATGATAAAAGTAGTTTGTGCGAAGTGCGGTTAAGTAGAGTAAAAAGGAATCAGATAAAAGGTACTCTACCGAACTTCATTGGCAATAAAACATATTCAATGAATGGTCTGGCTTGGAAGTGCCAGGGTTTTATTTTAGCAGTAGAAGTATGATCTTGAGGTTCCCGAGGAAAATCAGACCTTTATTATCTGTGGTAGTTTTGAGGCTTAAGTTGAATTGAAATGGATGTATGACTTCTACCACCTATAATGGCTAGGTTAAAGTTTCTTTACATGAACAGAGTAATAAAAGTCATTTTTTTAAAACGATTCTAGTATAATAACTTCACCCATTATTGCTAAAACAATGTTTTATTGAATAGTGAGAATATCGATCAATTGACAAACAAAAGTGTTAATACTGCTGGGAACACACTCTGTAAGGATTGTCTATATAGAAAAATGTAACCTGATTCAAAACGTGCTGAAAAGCAAGGGTTACTAACATTACTATAACAAAGGACTGCCCCAGAAATTATCCATGTTTGTAAATGACGAAGTTTCATGAGAAAAGAGCAAAGTAAATCTTTAAAATTGCGACCACAGTGGGAGTCGAACCCACGACCTTCTGATCCGAAGTCAGACGCGCTAATCCACTGCGTTATGCGGTCCTTTTTGTTTAAACTTACTCAAAGTTTATTAATCGAGTTAAATTTGTTAAAGCTTACTCAAAGTGCATTAATATAGGTTGTATTTATTGTATAGTGTTGCATCTAATTTACATGATTTTGTTAAGGTTAATGACTTAAAAGAGCGGAAAGGAATACGTAACTAAAGTATTTATCTGTAATTTAAACTTTCTAGATAATAATTATATCAAATGACCGCATAGCGCAGTGGATTAGCGCGTCTGACTTCGGATCAGAAGGTCGTGGGTTCGACTCCCACTGTGGTCGTAATTTTTTTATTTATGAATCCTCACACACAAAAAACAAGTTTAAAATTGTGTTTAATTATTCTATCTTAAGTTGTAAGGGTTTGATACTTCATACGAAACGACGTCGTTGGTGGCTCGATAGGAGTTCGGTTAGGGTTTTAGCATTTCACCGTTGAGAGCGTGGAAGATTGTTGTGGTAAGAGAGAGCGAGAGAGAGAATCGGAATGAGTGGTGCGGTGAAGCGACGCGAGAGTGTTGGGAGTTGCAGAGAGGAAGATCAGCTGATAGTGACTCCTTTAGGCGCTGGAAATGAAGTGGGTCGTTCATGCGTGTACATGTCTTACAAAGGCAAAACCGTTTTGTTCGATTGCGGAATACACCCTGCTTATTCAGGCATGGCTGCATTGCCCTATTTCGACGAGATTGATCCTTCTACCGTGGACGTTCTCCTCATCACTCACTTTCACTTGGACCATGCTGCATCCTTGCCCTACTTTCTCGAGAAAACCACTTTCAGAGGCCGCGTTTTCATGACCTACGCTACCAAGGCCATTTACAAGCTCCTCTTGTCTGATTTTGTCAAAGTCAGTAAAGTCTCCGTCGAAGATATGCTTTATGACGAACAGGACATCAACCGCTCCATGGATAAAATTGAGGTACTTTTCTCTTTGCACCCTCTTTTCTCATTTAGGGTTTTATCAAATTGGATTCTCGTTGAATTCGCACCTTCATCTTAGGTTAATGCACCTTCTAATAGGTAATGGGGTTTTTCCTGTATCTACCTGTGCAGTAGGAACTTAGTTTGCACTAGAAGAGATTGGTTTGTTAACTCAATTATGAAATCAGACATTGAAATATACTGATACAAGTGGGAGAAGAAAACAATAATAATATTGAACATTTATCGAATATGAAATCTCCTTCCAGTTTCCATTATAATTGTGTGTTGGATGCTGATAAAATAAATTAATTAATTAATCATTGTGTGTTGGATGAATCTAGAGGCAGAATTCAATGTTCAATAATGTGGCATCTGGGTGAGGGTTCCATACATTCCTCTTTGTTTGGATTTTCGACCTGCGTTACTGGTTCTTTTTTTTAGTAAACTTTTCCATAAATACAAATAGGAGAAAAAAATAAGAAGGTAAGATAAATTCAGTTTTTCATATGAGTAATCAAAATCAACTTATGCACTTCAACTTCGAGAGAAGTTAAATGGGAGAGCTTCTATAAAAGTTGAGTGCATCTGTTGATTTTAGCTTGCTGGATAAACTCAATTTATTTATCCAGGTTTATAGTTTATCTCTTACGAGTTTTGACAAAGTTTGCTTACAGAAATCAGTGACTGCAGGTAATAGATTTCCATCAAACAGTTGAAGTGAATGGTATTCGATTCTGGTGTTACACCGCAGGTCATGTCCTTGGTGCTGCTATGTTCATGGTTGACATAGCTGGTGTTCGAGTGCTATATACTGGAGACTATTCACGTGAGGAAGATCGGCATCTCCGAGCTGCTGAGACCCCACAGTTCTCCCCTGATGTTTGCATTATAGAATCCACCTATGGTGTACAGCACCATCAGCCTCGGCACACAAGGGAAAAGCGATTCACTGATGTTATTCACTCAACCATTTCTCAAGGGGGTCGTGTGTTGATTCCAGCATTTGCCCTTGGTCGGGCACAGGAGCTCCTCCTGATCCTTGATGAATATTGGGCAAATCATCCAGAACTCCAGAATATACCCATCTATTATGCATCTCCACTCGCAAAAAAGTGTTTGACGGTGTATGAAACATACACGCTTTCCATGAATGACAGGATCAAGAATGCAAAGTCAAATCCCTTTTCCTTCAAGCACGTATCAGCTTTAAGTAGCATTGAAGTTTTCAAAGATGTGGGACCATCAGTTGTGATGGCAAGTCCAGGTGGACTTCAGAGTGGGTTGTCACGGCAATTATTTGATATGTGGTGCTCTGATAAGAAAAATGCTTGTGTTTTACCAGGGTATGTTGTTGAAGGGACATTGGCAAAAACCATCACCAATGAACCCAAGGAAGTTACTCTCATGAATGGACTCACTGCACCACTTAACATGCAGGTGCACTACATTTCTTTTTCTGCTCATGCAGACTCTGCTCAAACAAGTGCATTCTTAGAAGAGCTCAATCCTCCAAACATAATTCTTGTTCATGGGGAAGCTAATGAGATGGGCAGGCTCAAACAGAAGCTCACTAGTCAATTTGCTGATCGCAACACTAAAATTCTTACTCCAAAAAACTGTCAATCTGTTGAAATGTATTTCAATTCCCAGAAAATGGCAAAAACCATAGGGAAGCTGGCTGAAAAAACACCGGAAGTTGGTGAAACTGTTAGTGGTTTGCTGGTAAAAAAAGGCTTCACATATCAGATAATGGCACCCGATGATCTCCATGTCTTTTCACAACTATCAACAGCAAACATCACTCAGAGAATTACCATTCCTTTTTCTTGTGCCTTTAACGTCATTCGGCATAGACTAAAACAGATATATGAGAGTGTTGAGCAGTCAGTGGATGAAGAATCTGGAGTTCCAACGTTGCAAGTCCATGACTGCGTTACTGTGAAGCATGAATCTGAAAAGCATATCTCCTTGCATTGGACAGCAGACCCCATTAGTGACATGGTATCAGATTCAATTGTTGCTCTGGTTTTAAATATCAGCCGTGATGTCCCAAAAATAATGGATGAATCCGATGCCATTAAAATTGAGGAAGAGAATCAGAAGAAGGCAGAGAAGGTTATGCATGCTCTCCTTGTTTCACTCTTTGGAGATGTGAAGGTAGGTGAAAATGGTAAATTGATAATTAACGTTGATGGGAATGTAGCAGAGCTCAACAAAGAAAGTGGGGAAGTTGAGAGTGAAAACGAAGGTCTCAAAGAAAGAGTAAAGACAGCATTCCGCCGTATTCAAAGTTCTGTGAAGCCAATTCCTCTTTCTGCACCGTAGTTTATTCCTTTTCTTACATTGTCTTGGGGAGATGAAATGCCACCGTTAAGGAACACTAGCTCACATGAGAAAATTATCATAACATGTAGTTATTCTACCTTTAATATGACGAGCTTGAACAGCACATTCTCCGCTCCATTTTTGTTATTCATCGAATATTTAATCATTTAATCTTCAAATGTTTTATTACTGTCTTTACATTCTCAGTCTCTGCCATTTTCTCCTTCATAGCGATGGTGCTTATCCACCAACATCTTCAAATATTTAGTTACCCTTGAGACTCGAGGCTGTCACCTTCTTTGGCGGCTCCGATCTCCTCCTTTGTATTGAAGCATGTTGATTTTCTTGAGTCTGACATGATTAAATTTTGCTTACTGTGGTTTGTGTTTGGAAAATACAGTTTTGGACCATTGGATTTGGTATTCCCTTTACCTTAAATTTAGTAGTGTTTATCTCTCAGATGATTAAGTGTTTGAGGAAAGGTAAATCTTTAACAGAAGAGTCTTTTAATTTTTTTATTAATTAATAAAAGTGTACATGCCATCAAAATAACGTTGAAGGAGATTAACTAATTTCTTTTCACTGATGAAATAATGATGTAAAAGAGAAGTGTTAATCACTGCATCAAGACATTTTAAATTTATAGAAGAAATTATTTATTATAAAATATAATATTTTAAGATACTCATTAGTAGGATTATTTAAAATCATTTGTAGGATTGTTAGGAATAGTTGTGTAAATATCATCAAAAAATTGTCAAAAGATTGTCATGCGTTTATTTTATTCAATAGAAATCCAGATGGTATCGATGAACGTTAATGAGATAAGTCCATAATCATCTGAGACGTACTCGCATATTCCTTCCTCTTCTATAAACAGAATTTAGACATAATTTTATATTTTACATTTAAAATTCATAAAAAATTTGAAGTGTTTTTATTTTCTACTATAATTTAGTAAAATCATTTTAATAATGACAATTTAATGTCAAAAAAGAAATTTAAATATTTATATGATTGACAGCTGAAAATACAAAACTATTTTTCTCTTAAATTTTCTTTGACGATTACTATAAATATAAAACAATTTTAATTTATTCAATAACGTGAATTATATTTAAAACACGTGCTCTTTTGATAAAAATACTTAAAATGTTGTCATCTTCTATTTATTTCCTCTCATTAAATATTAAACAGAAGTAAAAAAAATGTCAATTTTCTTAAGACAAATGAAAGACAAAATTTGATAACAATATAAGAACGAATAATAGTTAAAATAATATATTCCCATTTTAATTTAATTAAACAATCGCTTGGAATATTTGTTGATATTCAATTGCAAAAGGTAATAATACCTAGATAGAATCCAGAGTAAGAATGAATAACAAGTAAATGTATTAATTCCAAGTGCATAAGTACGGTAACAAAAGCGATGAGATGAATAATATGATAAGAAAACTTAATATGTAGGGCTCATAAACTAGTATTATATTTTGAGGAATTTGAAACTAGCCTATATACCCTTCCAAAAAAAAATTAGTAAAATCCAAAATGTCCCTTGACATTAGACTGCACTTTTCTTGTTCCTGAAACTCTCCTTCATCAACGCAAATTTTTTCTTACACTGATTCACAGTCTTCCCAGGTACAGCTGCCGCAACTCGCTCCCATCTCTGGCTTGTTTCCTTTGGAAAGGCTTTTAAAGCTTGAACCAGTGCTCGTTCCTGCACTGCAGACCACACATCCTGTTCTGAACTGGAAGAAACTCCATTAGCAGATGCAGAGTTCTGACTATCTGTGCTTTTGCTATGAGAGTCTTCTGTGTTATTTGTTGAGGAGACAGGAGTTGGTACCCCTTCTAATTCTTCTCTGGTTGTCAGTGGAGACTCGATTGATTGTGCGCCAGGTTTCCTTTTTTCAAGAAATGTGTCAAAAGCTTTTGATGAATCAGGTTTCTGGAGAAGTACAGTTTTAGTTGCCTTCATTATTTCTTCTACAGATCTTCCAGTACCAATGTATTCTGAAATAACCTCCCATCTCCGTGATGTTCCTTTGGGATATTTCTGCATTCCTTTTCTCAGTAGATCAATCTCTTCTTTATTCCAAGGTTTATCCTTCTTCTCAACATTGCTTCGGGAAGCACTCCCATTAGCCTTGATGGAACCATTGCCATTTTGTTGATTCGTTTTCTCATCAGCCACCTCTTTCTTCGTACTCAGCGCATCTCTCAAAACATTTGCTTGCTCTAATAACACCTGTTTGCCTTCCATGTTCTCACAGAGACTCCTCATCTGCTCAATATCAAGTGACATGCAAAGCCTTTCTACATCATCATCAGAAATATCAAGCAAATGTTGAGATAGAATAGGTCCTGAAATTGTTCTAAGACGAGCTCGCTCCTTCCGCAACAGCTTCTTCTCTTTCTCTTTCACCTTCTTCTGTTGTAAAGCAGCTTCTGCAGCTCGTCTCTCTTCTTCCTCTTTTCGTTGCTTCTCCTCCTCTGCAATTCTGGCTGCTTCTTCTTCCTGCAATTTCTTTGCCAGGACCTTAGCCTCTTTTTTCCTTTGTTTCTCAGCCTTTTCTTCTTCCTTTCTTCTCAGTATCCTGGGGTCCCTCTTATAAGCATTATCAACAAGAGTGCGAATCCGTGCATAGTCTTCCTTCTTAGCTTTTTCTGTCATTTTCGCATTTTGCCTTTCCATCCACCTCTTGTGATCTCGGGATTCAGCTTGCTCAAGGTCAAACTCATCAGCATGAGGAAACTCCCTCCAACTTTTAAAGGAGTACCAAAAATTGTAGAAATTATCAACTTGTTTTAATGGAGTGTTATCGTCACCTAGTGTTGGAATTGGTTGAGTAACTGACCACCGCCCATTCCGCACAAAAGCAGGACCAAACACCTTAAAGAAATCCTGTGGAGCACAATCCGTGGGGATCTCGTCATCAAACTCATCTGTGGAATCATAAATCCTTCTCTTCACAGGATCGAGCAACACTTCATATGCTACCTGGATTGCCTTGAAGTGACTTTCTATTTCATCCATTTTTGCTTGTTTCACAGCCTCGGTTTCCTCCCCAAGAAGGAGAGCAGCCTGTTTATCAGGATGACACCTCAAGGCAGTTTCTCGATAGCTTTTCCGGATTTCTTCGTCCGTAGCCAGATACCTTAGATGACTCAGACCCAATAATGCATAGTGATCTTGTTGCTTATCTCCAGTACCAGATTTCTTTTTGCTCTTGCTGCTATAAGAATCGGATGGGAGGTACGCTTGTTCCTTATCATCAACAACCTTTTTATCATCAGCCTCATTCTTATCTTCCTGAACACCAAGAAGTTTCCGTGCGGCAGAATGGAAAGCATGACCTGCAGGTTCATATTTCGAAGCCTTGGTAGGAAGACAGTTTGAAGAGACAAAAATAGGCTGTCCATCTACAATCTCTGGTGAGTAAGTAATAAGACGGAATTTTGTATGTATAGCCATAATGGTGGCCTTCAAAAAATTATGTCTCCACTCAAATGTAAATCTAAAATAATTTGAACCTGCATTCAAATAAAAATTCAGTTAGATGATTCCCGATGACCTTGACTACAATATAACAAACATCTCAAACATTAATTTAATAGAATAAAATATTTCCCTAGAGTGGAAGAGAGCTACAACTAGGTGCACAAGGAGAGCTGCTCTTCACACAATAGTCTATAAACAAAGAAGTGAAGTTAAAAAAAGGCCAATAATGCAAAAAGGATCCTCAATCTCAATGCACATTACATACAGTAACATTTTTCATGTAGCAATGAGCAGATTAATAGAACACAAAAGATGAGCACACTGTCAAAAATTATTAGCCAATTTACCAAAGAATTACAAAAAACTATTTCAGAGTAGATCGGAACAACTATTGCTCCTCCATGCACAGTTATCTATGGCAGATGGGGGACGGCTAAAAACGCCCCCCCCCCCCCGCCTTCACACATTGCCTATGGCAATTGGTAAAATATTTTCCATGGTGCAGCCAGTTAACAACAATGCCTCGACAAAGTTCTAAAAATATTTTATAATGGGAATGTAGTCATCTTACTATGCAAAAGAACAAAAACATGACATAATGTCTGAATCTAAGCTAGGTTTTCATGCAGATGGGGTGAGAGAAGTGAGGCATACATACAATGAACAGGAAAGAAGTAGCTTATCAGCAAGTTTGCAGTGTACAAAGATGAGAAGGTAAGGGCTGGCCTCTCAGAAAGATGCACATTCCTCCTCCACAACCCCCCCCCCCCCAAAAAAAATATTGTTTCCCAAACTAAGATGAGATAGGTTACAGTTACAGAAAATCATTATTCAGTTACTGCACCTGGGCATAGAATACACACATTGAAAGACAATTAACTGATATCAAAGAAGTAAAACATCAATTACAGGGAAAGTACAGAGTATAATCCCCAAATGTAAATGGTAGATTCAGTTTCACATCCACAGGAAAATATTAATGCAATCTTACCAAATAAATTCAACTCTCAACTCAAGCAAAAACAGTTTAGGCACTGCTTGATATACTCACGAGACATATGACTGCCAATTATTCCCCCTCCCCTCCCTAACTTCATGAAAAGAATAAAATAAAAATCACCCCTTTCAATGAAAACAAAAAGTAAAGGTACGGAAATAACACATCCAATTCATCTAGAGTAGATAAAAAACTGCTAGAACTAACATTCAGTTAACCAAAAATTTCATATTGTAACAGTGGCCTTGCAAAAGTTCCTTTCTCTCAAAGCATGAGGATGAAAATCGAAATTTTTTGAAAAAGTACGGACAAAAATCATTCAAAGGGTATAATAAATTTATTTCATTGAATATTGTAATTAACTAAGTGCATGTTTGGTTCTACATCAGGGATCGACATTTAGGGTGAAATCACGTTGAAGACAATGCAAAAGCATCGTGTTCCCAAACACACAATAATAAGATTTGTGGATTTCCTTAAAATAGATTCCAACGCCAAAACTAACAAACTGAGAAAGCGCAGATGATAAGAGAACAATTATAAACGAATAAACGAAACAGGGGTGCAAAGTGCACGAATTCGATCACATCACAGGAAAAATCATGAAAGGAAAAAAAAAAAACTGAAAAAACCAAAGGGTGGTTTCAGATACGTAAAGACAAAGCTTGCCCTTCACTCGCAAACCCAGAAAAATGTAGGCCTTGCACCACGACAAGGTGGAACGAAAACAGATCGTGATTCAAGAGAGGAACACAAAAGCATGACCTGTGTCGTGTGCTATGCAGAAATTGATCAGATGGAGAACGGAGAGGAAGAAGAAAGATGAAAACTTTACCCAGAAAAAGGAGGGAGGAATCACCGAAAGAGGAGAAGAAGCCGACTCCGAAGGGCACAAGAAAAAGAAGGTTTTAGTTTTCGTTTGAGCGCTTTATATGCGGCAACGACCACTGCCCTATCTTTCTTCTTGCCCTCTCTTTTTCTTTCCAAAATTAAATGTAAAAACAATAAAATTACTTCATAAAATTCTATACTCGCTAAATATTCCATATAAATAAATAGAATTCTTCATGGAAATTCTATATTTTATATAGAATAAAATTATAACATATTATTGTCAATCATTTTATATAAAATAATAATTAATTTTAATTATTATAAATTTATTTTAATATTTATTTTTAAAATAAATTAATCTCTTGTTATATTAATAAAACAATATTATTTTTTATTTTTATTTAAAAAATAATTATTATTTTCTAAATTGAATCAACTCATAAACCTATCTAAATTTAAGTAAATTATAACTTAAATTAACTAGATAAAAATGGATATAGTTTATTTGGTTAAATATTTTTTATTTATAAGGTTATTTTTAATTATTAATTTTTTATCAATAATAAAAAATAATTTAAAAATAAAAATAAAATGAGATATGAGATTAAAAAAATTTCTAAATATATTTAACATAAACGATAAATAAATAATTGATATTGTAATACATAATTATTTTTCACTGATGAATTTTTTTTTCAGAAAGATATTTAAAAAAATGAAAATTATAGATGAAATACGCAACGTAATAAATCTGTTTGCTCCAATTAACTTGTTACAAGTGTGAGACCACTAGTTCTTAAAACGATGAAAATATTATTCAAATAATATCATAAACAATGAATTATGTCTAACAATACTTGATTAGTGATTTGAGATTAATATAATAACAATTAACAATCTTGGTCACTAAGCCTTTCATTTGAAGAAGTAAAAAAAATGAAAATAAGATTATTTAAATTAAAAAAGAAAAAGGTAAAAAGTGAAAAAAAATGATAAAATTATAAAAAATATAATTGATATGATTAAAATATATTTTTTAAAAGAAATTATAATATAATTTTATATATTTTTTCGTATTTGTGCGAGAAAGAAAAGTGAATAATTTTTTATAAAGTTATATTTATTTATACTGAAAATCCAACTTTTTAACACGTTTCTTTTCTTTGTCGTTTTGGTCCGCAAATTTTACCCTAAAATTTTCTATTAACATGGATTGGAGTCCCAAAGGACAAACGATGATGTAATCATTGTAGTGTTGCGCTAAACTATGAAAAACTGAAGTATAAGCATTGTTTGTAAAGTTCTAGAACAAAATTGGGAGCAGTAACAATGAAAAGAAAAATGTGGGAAGGGTTGATGTGTGAGCTGTGTTGGGGAGTGAAGGGTATGCATCAGGAGATGGCATGACACACTGATCACCATTGAATGAAATTGTTCTGGGAAAAGTCCATCCTTCTCTGAAGGTGAACTCTCGGCGATCTTTCTGCAGTAACAACTCTGTTTGCACATTGCCATTGTTCCCATGTGTCAGCAACATGTCATTGTAGTACTCTATCCCCCAAAACATCCCTATGTCACCTGAAATTTATACACCTGAAACTCAAAATCTGGTTCTTTGATTGAGTAAATTTCATTGGATGCAGTTACTTACTGAAATTTCCATAAACTTGCAGGGGTTGGTAGTTGAAACTGAAGACTCGGGTTACACTTCGCAAGTTAGGGTGTAACACCACCAGATTCCACTGGGAGTAGTTTTTGACGAAGTTCATGTTTGTGATTGTGATCTTCACCCTCCAATGCTCTTTATAACTTTGTTTCACATGCCAGTGAATTCGAATGGGGCACATGTGATGTGAACACCTGATCACTGGTGCTGGTGGTTCTCCTCGATTTGTTTGTGGTAGTTGCATCACTGAAGCCTTATCAGAACTGAAAATTTTCAAGTGACAAGGCAAATGCAAATGACCAACGTGAGTTTATATTCCCCCACCACCTAACAAAGCTTCCATTTTCCATGCGAATTGATTCATCTTTTTTCAGAAAGCACAGTTATAAAGCAGCTTCCACGCATGAAAAGGAAAAAAAGAAAATTAACTCAAGATGAGAAGATTTACTCCACACAAGTCACTCCTGGTAGCCCTTGGCAATTACAACTGCATGTGGGGCAAGGAACAATGGTACTGTCATAGAATGCAGACAAAGAGACACAACATTTTGGAGCAGATGATGCTAGAAACTGGGAGTAAATACAAGTCACATTCCACGTCTCTGCAAGTAATCCACAAAAAGAAAGTGACAATGAACCACCATGCTATTGAAATATGCATGAACAAATAGAGCATGGCGGCACAACTTATCAGAGAGAAGATAATGCACACAACACACGTAATTTCAACACAAAAACGATTAATAACTCCAAAGGAAACATTTGGCAGATGAGATAAATCTTAGCACAAAAGACTTGTTTTCCAATGCCATGTTAATGGTCTTATATTCCGAGGTGAAGAATAATGTTAACCATGTTCTCATAGACATAAAAGTGGAGTTATTAATGAACCTTAGGTGACATTTGTAGCCATAAAACAGACATTATTAAGCACTACTCACCCAAGACTTGTTGCCATCTGTGTCCATCTTTGGTAAACTTGGTTGGTTGGACCTGAAATGGTGTCCCACAGCTATAGCCAGGAATTCCAAGGGTGAAATTTTCGGGCATGTTAAAATTGTCACCTGAATCAGAGTGTGATGGTTTGATATAATTGAACTGGAAGGTGGCACCACGTTTGGTATCATCTTGTTTTACGGATGTTAGGACCCCACCTTTACAGCAATTTGCAGTCTGCATGTTGTAGGGGGTTCCAGGCATGAGATCAATGATAACTGGCTGCCTCTCACAACAATGTGGTTTCTGTTGTCCTTTAAATCTTGTGCAGTTACCTTGCTCCTTTGCCTCTGCTCCCAACATTGCCCAAATCACCTCATCACCTTTCCATGCCCAACCCAAATTCCAACCAGGCTCCTCCACATGACGAAATAGTTGGAAGTTGTACATTGAAACCCTCACCTACGAAGTAAACCAAGAAGTTGCATTTGATTTAGACATAGGTACTAGAAGTTGCAGTTGCAGTTTATAAATGTAGTAATTAGAAAATAGTTTATAAATGTCAATTATGTTTCTTCTTATGCAATCACTTAACATTTGAAAGTTTTTCACATCATATCCTTTCAGTACTAGTGTAAAGGTTTCAAGTTTCTGAAAATGCATTAGACTTATATTAGTTCATATTGAAATAACAGATAATGATAACCCAAAGTCAACATGGAAGAACAGTTACCATTAACACTCAATTCAAAACAATGAATAAAGAATAATCGATAGACACAAACTTTTCACTTCTTGATAGAATTAACTAGAGAAATACAATTACCAGAATGCCCTCATATAATGCCAAAGAAACCCACTATGATTAGCTAAAGTGACATGAAGTGATTGGAATAGAGCTCAGACTAAACTGTGGTGGCAAGCAACTGAACATAACCCCAACAAACAAACAAACAAACAAAGCGTACGCATCTCATTGTTTCCTTATGAATATCGAAATTCAGAAGACATTCTGAGAACTTTTTATTTATCTATTTCCAATATTTTTTGGCAGAGAAAGTAAGAAAAGTGGAATATTGCTTATACCCTCCCAGTGAATCAGAACAAATTTTTAAACAATTTCATACACGAGTTAGAGAATGATATCAAAACTAGAAATGCTTACATCGACTGAATCCCCGTTGTCGGACAAAAAATCCCATGTGATGATGATGTTGCCAAAAGGATCCAACGAATCGTAGCCATCTGCATTCCCGGTGAAACAGAGAATAGGGAGAAAAAGTACATTAATTTGTACATGGTCACAAAGAAATGACAAACTAGAAAGAAAAATTAAAGGGAAGGTTTGAGGTGGTTACAAGAGGGTGGTGACATGGAGGCGATGAAGGAGAAGAATATGAAAATGAAAATGAAAATGCTAGCCATGAATGAGGCAAAATGGGTTCATAGATGTTTGATCTGGCTTTGGATCAGAGAAGGTGAAATTAAGAAGAGAGTGAATGTGCTAATTCACTGCTGCTGAGTCTTGGATAATGCAGATGGACACTGAAGAAGAAACAAACGCTGAAACTAAAATCACCAGACAAACCAACCACCACACTATTTCTAGTAATCCAAACGCATCCTCGTTTTCTCTCTCTTCCTCAACCATAAACATTTACATTCATATTCATATGAATGGACCGTACCTTGGCATCACAATTCCAACAGGCATGTTTTTGTGGTTGCCATTTGTGACTACCTGAATTTTTGTCACTAAATATGTTTTTATTTTTGTACTTTATTTCACTCTTTTTTTCATGAAACATTCAAATATTTATCAGCCAAAACAGATGGAACATCATCACATATGTTATATGTAAACAGTTAAGAACTACAGGGAAAGTATATTTTAAAAATGACAAATAAAAAAACATACTTAAGGTTTTTATTATTATTATTTTATTATTATTATTATTATTATTATTATTATTATTATTATTATTATGTATCCTCTTCCTTTGTATATTAAACTATTATTAGAGTCACCACAAGAAACGGTTGAATTGAGAATGAAGTTGATTGCAAAGTTGCAATCAGAAATGGCTATTTTACAGATATGTGATGTTACAGTCATCGATTAAATATAGTTTCTTGAAGAACATTTCACACCACTCACTGACTTTTTTTTTTTTTCTTTATTCGTATACTTTTTAAACATTAAAATTTTAAATTTGGCTTAAGTAAATTAAATATTTGGCATCGAAAATTAAATAAAAAAATCAAATTTCAAATATTATTTTATTTTAAATTTCAATAATTAAATATAATACAAAAATAAGATACCCTCAATCGGAGAGGATGTTTAAATATATATATATTGGATAGACGTAACACATTGAGTATTATGCATGTCAGGAAAAATAATTACGAAAAAGACCATGTTTGAGTTATATTATTTAAGACATTTTAGTTGTTGTTTTCTTTTTTTTTTCATAAAAATGGTTTGCAATTTCAGCTATATCTGTGTGATATATAAACGTGTTTAATTTTGCAAGTTATTTTTAATATTTTATAAATTTTATAGCTAAACATGACCATCTCTCGTGATAATTACAATAGATTGAAAAAATTTAATAATATCAAAATTTTGGAAAATTATATATATATATATATATATATATATATAAAAGTTATTATTTGCAACTTCTTTTAAAAAAAATTGTTTGATAAAAAATTTATTTCTTACTATTTTTATAAAAACTCGTAGAAATATTCCTATTAAATATAAAAAAATTTATATAATATAAGACAAAAAAATTAATTTGATAATATAAGATTATAAATATTATTAATAATTAGATTATAAAAAAAATAATAATAATAATAAAGAGTACAGTTGTATGTATTATGTTTGCAAATCCTCACATTATGAATGGACAGGATTGTGTAATAAATTTGAAGAAAAATAATTCAAAACAAAAATAGTACAACAATAAAAGTTGGTAACTCATTAACCTTGAGAATTGAATGAATAATCATTTATATCAGTTTCAAGTTTGACTTTTCAGCAGATATTATCACTGAAGCAGAAAAATACAATATAACTTAATGAAATATTTATTTTATGTTATCTATTGGGAGAATGAGTTTGATAATTTTATTTTATTAGTTCATTTGTCTCGTTTCACTTAATTAATTTATTTATCTAATTAGCGGATGAATTGATCACAAAATATTATATTATTAAAATATATAAATATATTTTAATTTAATTTATAAATATATTATAATATTAAAATTTAAATTATAAATATTAATCATTTAAATTATTAATTATAATTATATATTTTAAAATATAAATATAATAAACTTTTTAATTATTTAATACAAATATTAATTAATAAATAAAAATTTAAAAACAAATTATATATTAAAAGATATATATTAATTTTTTCAATTATCAGTATATTCAATACAATTTATGCTAATATTATTTTTAATATAAATTAATTAATATAAATGGCATTATAAACTTAATTCTAAAAAATATAATTTTAAAATTGTACGAGTAGAAAGAGGTATCCACGACCTTAAAAACAATTCTGTAAGTATTTTTTTACCATTAACTATTTAGATATTATATTATTATTATTATTATTATTATTAATAATCTCAGTTGTATAAAATAAAATAAAAATATTAATGGTTTACAAAGATTTAACTGCCAATAATATGCATAATATTGATAATTGATTTTTTAACAATAATTAAGATTATTTATTTTATTGAAAAAAAATTATTGATTCCAGAAATACTACATGCTTTTATATATGCTAAGATGTTATGACTTTGAAAACAAAAACATCTTTTTATCAAAATTTATTTTCAACGAATGTGTTATATTATAGAATACAAAGTGTAGAATAGCTAAATGAAATTTTTATTATAATTATTAGTGGAAAGGTAGATATTTTATTTTTATTATAATAATTAATACAAATATATGTATTATTTTTTATATATAATTATATATATTTTTTAATATTATTTTAAACTCTATTTTATTTTTAAAATATTCATTTATTTCTCTAATTTTTATATATTTTCTCGTTCTTTGATGACAATAAAAGAAAGTTAATTTTTTATATACATAGTTATAAGTAAATAAATAGTCAATATTTATTTGCAATCCATTATATTTTATCTCTTACTCCTATATGAGCATTTTACCTTTTTCATTGTTAATATATTTTTTTAGATTTAATTGAAACTAGTATTATTTTGGTTCTTATATACAGGATTTATTTGTTCATTTTTTTGTACAAACATGTTTTTATAAGTCTCTTTTAAGCTGTATTGATAAACTTATGTAATTTCTATTAATTAACTTGAGTATGAACAAATATTATATAAAAAATATTATTTAAAAGGTTAATTAATATATATATAATTTTAAAAGATTTCCATACAAAATCTTATTTTAAAAATATAACTAAATTAGTTTTCATTTGAACATTAAAATTAAAATTTTAATTAAATAAAATTTTTTCAAGATAATATCTCTAATATATAAAATTAAATTAACCGAAACTTTCTTAGATTTTAAAATACTTTTCATAAAGTTTTTTTTTTCCTTATATAATTATTATCCTTTGAAAACAAAAATATGTAAGAATATATATAGAGAGATCTACCTTACAATAATTTATGTGGGTGATGGTCATTGTTAAATGTGAAAATTTTCAAAATTTTAATTAAAAATATATATTTTATAATGATATATTAGTTCCATTTTCTTAAAATCTCTGTAACTATTCCAATTTTTTAAATTTCAACCATACAAATATTAAAAGATAATACAAAAATCTTTTTTAAAAAATCATTAAATATCTGTCAGTGGGTAAGAAATTTGCGTATATTCATGGAAAAAAGATATGAAACAAATAAATCATAAGAAATATATATTTTTTTAAATGTTTGTTCATGAAGCGTTTTTATGACTAATTTTAACTTTAACAAAAACATAAACTCAAATATTTGTCTTTAATTGATATAAAAGATGTAATTGATAAGATATCCTAAAAGTTAATTAAAAGATTGGAATATCTTAATTAAAACAATAAAGAAAAAAAAGTCAAAACCCTATTTATTGTTTTGTCTTTGACCTCGAAAATATATTAATTATTTGAGAAATTAATTATATAAATAATATATTTCAAAAGAAAACTACTTAATTAAAATTTCTATTAATTTATTTATTCAAATAGACATATTTATTGTTTATATTATTTTTGTATGGATTTTCATGATTTTTTTTCTCCCTTCTCATTCACTCATTGATTATCTTTTGATATCAAATACTTATGACTTAAATGTAATTTTTTTATTTAATAATTTTATCTAGTTATAATTAAATAGAGTTATCAAGAGTAGTAGTATTGGATAATTTTTAAAAATATTATTAAAAAGTTACTTTAAAATAAATATTTAATTTTTCCTATTCATGATAACGTAACAATTTAAATATCTTAAATTTATAATATAATATTTTTTAATATAATATATTAAATTGAAAATATTTTTTAATAATTTAAATATTTTTTAAATAATAAAAAACCTATTTTATCAAATTTTAATTTAATATTTTAAATTAAAAGAATAAGATGAGTGACAAAAGAGTAAAGAGAAAAATGAAAGCAAGAAAAGGGATATGAGAATAAAAGAAAGAAAAAGTAAATGAACATAAAAAAAGAAACAAAAGAACAAATGAGTGAAGAAAGAAAAACAAGAAAGGAATAGTAAGAATAATATATTTTAATAGAAAATTTACTCCCATTTATTTTATTTATTCAAGTAAACTTGTTTACTAATCAATAGGGATGATAATTAAATTTGTAATCCTCGGACCAATTTGTAATCGTCTTGAATTTAATGGGAAAAAATCAAGTTGATTAAGATAAGGTAAGACTTTCCACATTTTAGAAAGTCGGGATGAGGACGAGGATGAGTAATGCCATCTTCGTCTCAACTTTATATTTAAATGTAAATTTTAAAATATTATTATTTTAAAATATTTTATTTTCTTTTTTCATTATATATAATGTCATTTATTTATATTTCACCATTTTTTTTCTTCTATCTATTTTTTAATTCTTTTATCTTTTTTAATCTTTTATATCAATTAGTTCATTACATTATTTTTTTCTTATCTTTTACTTTTTTATATTCTTTAATCTCTCTAATCAAATTGTTTTTTTTTAAATCTTTTCAACCAATTTGACAAATATAAAGTCAATTTTTTTCTTATTCATCTATTTCTAAATATTTTACATAAATCTTAATAATAATTAATATTATTTTATTTATATTTTATCTTTATTAGGTTTTATTATGTTATATTTTTTGGATATGATTATTCTTATTTGTCAAATATCAAATTTCATCTTAATAAAATAATTATACTTTAAATAATTAAAAATAATTAATAATTTAAAATTTTATTAATTGTAACTAATTAAATAATAATTAACTTATTAAATATTTTATTATAAACTATATATTTCATATTTTTAAATGACAAAGAATTAACTTTTATATATATATATATATAATAAAATGGTTAAATACAGTATAATAATAATAATAATAATAATAATAATAATAATAATAATAATAATAATAATAATAATAATAATAATGTTATAAATAATAATTAAATGTTTATTTTATATACATATTTTAATATAAATATAATAAATTAAATATATATATTTAATTAATAATTATTATAAATTATAAATATTTATTTATATATACAAAATATATAAATATATTAAATTTAATTTATTAAAAATATAGTTATTTTTTTACAAATAATATAGATAAGGGACGGAGAGACGAAAAATCAAAACTTAATAAAGACGGGAATGGGTATTAATTTATAACCCAACGAGAATCAAGCCAGAGACAATTAAAAAAGTTAGAGTGCAGATCGAGGACTAATATTTTTTTCAAATAAAATATATAAAATTAAATATTTTTGGATTATTTAATTTTTTTTTCAGAAATAAAAAAAAGACTCATTTTATCAAAATTTAATTTAATAATTTGAATGGAAGAATATATTAGCGGAGAGAAGAACAAACACAAGTGGAAAAAGAAGAAGGAAAATAAACACTAAATAAAAACAGAGAAAATACATAATAAGAAATAAATTAAAAAAATGCACAAAAAAATAATAATTATATTATATAAGGTGAATTTACATATTAAATTTTATACATGAATAATAAATAAGTCTAATTTGATAAATAAATTTTAAAATATTTTATTTAAATTTTTCTTTTAAAATATATTATTTATAAGATTCAATTGTAATTTTTATTCTCTTTTCTCATTTTTTTTATTCACTTCCTATTTTATTTTATTTTTTTATCTTAAATATCGTTTTTTTTCTCCATTTACCTAATTAAACTATTATATTAAAATTTAATGAAATATGTTAAAACAAATATTTCAAAAACAACATTAAAACTAAAAAAAATATTAATTAAATATTTAAAACTATAATGATAATAAATAATTTTATTTATTTTGAAAATAAATACTTTTATTTACAATGTTATAAATAATTAATTTAAAAAATATTTTATCATAATAAATAATTACTCGTCTAATTAAAAAAATCAAATATTTATAATTTAAATATATTTTATTAATAATTTAATTTAGTTATAATTAGACTGATTTATGATAATTAGTTAGATTAAGTATTTTTTTTAGAATATTTATTAAAAATACTTTAAAATAAATATTTAATTTTTTCTTAATAATTTTAACATAATAATAATACTTATAATATCTCAAATTTATCTATAATATTTTTCTTATATAATATATTAATCATAAAATTTTTTGGATAATTTAAATATTTTTTTACAACAATAATAAAAGACTCGCTTTATTAAATTTTAATTTACTATTCTTAATTGAAAAATAAGAGAGGGAGGAAAAAAAAAGAAAAAAGAAAAAACAAAAGGAAAAGAAGAAGAAGTTGGCAGAAAAGAATAACTAACTAGGAAAGTGAAAAAAAATTAAATTTTGTATATGAATAAGGAGCAAATTTAATTGGATAAATAAATTAGAAAAATTATATTTATTTAAGATATTGATATGAAAATAATTATATTATACTCAAATAAATTTTTGTGCGTATAAAAATAAATAAGTCTAATTGAATAAATAAACTTACATAAATTATATTTATATATTTTTTATTTAAAATATTTTATTTAAAAAATTGATTCAATTATTTGATGGATGAATTATTTTTTAATTATATTTTTTCAACAAATATAATATATTAAAAACGAAACTGGTATTTAAGAGATGTTGTTAATATAATAACTTAAAATTTTTTATTTTTTATAAAATTGTACAAATTTATATATATTTTTTAAAACAAGATAATTTAGATATTAAATTATTCTCAAATTTATCATATAATATTTTTGTAAACATAATATATTAAATTACAATATTTTTAGATCATTTAAATATTTTTAATTTTCAAAAATAATAAAAAACTCATTTATTAAATTTTAATTAAAGAATAAGATAGTGTGAGAGAATAAGGAAAAAAATATGGAAAGAGAAAAATAAAACAAACACTAAATAAAGATAAAGACAATATAATAATAAATAAAGACAGATAAATAATAAGAAAAAAATGAAAAAAATAAGAAAAAATGAGAAAATAAATGAGAAATAAAAAAATTAATTATATTATGTTAGATAAATTGATTTTCTTTTATTGAATTTTATACATGAATAGTAAAATTAGATAAATAAACTTAAAAGGATTATATTTAAAAAACAATTATTTTTAAACATATTATTTATTTTTGTTTATTTACTCTTTATTTAATTTTATTTTTTATCTTAAGTCTTTTGTATTTCTCTTTTTATTTTCCTAATTAAATTAATATATTAAAATTTAATAAAAATATATTAAAAATAAAAAAAAAACTAAAAGAATATTAGTTAAAATAAACAAATATTTATAATTTAAATATATTTTTATTAATAATTTAATCTAATTATAATTACGCTGATTTATGATAGTTAGATAGGATAAATAATATTTTATAAATATTTATTAAAAAAATAATTTAAAATAAATATTTATTTATTTTCTAATAATTATAACATAATAATATTTGTAACATCTCAAATTTATCATATAATATATTAAATTATAATATATTCTGATCACTTAAATATAATTTTTTTAACAATGATAAAAGACTTACGTTATTTAAATATCTTTTTTTAACAATGATAAAAGACTTACGTTATTAAATTTTAATTTATTATTTTCAATTGAAAAATAAGATGGAGTAAAAAAAAGTAAATAAAAAGAGAAAAATAATAAATGAGGAAAAACAAAAAATATATGTAAAATAAATTTATTTCTTATGTATGAAAAAAAATAGTTAGATAAATAAACTTAAAAAGATTTTATTTAAATAAAACATTGATTAAAAACAATTTTATTATATTAGAATAATTATTTTTTATTATTAAATTTTATGTAATACACATGTTTAATTAAATAAATAAACTTATATAAATTATATTTAGATATTTTTTTCTAAAATATTTTATTTAAAAAATTGATTCAATTACTTGATATATGAATTATTTTTTAATAATATTTTTTTCAACAATTATAATGTATTAAAAACGATACTGGTATTTTAGAGATGTTGTTAATATAATAACTTTTAAAAAGTTTGTTCTTTATAAAATTGGACAAATTTGTATAAAATATTTTTATACAAGATAATTTAGATATTAAATTATTTTATTTTTTTATCTTCTATATTATATTTAAAAATATTATAAATTTTCAGAAATAAAATAATACAAACATAAATACTACATCATATTACACAAGACAAAAGCTTTTGTCAAGTGACACATCATGGATCAAAATCTCATTACACGTGTTCACCGCATCATTCTATTCTAGTCTATTTAATGGTTCTCTTCCTCAATTTCTTTCTCCAGATTCAAAATCCCAGAAAACCATCATCATGTCAAGTATCAACAACACCAACACCTATATCGACCAACCAAAAACATGTTCCGAGGAAGAGGTTAGTTATAAGGAGTGTTGTCGCAACCATGCAATAGCCATGGGAGGAGCTTGCTATGATGGGTGCAATGAGTATCTTCAAGCAAGCGGCGACAACATAAGCGCTGAAAACAGTTTCCTCTGTGCTTGTTGCGGTTGTCACCGCAACTTTCACCGCAGATACATTGTTTCAAACAGCCAACCTCAGATTGAAACAGAGGAAAATGATGGTCGGAACGAAGTTCCAGTTTCAGAGCCATGTCAGTGAGGGTTTGACAGCAACCCAGAGCCAGTGCAGGAAGTGGGGCGACCCAGGAAGAAGAGAATCACCTTCTAACCTAACCAGAGGAACCAAATGACAAGGTTTGCTGATATTGTGGGGGTGGAAATCGACATCCAACGTTTCTGCACTGACATGGGATTCAGTCTCAGGATGTTCGTGGTGTTCATGGTTGGATAGGTCTTGGCACTTGGAGTTAATAAACATTTCTCTTGTATTTTGTCCAGTTTGGTCTTTAGGATAGTATTATGAATGTGAACAAAGCTTTTGTTAAGAATTAGGACCTGTTTGTCTGCTTTTCCTTTTGCATATGAAGTGCCTTCCTTTTAGTGATTCAGTCCATGTAACATATTTTCATGAGTGATAAAGTTGTCATCTTTCATGTTCAGAGTTAATTATATAAATATGCTGCAGAATTTTCTCAGAATTATTCAGATTCATTACGAACCCAGAGACGTGTTGAACTGATTCAATTTTGCATTGAAACAGAGATAAGACACAAGCAGTGTTAATTTTCTCCTTTGTAATATAAAATTGAAGTAGTTTTGGTTCACACAGAACAACGGAATTTAATCAACCATTTGTCTCATCCATAATTTATGCAACTTTTAATTTAATGCTGCATTAAAAAAATGAAAACTCATTTAATAATTTAGTGATGAAATATATATTATTAATTAAACATACAATTATCCAAGTCTTAAGCAAGGAATGGGAGTTTTGAATTGAGTTGTGAATCAATATTTTAAATTCAATAACAGTTAATATAACAAGTAACAAGTACACAAGGTTTCATTTTTATAGATGAAATAATTACTATGACATTATATTAATAAATTAAAATATTAACATACTGTTTAATTTATAGATGAAATATATATATTTCACATTAATTGTTTTACTATTATTAAGTATTACTATTAAGTGGTGACATGACAAATTGAAATACATGTATTTTATGTTACTTATAATGTATATTTAGATGAAGAAACCGAGTAGCAAAATAATGTTGATTAAAGCAATTTCTAATGATTGTAAGAAATTACAACATTTTTGGTAGTTTCAAATTACGGGAGAAAATTGTCTTCGATGAGTACGATGTTGTCCAAATCGATTTGCAATATAATGAAATTATACCGTATAAATATGTAAATTTTACTTTGCTAGATAGTTTTGTGAGATAAAAAGTAACTAATAAAAATATATTAAAAAAATCTACACTTAAAAAGAAAAATGGGTGACATAATTTTCATTAACTATCATAAGTGCCTATTCAACTTCAAGATTGACTTTTTCAATCACACTAATTAATGAAGTATAATTATAACAGTTATGACAACAGAAGAACACAAATGTAACTTAATGAGAAGAGTTATTACATTAAATACCAATTAATGATTATCTTTATTAAAAGAATGTATAAGGATATATTTGTTTAAAGGAAAAATGTGTGTGGAAAAAAATGGTAATATAAGGAAATGAATAAAAAAAATTGTCCATATTCAATTATTTGTAAAGTAACTAAAGTTTCTTCCTACGTAAATATAAAATATTATATCAAATTTAAAATATAAAAATATAAGTCACTTAGTCTATATTATGAAAAATTATCGTAATATTATATATATATATATATATATATATATATATATATATATATAATCGGAAAAAGTCCATTAAATATGGCATTTTAGTTAATTAAATATCAATAAATCGATGAACGCTTCACACACATAATATTAAAAAAGTGTTAATTTAAAGAAATAAAGTTATCTTATAAAAATTATTACGACTTTAAAAATATAAAAAATTTACATTTTTCGTCTAATAAAACATATTAAGATCTCCAACTATAATGTTAATTTAATGCAAGTTTCTTCGTGCAAAAAACAATTAATATAATAAATGATAAATTACAATTAAGGGTCTCGATTCCCACGTCAAAAAAAGCGCGACATAAGAAAATGAAAAAAAAATATATATATTTTCTTTAGTTAAGAAATTGACATGAAAAATAAGAAAAATATTTATTCTAAAAATAAAACTATATATATATATATCAATTATTTTTTATAAACAAAATAAATTTTTTAAATAATTAAGATATGTTTTTTTAATAGTGTATATATATTTATAAAATATTTTGTATCACAATATATATATATATATATATATATATATATATATATATTTAAATACTTAAATTTAAATTTGTAAAATAATATTACATGAAAAAGTAGGTGACATATTAAATTATTCATTTAATTTTTATAATAATGTTCATATTTATTACGTTCTAGTAAAATAACATAATTAAAAATTTATATATATATATATATATATATATATATATATATATATATATATTCAAACTATATACATAAAAATAAATAATAAATTGTATAAAATATTTTTTAACATTTCTATTATTTTTCGTTCATATAAAAGTAAAAAGTAAAATACATAAGTTAGGAGAAAAAAATAAAATACATTAAAGATGAATAACTTTTTATTAATTTTCTCATTACATATTTAAAAAAAAATCCTACTTTCTTCCACTAATATTGTTTATTGTTTATTTTTCTTATAAACGAATATACTCAAAGTTGACTATTAATTATCAGTTGATAATTATTAATAAAATTAGAGTTATATATAAAGTATATTTGGTAATTAATGTTAAGGAGATATTTATTATTTATAAATAATAATGAAAAACTGCAAACTTTTAAGGGAGAGACTTAAAAAATAAATGAGACTACAAAGTTTATAGTTTTTAATGAATTTTAATTAATGATAATGACTGTTTCCACATTTTTGAATTTTTTTAATAAAAAAGAAGTTTAACAGACATACTTTAAAAATGTATTATTACTTATTTTTCACAAAAAAAGTTAAAACTAATCCTAGAAAGAACTGTTTCCATGTTTTTTAAGAAGCTAAAATAAAAAAGGCTCGAAAACAATTATAGAACATAATAGTTATGCTTTTAAAATTACATCCATTAATTGATCACACTCACTAAACCTTTTTTTTGGCAAATTAATAGGACATCATATTGTATTAATTTTTTTATCAATACCCTTATTTTTACTAAATATTTAATTTTTCTGCATAATTAATAATTTTAAAATTAAGAAATCGTATTACATTCTAACTTTTTTTTTTTAATTTCCAAACACATCAGGAAACAAAATTTAAGCTAGTAAGCAATATGTTTAATTTTTAGTTGGTATTTATAACGAGTTTTCTTCTTTTAAATATGGTATTATGTTATTTTTTATTTTAATGTTTAGTTTTTTCATTTATTTCATTTTATAAATCTTTATATACATTATACATATATGTTAGATAATAGTTTAAGTTATTGAATCTGATTTTTTTTATTTAACTTTAATATATAGGTTAGCAAATAATTTTGTTTAAAATTGTTTTCAATTTGTTTTTAATATATGAAATTTGGTAGGTAGACTAATTTTAGTCCATAATAAAATAATTATTGTAATATAATTGAAAGAATGATAATATAATTAATTCGTTTTTCATTTTTTTAAAAATTCAGTAAATTTGAATATCTATCGGGTTGACCCTATGAATTTAGAAGACTTTGAACCAATTCATCATTTTGGTAATTAGTGATCATTGTTGATGGAAGAAGGTGGACAAAAAATTACAAAATTTAATATAAAATAATTGTTGTTTTTTTAATGATTTGCAATTTCGTTATCTTGAATTCTCTTCGATATTTTGATTTCAACGACCTAAACATAAACAAATATAATAAAATTTTAATTTGCATAACTAGTTAAAATATTTGTGTGTATTTATGAAAAAATTGTAAGAAATATATGTTATTATATATATAATATTAAAATGTTTTATGACTAATCTTAAGTGTGACGAAACTCTAAACTTGAAGATTTGTCTCTAGTCAATCCAAAAGAACGTAGTTGATAAGAGATATTGAAGTTCATTAAAAGAACCAAAGATGTTAATTAAACCATTGATGAAAAAAATTAAATAACCTTATTTATTGCTTCACCTTTAACGCGAAAAATAGGAGGAGGTGTTGATGGATGAATTAGCTTTATGAAAGTTTGAACAAAACACAGAACACAAAACACATCTTAGGATGCACATGAGATTAACTGACATCATGCATCAAAATCTCATTACATGTGTCAACCTCACCTTTCAACTCTACTCTATTTAACTGAACCTCTCTTCAGCACAAATGCACACATACATTATTAACCTTCTTCTCTGTTATTCCAAATCCCAAACCCCACCACCATGTCGAGCATGAATACCAGCAGCTACACCAAGCAGCTAGAAGCATATTGTGAGGAAGAGTTTGCATATGAGGAGTGTTGCCGCAACCATGCAGTGAATGTTGGAGGATCTTGCATAGATGGCTGCCATCAGTATATGAAAGCAAGAAGCAAACGGAACTCTCAGAAGAGTTTCCTTTGTGCTTGTTGTGGTTGTCACCGCAACTTTCACCGCAAGAAGAACAATGATTCTAAGCCTGTGGCCCAGACTGTAACAGAGGATAACCATGCTCTCGATATGGTTCCTGTTACAGACTTAGGGCCTCCCAACAACCCAGAGCCAGTGCAGCAGATAAGGCCACCCAGGAGAAGGAGGACCACCTTCTCGCGTGACCAGAAGATCCAAATGACAAGGTTTGCTGATATTTTGGGGTGGAAACCTCATAAGGGTAACAGGGAAGATATTCAACGTTTCTGCAATGACATGGGAATCAACCGCAAGATATTCGTCATCTGGCTCAACAACAACCGTCACCGTTCTGTTCAGAATGCCAACCTCAGAAATGATTCATCAACCAACTAGAGGTTGATGATGGTGGTCATGGTTGGATCCGTCTTGGCACTTGGAGTCAATAAGCATTTCCCTGTATTGTGTCTAGTTTGTGTTTAGGCTAGTATGAGTGTGATCAAAGTGTGTTTGTTTTTTTCTCTGTTTTTCTTTATTCTGTTCTCTTTGCATATGAAGTGCCTTGACTTTCAGTGATTCAGTTCATGTACTTGACTTTCTAAGTAACTAAGTTGTCATGTTTGTTGTGTTTCGGATGTTGTTAATTTTTCTTCACTCTCTCTTCACAGTACCTTCATGAATTGTTTATTTAGCGCGGAAGAAAACCATTGACATCCAATTCTCCCCTCTAATCAGAGAGCATCATATCAAATCATATCATGTTTGTAGAATATTAACGTTGTTTGTGTCTGTGTTTACCTCCTTTTCCATTGCTGAGAAATAAAGCAAATAATAAAATTCAATACCAACAAATTAAAAAAAAACAAAAGTTTGATGATTAATTTATATCTTGAATAATACAAAAATGAAAAAAAAAATATTAAAAAAAATATTTAAAGATTAATATCTCTTTCTAATATATATATATATATATATATATATATTAAAGAATTTATATTTCACAAAATAAAAAATATAAAACTTTAATTATTTGTTTGACTATAGCGGAGGAAGAGGAGAAAAATAACGATGTAAGCGGCAATGAATTTGTCTGTATCCGTTCGTGCGAAAAAGATGCAAAAATCGAAACGGTATACGAAACGTCACATTTACGCATAAAATGGAAAAGAAAAAGTAACGAAGAATATCATTAAAACAAAAAATTAATTTCAAATCTTAAAAATAAAATAAAATAATAAATAATATTATAATAAAATTATTTTCTTGTGTTTCAAGCTACTGTTATTATTTTTAGGTGTGACTTTTCATATTTTAATCCCAGAATGTGTAAAGGATCGCCATAGTAAAATTGAAGATATTTTGGATTAATTTTATCTTGGATGAAATATAAATAACTAGAACGGTAAAAACCATATCCAAATTGCATAGAAATAATGATTAAGTTAATGATTTTTTTTGTTTGATTGAAAATTTAAAATTTAAATATTAATATATTTATATAAAACTATTAATTAAAGAAATATTAATATAAAAAATATATCATTAAAATTAAATTTATAATAATAAAATTATTTTTTATATAATATATAATAATTTAATATATAAATTACAAGAGAATGAATATTATTATTATTATTATTTATTAATTTAAAATATTAATTAACTTTAAATATTAGATATTTGAATATAGGAATAACAGTTAAATTTATATCTACATAATCGATTCGTCTTTATCTCAAGTTTGTCCAAAAAAAATATTGAATTGACAAAGAATTTAGATTTTTTTCACTTTAAAAAATGCGGCATCATAATACATAACATAATCCCCTCTCTAACTCTGTTCCCAACCCTATTTAAATTTAAATCCTAAAATTTAAAAATGAATGTTTTTCTTACATTATTTTTTCTATATTTCACTTTTTTATTTTTTTTTGTCAACTTTTTCTCTATTTTATCTTCTTCCATTTATTAGATAAATAAATTCATTATGATTATTTCTTATCTTTTAACTTTTTCACATTTTTTTTATTTTTTTTCAATATTTTCAATCAATTTGGGGCAGATAGACAAAACTTATTCCCAACCCCACCCTCACCTTGTTACCATGTCTATTTGAATATGTTGTTATAAGAGACTTATTTTTATATTTATAATAAGTGAATCATTTATCAAATTAATTAATAATATATATATAATAATATTATATTACTTCTATTTTATTTTAAAATAATTAATTTATAAAATAAATTAAGTCTAAAGACTAACTTAATTTAAGTACATATCAAAATAAGTTTAATTTAATTTAAACTATAAATTTTGAGACTAACTTATATTATTTCTAGGATTTTTTAAGATGATCGATCATACTATATCTATTTTAACACCTCCATAAAAATATATAAATAAGATTAGTTTTTTCAAAGTTTCGTAGGGTTATTTTTTATGTAAATTTTAAATTTTTAAATAAAAATAGTGTTATAAATATTATTTGTTATCATTTTATTCAAATAAATGTTTTAAATCATTACAAATTAGATATGTGTTCAATTAACTTAATATCCATTAAAATATTAGATTATAATAATTATGATTAGAGTTGATGAGTGACCCAATCCAATGTGATATAAGTAAAAATCTTTAATACGTAAGCGTATATTTAAAAACGAATCAAAGTTTTTAATTTAAACTGATCAAAGTTTTAGTTTAATCTAATCATCTATTAAGCTAACATGTTAAATGATCAATTTTATTGTAATTGAAGTTAAAAAACAATATAACACATTTATACAAAACTAATTAATTAAAAAATATATAAATAAAATGAAAAATAAATAAATATTTTAAAATTTTAAATTATATTAATAAATTTATTTTTTATTTAAAATATAATAATTTATTAGAGAATATATCCATTTTATCTAAAAATAAAAATTTAAAAAATATTTTCTATTACTATTATTTATTTTTTAATAATTTATTAGTATAAAATATTAATTAATCTTAATTATTAAAATTTAGAATAATTTATTATTAAAAACTTATTTTTAACATTTATTAAGTGAACTTTATTAAATTAATTTATAATATATATATATATATATATATATATTAATAAAATAATATTATTTTATATAAAAAATAATTATTATTCTATAAATAAAACTTTTGTAAATTTACGAGATAATATGATTAAACTCGTATAAATAATATTACAAATTCAATTTAATTATTTTTATTTTTTTACCTAAACTATTTATGAAACAAGTGATTTTCCGGCCCAAAGAATAATAAGATTTAATCAACCATTTATGAAAACCACAATTTACATATGTTTTTAACTTAATGCCACGACACAATTTTCTTTGAAAAACTCGTTCAATTCATTGTCGAAATTATATAAATATATTAGTAATTAAATGATAGAATACATAATTGTATTTATTAGTTTAATATTAATTTTTTATTATTTAATATAAACTTAATACATTTGATTAATTACATTTTTATATAAATTTTAAAATTAATTATATAAAATAAAAGATATTAATACGATTAAGTAAAATAATTAATATATTAAATTAATAAAAAAGAATGAAAAATTATGAAAAGATTGGTTGGAGAAATTATTATAGATTAAATTACAATTTTTTTTATTGTCAAGATATAAGACATGAGCTAACTTGTTCTAGTGTTGGACTATAAATTTAAAGTGACAACTAAATTGACCTAATTAAAATAGAAAAATGTTGACTTTAGCACATTTATTTTTCTTATACAGTGTGTTATCTTTCTTATTTTAAGTAAAATAAAATATATAGATCTTATTATTATAATAATAGTTTAATTGGATTATATGGACAATAAGAAGATTTAATATATTATTATTATTTAATTATATACTAAAATTATTATTATTATTATTATAAATTTTTATTTAAAATAGCTTCAATTATTTCACAGTGTACATTTATTTATAATAGTTTACAAATAAAACTTTTAAAATAATATATACTATTAAATTAACTTAAGTTTGTAAAAAAATTAAATTAATTTATAATCTGAAAGCAATTCAATAAACTTGTTTTTATTTTCTTTAGTTACCATTAAATTATTACTGTATTATTTAAATTTTTAAATTCATATGTTTTATTTTACTTTTGATTACATGCTCAAGATAGAATCACAAGATCCAGCATGGCACCATGCTATTGGCCCAGTACACGTATATTTCCAAACTTTTTTTTTTTTTTCGAAAACATTTGATTAATCATTTGAATTCTAAAAGATTCATTCTTCGAACCTCAACATTCATATTTATTCACGTTTCAATTCAGATCCAAAAACAGAAGAAAGAGAGAGAATGGACGCCATTGATTCCGTGTTCGATCCACTCAGAGAATTCGCCAAGGACAGCGTCAGGCTGGTCAAGCGATGCCACAAACCCGATCGCAAAGGTGCAAACCTAACCCTAACATTCCTCGCTCGTTCTCTTCGATTCCTCTTAGGTTTCGATTTTTTGTTTGTTTGTTTGAAATCAAATCTATGTACTATGTATCTTGATTTATTGGATGCCTTTGGTATTTCAGAATTCTCTAAAGTTGCTGTGCGTACCGCGATTGGTTTCGTTGTGATGGGATTCGTAGGCTTTTTCGTCAAGCTCATCTTCATTCCAATCAACAACATCATCGTCGGATCTGGTTAGGTAAATTTATATTTCTCTTAATTTTATTTTCATTAGTATTTTTTTTTTCTTCTCTTTTGTCTTATGTAGATCTCTGTTTTTTATTTTCTAGTTGGAACTTGGAGACTGATCTGATTTTTTTTTTTGGTAAATTTGTAAATCTTGTTATTTGAAGGACTGGTTTGGTTAAGTTTTTGGTGGTATTGTTGACTGTGCTGTCGTGCTGTAGTATCTTGGAACAATCTGATATGATGATTTAATACGAATCAGGGATTTAGGGTAACAATTTGAATAAATAATTTGAGCTGGGTGCTCCATAATATCAGAGAAAATAAACGGAGGAATTTGAAGGAAATAGCATAGGGTGAACAACGTTCTCTCAATAGAAACAATATATAAATATGTGCAGGCTGCAGCACTGGATTAAAATTATGTGTCTCTGAAGAAGTAAGTAAAATGCAATATTGCATAGCAATACAAAAAATATTGAGCCGTCCCTTATGGATTCTTTGAAACAGAATCACTGGAGTGTTATTAATTCCCTTCTAAAAGCCTTGCATCCTTATCCTTTGATATCCCCACAAACTGGGAGCAAAGGTTGATGAAACTCAGCTTGAAACAAATGATTTTGAAAGATTGAAGACTTAAGGCTTTGGTATAAATTTTTGCTAACTGCTCAATGGTGAAGTTGAGAAGCGAATGAACAAGACATTTTTTGAGTTTTTCCCTAACAATATGGCATTCTATTTTTATGTGTTTTGTGTACTCACAAAACACTGGATTTGCTGCAATGTGTTATGCTGAATCATTGTCACGTTATAACAGAGATGGCTGTTCAGAAGGAACTTGGAAATCTTGAAAATAGTCAAGCATAAAATGATGCTTTAATTGATTGCTTTATTAGGTGACCTTTTTACTGGAGCTATTTTTAAATAAACATGAATGACAATCAGGTGCAGTGATTATTAATCAAAGAACTGGATCTAATCAGTTAGTATCCATATTTTCATGTTGTAATATTCCTTCAGAGCATGTAATGTCTATCTATTTATATGAGACTATTTGCTGTTAACATTGTTAATGATTATATTTTATTGGAATATCTACACTCTTTAAAAACTTAGTCTAGTTTTTATTATCGATTTAATGTTTGTTTTTTATTTTTTACTTTCTCTGTTTGAGATGTTGGTGAAACCGTCATTAGCTAATTCTGCAAAATTAATAAATAACTCGGTTATTTCCGCAGGGTGAGGGGAATTTCAATTGCCTCCGGAATCCAAGTTGTCAAACATAAAGAGGCAGAAAAGAGTTCCCATTTTTATAGATCATTCAATGAACTTAATTGTAGTTCTTCTGTACTTCATTTTTGTATCTTATTTTCGGAAGCGTTACAGTTTTATTTAAATGTACAATTTTATTTTTGTGTTTGACCTTCGACAGATTATTATGATTTAGGGAAAGGATGAAAGAAGTAGTTGTGGAACTATTCTTTTGGTTTTTTATTTTTTGTTAACTTCACTTTCTAGTCGTCCATTTAGCAGGATATCCACACCCATTAAAGTGGTGGAGCTTCTATAAATAAGTTAAGGCAAGAAGAAAAGAAATTTGGATTAACTCTAACTAACTAAATCGTGATAGCAAATAATGGTAGTAATTCTTCACCTTTATTCCTCAGGGTCAAAAATTGTTTTCTTATTTTACTTTGACATACTGCCAAAAGTTAAAACTTGCAACCCAATGTATACGCAAAATAAGTTAAATATATGAAAATAAAAGAAAGTATATACGTAGGTTATAGAACCTGAAGTTTTCAACATAATCTGTTGCATATTGTGTAGGTCTTGTGTGTGCAGATTTCCCGTTTTAAAGTTTAGGTGGTGGGGGGCGTAATGAGGTGATCCATGGTTGGAAAGTGAAGAAGTTGGCAGAGCCAGAGAACGTTGCAAAGAGGACATAACATTTTCAACTTACTAATTTAAACTTCTTAAACTTTGACAAGTAAAAGCACAAAGTTGATATAAGAGAAAAAAATTTCAATACAAAAGATTCACCTGCAGGGCAATTAAGGGGCTGTGTTGCGGAGATAAGCTCTCAAATAGTCTTTTTTCACATTAAAAAATGGGTTCCCCTAACCATTGAAACAGCCCACCATATCTTGAAGCAAATTCAGTAAAGTACAAGACAGGCTAAATTCATAGAGGTAGAAGATGTGAATTAGTAAATAATTGCCTTCATCGATCTCCTCACGATCAGCTTCGTTCTTGTACCGTGTTATCTGCTGTCCGCTACATCAACAAAATACACCATAGCTTCCCAAAACAATTCTCAGTAGCTTATGGTCACACCAACATAAATCTTATCATTTCAACCATGGAATCCAACTTGTACAGTCCCTTTGCCTAGCCTGCATCATTTCTGCCATGGGATCGCCCTCAGCACCAAATCACCATAATTAGCCAATATCCTTTATACTCCATAACCAAAAACTTAAGCTGCCACATCATATCATAGTCACCCTTCATTCACCTTATTAATACACTCCAAATCCACCTTGGTCAAAGCTAAACCATTGGAGAACCGTGATGCATCAAACTGTTTAGAAGTGTGTTTTCACTCTGATATTCTGTCATCATTTAATGATCCAATTGAAGTGAATATGTGATGTCGTTAGTTTGGAAATCTTAATTTCCCACTCGTTAACAGGTAATAATTGAGTCTGATTCATGTAATGGACTTCCAACATTTGTTTGTACTATTGCAAAACTTCTCAACCAAGGCTTAAACTTAAGTTGCAGTCATATGTTAGTGAAATAACTTCCCTTTTCTCTAAAACCTTGTCGTGACGAGAAAAAAAGTACACGATGCAAACACATCGCGACGAAAGTAACATTTTTTTCAAATCTGTTCGATTCAATAAAACAATAACTAAGTATGGTTGAATCGATCAGATAGCTACAATATAACCTTATTCGTATACTCAATCAATTATTTTATATACAATAAAGAAACAGAGCAGAGGACACAGACATACATGTCAAGTCCCGCACAGCACTATAACGCTACCAAGAATCCAATGCAAGAGAACCACATAGACAGTAATGAAATGTCGCACATAAAAATTAACACATTTTAAGGAAAAAAAAGGCTTTCTAAATAACAAAACAATAAAAACAACCAAATGTTTTTATGCTGTTTATTTTCTCAAGTAAGTAATTAAAGAATGGAAATAAATAACATGCAAATACAATCAGATATGAGTCAAATTAAAAAGGAAAAAGAAAAGTTTCATGATGCCATGATTCATGTGACGAACATCCCTTAAAGCTTATATATTCTCTGCGTAGTGAGTGCCTACCCCTTACGTAACCATCACGTTGGGGTTGGTACGAATGTTTGCAGTGCATGAAACGTATAACAAAATCCCCAAATGTTTTTAATTGGGAAATTGAATCACTTTTGACCATTGACCAAAACGAGTTGGATGACTCACCAGTTCACAACGAGTCAATTCATCTCAATTTGAGTTACTCCAATGTAACATCAGCTAAAACCTCCCTTATGGTCATGGATATCTTCCCGCTTGGGACACCACCAACGCCAACACTGTCATCCTCGTCCTCTTCATCATCAGTTATACACCGAATCCGTGTCTTAGTTTGCCAAACAATACTCTTCATCGATTTCTTCCTTTTCAACCGAACTAACCCGTTCAAAAGACACTTCCAAATCGGAAACTTAATACGTTTCACTAACCAATTTTCCATTTCCATAACAATTTCAGTGGCCGAAGGTCGTTCATCTTCGTTTTCAGAGACGCAACGTATAGCATAGCGTAACATGGGAGTGATTGTTCCAACCATGTAACGTGGCAGTGCCATTCTTGAGTCACAAATCTCTTTCAAAAGTTGTTCCGCCATTAATTGAATCGCCCATTCCACAACTGAAGCCGGCGTTTTGCACACATCAATGGCCTTTCTACCACTTATGATCTCCAACAACACAACCCCAAAGCTGAAAATGTCGTTTTTGGCGCTGAGTTTATCTGGGGTGGTGTAACACGGGTCCAAGTACCCTATGGTCCCGGCGGGTTGACTCACTGGGTCAACCCCTTTCACCGCGAGTCCAAAATCTGCCAACTTCGCATTCCAATGTGAATCAAACAATATGTTGGAGGGTTTAATGTCTCTGTGAATCACCGCAGGCTTACCTTCGTGAAGAAACTGCACCGCACGAGCGACTTGCATGGCGATTTCAACGCGTTTAGGCCACGTAGGTGGGGTTTCATTGGCATGAAGCAAGTCATGGAGAGAACCATTGGGCATGAACTCCATCACAATGACCTTGTTATTCTCGCGATCATCACCTCTCGTCGTTCCTAAAAGATTAACCACGTGAGGGTTTTCGCGTAGAGAGGACAGCACTCGGATTTCGTTTTCGAGTTTGGAGTTGTCGTGAAGAGATTGAAGGCCTTGTGATGGCTTCTTTACAGCGACCAACCTGTTGTTATCTTTGAATCGAACAACGCCTTTGTACACCATGCCATGGCTTCCTTTCCCTATGATCCTTCTGGGGTTGAAGTTTTCTGTTGCTTTTACAACCTCTTCAAACTCAAACTCTTCCATCGTTTCACTGTTTCTTCTTTCGCATGAACGGAGGCTCGGAATGGGTTTGTTTTCCAAGTTTAATTTACATTATTTATTTTACAGGAAAAAGGTACGAAAAGAAGAGAAAGAAACATGGAATAAAAATTATTACATGAATAAGATAATTTATTTTCCTTTTACTAAGATGAGGCTTTGAGTTTCAATATCTGCATGCATCATTAGCTTTTTGTAGAACCCAGGGAATAAAGGTGCTTTGGAGAACCAATAATAGAGAATTAAAATCAAGTAAAATTATGATCGAGAATTATTGAGAAACGGAAAAGTAAAAGGAAAAGCAAAAGAGTTTGTGACAAGAAAAGGTGTCCTCTTTGCCAAAGGGGCAAGATTCTGACGATATTGGGTCCCCTCTCTCACTTCTTTCCCTTCTTTATTTCAACTTTTTAAAAGTTTTTTCTCTCCCACTTTCGTAAAACTATACTCATTATCTACTGTGATTTCTGTTTTTGTCTACCCAGTTCTTCTTACATGTTATAGGAACAAGCTCATACAACACATGATATAGAATTCCCTCACAAATCGGTCACAATCTTTATTTAACTAATTACATATCCCAAAGAGGACCCTTGACTTCTCAATCACTTGCATAAAGTTAAGGCATCCAAGGAGAGATGTGGAGTGTGTAAAGCAAAAGATATTATGCAAAACTCTTTATTCAAGATTCACTATTTCATTGTGCGAAATTATCTTGAAAAAAAAAATGAAAACAAGGATTCATTCTTCTTATGCTTTTGTAAAATTCATGCAAAATTTTGGTTTCATGGAAGGTGCTAAACAGAGTATTGATACGTAGAGTTATCCAATTTACCTTTCTGCCATTTCAGTCACTTCGGGTGAATTGTACGGGCTTGGGCCTATGATTGGATTTGAGATCAAGCTGACAAAGCCCATAACAGCATAAAGTGGATCACATTCTACCCGAAATAGTCGGGTTACATAGTTTAGAGTTCAACCTATCAATCCATTAATATTATATATATATATATATATATATATATATATATATATATTATTAAAATTATATTTTTAATTAAATAAATATTTTAAATTTTTTATTTATTATTAATATTCTTATTGGATAAATTTTCAAAATTAATTAATTAATTATATGATTTAAATTATAATATTATAATACATTTAAAATGGATCAGTGGACCGACTTCGCAATTCTAAATTGGTAAAAGACTCAAAAGGTATCTTTTAGGAGGGTTATCTTATCTGTGTTACCTTAATGCTGTTCAACTTTTAAGGACTTTTTATCTTTGACTCCAACATGTCACATTTTTATTATGAACATTATCCACTTTGTCAGGGAAAAAACTATTGTATTATGAGTTCGTGGTTCCCACTTCTGAAATGAGTACAACATTGTTTTGATTCACATTTACTGAGAATGTTTTTTTCTGTTTGTTTCTTTCCCTCAAATATCCCTCCTTTTTTTTTCTTATTCCTCTTTTCATGAATCATGAAGAAATGGACGTATTAAAATAAATAAATAAATCATGTAATTGGGCCCAACAGTGTTTGGCCCAAATGATTTGGGCTACATTCAAAAAAACCTTTTGTATACGAATGTTATAGCGATCCGAGTTACAAGAAAACAAGACGTTCAACTAGTATTTATGTTCCAACAAATATTAAAATGATAAGATTGTTGATGAAAATAATAATTAATTTACTAAAATTAATAAAAATTAATGTTTATATTAATTTATATAAACTAACCTTAAATTATATATATTCAAAAATAAAATGATGTTTATTAACTCAATTATTATAATAATTAAACTCTTGATAAATAAACTTAATCTAATGTTAACCATGAAGTTAAATAAAAATTTGAACAAATTGGATTTTATAAAAAGATCATTAGATCGAATCAAATTTTAAAAATAGTATAATTTATTTTAAATAAAATCATTATATTAAAAAACACTTTACTAAAGTCGATGCACCAAACTTGTGAAAAAGATTAGTGAAAAATAAAAAAACAAATTCTATGGGTCAAAATGTTTCCAGCTCATTGTTGAACATATAAGTTAATAATTAAATACAAAAAAAATACTAAACACGCTTTGATTTTTTAAAACGATAAATGAGTTAACTTTGTTTATTTGTTGAATATTTTGATTAGTTAATAAGATTATGCAAGATCGGAATTCACTCGCGAGTGATTCCCACGCTTAATTTCTTCGCGTCCCCTGGATTCGATCGATATCCCAATAACATCAAAATAAAAAATTTAAATAAAAACTTTTTATATGTATCTTTTAAATTTTGCTTAGTTTTTTCTTTGATTGTATTTTAATATGTTAATCCCCAAACTTGAATCGGAAGGGTGTGGCATGCAAAAATTTACGTGGCAAACATGAAATAATCCCCTTTCAAAAACTTTGTAACACATACTAATTATACTTTTAAGAACAAATACAAAATCATACTAATAAATAAATAAATAAATGATAAGGATATTAGTTATAAGAATAAAAAAAAATCAAATAAAGATGTCTATTAAATTTTTAGCTTGAGTATGCGTTTGGTTAAGAGAAGAAAAAGAGTGAATCTGTGAGAAGAAAAAATAAATAAAAAGTGGAAAAAGTAGGATTATTTGAATTGAAAAAGAGTAAAAAATAAAGAGAAATTAATATATAAATTAGAGAAGAAGTGATATGATTAACTAAAATATTATTTTAATAATTTTAAATAAATTTATTTATTATTTTTTATATTTTATATTTAATTATTTGTTATTATAATAATTACAAAAGAATATTTAAAAATTGAAACGTAATATATATTTTACTCGTGTGATCACGAAGGTTTACAATTATATAGACTTAGCCACGTATATTATACCTATATGATAATTAGGTATTCATTATGAAGTTAAGGTCTATTAAAAAAATTTAAGGATGGTAATATAATATGATCATTATTTATTTTTATTATGAATATTAACCATTAATATTTTTATTTAATTTAAGCATTAAAGTGTATTTTGTAAGTACATTGATCACAACTCATACAAAGAAGTGAACGTCCATAATAATCAAGTCACATTAAAGATCTAGAGATGTAGTCGTCAACCAATTAATCGACAATATTCAGTATTGTAGGAGGTTCTTGAATTTGTAAAAACATTTTAGCGCTCATCGAAGAATTGATAAAGACCTTGAAAATTAAATGACAACTATAAAGAACATGACAAACAACGAAAATCCCCATCGCCTAAAGGGGAGAAGCACGTGAATGAGCTAATACTCATTATCAAATTAATTTAAAAAAGTTAAAAAACTTAAAATAAAAGAGTGTCGAAAAAGTTGAGTCTCTCAAACTCAAAAATGTTAAAAATAAAAGTTGAATGAGCATAAAGATACCTCCCATCACATGTTGGAAACAATTCAAATAGAGGGTAACCCAAAACAATCTCAAAGTACCCCCATTAGAGCATTCAAAACTGGAAGCAATCAATGAATGACCTCCCATACGTCCATGCACCTACCATCACAAGTAGGGGGACATCGCAGATACTCGTTCATGGACATGATCATGAAGACTCTTACCATCAATGCTGAAGAACTTAATGCTAGAAAGATATGATGAATCAACTGATCTGGACAAACATGTTGACACCTATGTAACAAAAGTCGGTTTGTACACCACAAATAACACTATCTTCTGTCAAGTTTTTCCCATTTCACTTAAAGGGACAATGTTAAGCTGGTTCACAAGACTTTGCCAAACATCATTGATTATTTTGACACACTGATGACAAAATTTAGAACACAATTCACCACAAGCCAACCTCATCACCTCAAGTCAATTGAGTTGGTCAACATATGACAAGACAAAGGAGAATCATTACGAACCTTTATGAAAAAAGTTTAGTAAAGTTGTGTTAAACATAAAAAACCTCAACCTCAAAGTGAATGTTCACCACATGGGAACAACATTACAACTTTGATAGCTTGTGTAAGAAGTCAACCATAAACCTAGATCAGTAGAGGAGTTATGTTGCAAAATTTATATAGTTGGAAGAATTAAAAGAATTTACAAATCGAATGCGTGTTGAGACAATCCAAAAAATAAAAAATGCAAAGAAAGAAAGGGGAAAATAGTTCATATAGATGAATACACACCCCTGAATGCTAACCACACAAGGGTACTAGAAGAAACTCTCAACACTAACCTCTTCCCAATACTAAGAAAAATACATATTTCCCCATATGCTCATCACAACAAACATGGTAGATAGCATCGCAACAATGGACATACCATTGACGAGTGTTTAATGTTAAAAGATAAAATAGAAGAATTAATATAAGACAAACATTTGCGTAAATTTGTGAAGGAATATGGTAATCGGCAAAAAAAAAAAGGCTCTTTGAGGGAAGAATATTGACTAATAAAAACTGAGAATACCTAGGATTATCGGTCGAAAGATACCAATGGGTCAGAGCAAAAAAATATCATATAAGGTGTAATTAATACAATACAACCGTCAAAGGTTTCACCGACGAAGGTTCAACAATCTCGATGAGAAAAAAACACCTCAGAATAATTCAATTGGGTAACACTACTACTATTTAACAAAGAAGAAAGATGTCACTAATAACGTTCATAGATGACAATTTTCAAGTCATTGACTCTTGTCAAGACAATCTTATGGTAATTATTGTCGAAGTCACAAACTTTACGACAATATAGACTCTGGTAAACTAAGAAAGTTTCGTAGACATACTTAACTGGAAAACCTTCAAACATCTTGAAGTAGCGGAGGACGCTATCCAACCTTACAATAAACAAATCATGGGATTTTTAGAAGAAATGTTAGATACAAAAAGATATATTGACTTCTTCACGAATTTCGGAGATATTATCACTAAATATTAGATGATGAAAATATGATATCTCACCGTGGATGTCAACGCCCCTTATAATATTCTTGGAATACTTTTCCTTAATGCTATAAGATCGATAGTATCTACCCTATACTTAGTAATAAACGTCTTATCCTTAACTAGAGAGATGATAAACGGTAAATAAAAGAGCAATATGTGAATGTTATATTACATATTTCAAGATAACGACAAGTACCACAAAAGAAGGAAGTCTCCTAACAACTACGAGAGATCTTAATCCATGAATTAATGATGATTGTCGAACCCATCCAAAAGAAAAAATTATTACATTTAAAGTAAATACTATATATTTTACCTTATATTCAATCAATATTTCAATCACATCAAAATATAAAATATATAATTTAAATCAAAACTCTTTTTTATATATTTTTTAAATTTTGTTTAATTTTTCTTTCATTTTATTTTAATTTTGTTTAACTTGGATGGAAGGTGTAAAATGCAAAAGTGTAAGTAACAAATGAAATAATCTTCATTCAAAAAGCTTTGAATTATGAACTTTTAAGAACAAATACAAAATCATACTAATTAATAAATAAATAAATGATAAGAATATTAGTTTTAAGAAAAAAATATATTAAATAAGCATGTCTATTAAATCTTTCGTTTATTGTTATAATTTGTATTATAATTGAAGAGTAAATTTGAGAAAATAGAAAAAAATAAAAAATTATAAAAAAAAATTGATTAACTAAAAATATTTAATAAAATTATGACCATTATAAAAAATACAAAATCAATTATCTTTACAATTTTTTTCGCATATAAAAAAAACATTTTTAAGTCTCTTTTTTGTAGACTTTCTTCACCCTTCTCTTTCTTAGTGGGATGGTAAAGAATTGTTGGAACTCATGTATACAAAAGTGAATTTGTTTATTATTATTATTATTATTATTATTGAATATCCTTGTATGGCTATATTTGGCAAAGAAAAGCTTGATTAGAGAGAAGATGATATTTAAAAAAGGAAAGAAAGTGGGAACAGAAAGAAATAAAGATTGACACTGAAATACCATTGACAGGACATGGTAAACTTAATTTTAGCAGAGGCACAGATTTAAAGAACACCAACACCATTAATCATCCTCATTCAAACACAGAGACTCAGTGCGGTTCAAATTTCTCCCACAATTCTTTGACACCATCATTTCTAATATTCATACCAGTAGCCTTTCCCATGTTTTGGAGAATTTGTATCAGTTCTATCATGTGCAACAAAATTGAACAATAACAATAATAGAGGGAAAATGGAGAAGTCTCTGTCAAGAACCAACCTTTTTTTTTTTTTTTTTTTAGGAAGAACCAAACAAAGATGGTGTGATGTATGAATAGTAATTTTCACTGTGACTGTCCTGGCATAGCAGGCACTACAGTAGAATTAATGGTTATTTACGAACATAGCCATGGATAGTGAATTAGGGTTTGGTTCATTATTTATGCATTAATTGTGATCTGAGTGATAATGGCGATTGATTTGTTGAATTTAATAGTGTGAAGAGGTTAGAGATAAAGATGAAAGAAGGGGTTGTGTGGTTAGTACATTTAATTATATATGATTATTATAATCTGTCCAAACTGAAACACTTTTTTTTTTTTTGAAGTTTTGGTTGATTAGTGTTTTGAATATTTTTGGTTCAAGATTTCTAAATTTTGATACCAGAATCATATACTGGCTGGAAATATAAAAAAGTAAAAGTGATAGAGACACGCATCAAGTACTCTTTCCAAGTCTGGTCACCATAGTTGTGACAGGACAAAATTGTACACTTGTCAAAAATACAACTTAAAGAGAAAAACAATTATTTTAAAACAAAAATATAGTACAACTTATTTCTCCAGCTGGAAAACATTATAAAAAGTTTTAAACAAACACAATTAGGGGAAACTGAATTTTACTTAGTCAAAAAGTGTTACTACTAGGTTTTATTTTTTTTCCTTTATTTTGTATTTTTCTGGAATATTTACACAGAAGGGTGTTGGCATGTAAATGGTGGAATTATTTTTGAGAAGTGAAATCTGAACCCTATCCAGAAAACTTCATATTATTTTTAAGGTAAGGGTAAAAAATTATAAAAAGAAAAAAAGAAGACAAGTGTGGAACATAAAAATGAGAAAACCTATGTTTTATGCTTCTAATACCAGGATTATTCACTATATAAATATGTCCAAAGTTGAAACATTTGAAATGATTACGTAACTGTTTTAACACGTGGCATGTGGGATTTTCATGCTGCTTTGAACTGTTTGGATTAAGGTAGAAATTTACCAAGTTTCATTCTCTCAACAAATTTCTAAAAGGTTCAGTCTAATTGCACCCTATATTTTTGTCAAGGCCTTTTTAGTCATAAACCTTCTAGTTTTAGTTGATGAATATGACATGGGTGTGAGATAAGTTTTAATTTAGATGGGATAAAAAAAATACAAAGCTTGATAAGTCTTTATATGTTCATTTTTTATTTAGTCTCAGACAACTCAACAAAGTTCTGTATGCATCAGGATGTGACAGAGAGCAATTTGTTGCTTTCTCAACCATTTTCTGATGAGTGTTGGGTGAGTGAAATATGCAACCCATAATATGTAGGACCTTTACCTTACCTATGTTATCTGTCGTTTATTTTTTACTTACCTGAGTCTGATACTAATTTAAAAGAAGATGATAGATTTGTTTGAAGGGTGAAGGGTGTGAGTACCTTACTGGCAAAGATTTCTCCCTCTTTGCTAGACACCAAAGTTTTGACTCCACAGTGAGCCAATTTTGGTACAATGCAGCAGAAAAATGAAAATTTGATGGAGGAGGGGGCAATTGTGTCTTTGTGAATCCTCCACTAATGAAAAGGTGGGAGTGCCCAACCAAATTTGACCATCACATAAGAGAGAGAAGGAATTAAATTTAGAAAAAAGCATAAAAAACAAAGAAAGAAACAAACGCACACAATGTGGTTTGGGTAGGGATGAGCTGTCGTGGTGCATTAGATGCCTTTATCTGATGCTCACCTGTGCTGTCTAGCTCTAACCAGTATCAGTATGAGTATGAGAGTATATGTATGTGTATTTGTACAGTGTGTAGTGTATAGAATACCCTCTTTCTGCACTTTAACCATCTCACCCACCACCCACTGCCAGTCACCAACTTCATGGTCAAGACCCCCCAAGGCCCCAACTCCTATTTACTATTTTCTTTTCTTCTTCTTTACTTCACACTTGACATATAAATCTTCTCCTCTAGAAACTTGACCAATCACACCCAGTCAATGTGAATCTCTCATGTTTTATTTACTTCAAAAGGAGATCCAGACTGACGGATGTAGTGCACAGAAGTTGAAAACAATTTTGGATTTTGTTATGATTTGTTTGGGCATTTGGGGGAGCCAAGTGGAAGGTTTTACTTGAGTGTGAATGAAATGAAGCCAATGTTTTGCTTGACTTTGAGGTTTGAGGTGGATGAGTGAGGAGAGGCACACATATTATAGCTGCTACAATCTTTGCAGGCATCTATGTGGTATGGGAGCAACAAAGGCCAATTTTTAGCATTCCTTTTACGAGACCCCACGAGTGGCCTTCTGTTCCCTCTTTTTTCTTTTTTTTTTTTATCAAAAACTAAGGTCCCCCACCCTCCCTTTCTCTCTCCTCACTTCTAAGTTGTGACCTACTCTTTTTCTCTCTGTGTTGTGGTCTGAGCAGAGAGCAAGACAAGAGTCAATCAAAAACCGAGAACCCCACAAACTCAGAGTCTTAGTTGGGTCCAGAGACTACAGAAAATTAAAAACTCTTTCTCTTTTTCTCTCTCTGTTTGTCTGTGCCTGTCTCTCTCTGTCTATCGAAAAGGGAAAGAGGGAATGGGGAAGAGGGAGATAGAGTTGGAAGAGGAAAAGAAAAGATGGGGGTCATGATTCATCATCTCATCTCATTCCACTCCATTGGGTTCAAAGAAAAATAGAATAGAAAATAAAAAAAAGGAAAAAACAAGTAAACCTGGTGAGAGGCTTCCCCACCAAATGGAACTATCAGATTTGCAAAACAACAAGCAGAGCAGCAGCAACACAAACAACAGCGCCAACACAAAAACAAACACGGGTGGTGGTGGTGGTGGTGGTGGTGGTGGAAGTGCTGCAACTACTAATCCTCATGCTCACCATCATCACCACCAGCAATCAACTTCGCATCTCGTGGTCCCTTTTGATGCCAGGCCAAACCCTCCATCCCCCTTCATCTCTTCCTCCACATCTTCTTCCAATTCTTCATCCTCTTCCTCCTCCGCCGCCTCCGCCTCTTCCCACCTCATCGACGCCTCCCTAGCCATCGCCACCAGATCTGATGATTCTGCCAAGAAGACCCAACAACTTTCCACCACCGCCGCCGCCGCCTCCCCCGCCACCAACCCACCCAAGCGATCCACCAAGGACAGGCACACCAAAGTCGACGGCCGCGGCCGCAGAATTCGAATGCCCGCCACCTGCGCCGCTAGGGTTTTCCAATTGACCAGAGAATTGGGCCACAAGTCCGACGGCGAGACCATCGAGTGGCTCCTCCAGCAGGCCGAGCCTGCCATCATCGCCGCCACCGGAACCGGCACCATCCCCGCCAATTTCTCCACCCTCAACGTCTCCCTCCGCAGCAGCGGCTCCACGCTATCGGCGCCGCCATCCAAGTCCGCCCCGCACACCTTTCACGGCGCGCTTGCACTCGCTCATCACCCTTACGAGGAAGCCTTTCAACACACCGCTTTACTAGGCTTCCACCCTCATGCTCACCAGCACCATCAACAGCACCAACTTCTCTCCGCCGATCAAATCGCGGAAGCGCTTCCCAGCGGTGGCGCTGACTCCGGCGACAGCTATCTCAGGAAACGCTACCGAGAAGATCTGTTCAAAGATGATGACATTAACACCCAATCGCAGAACGAGAGCGGTGACGGCTCTTCGCCTAAAACTCCCAACCTACAGCTTCCGAAGCAGCAGCAGCAAACCGAAGCTGGTTCTGGGCTTCTCAGGCCCGCGAATTTGCTACCCGCGACAGCGATGTGGGCCGTGGCGCCCGCTCCCGCAAGTGGGCCTCCAGGCAGCACAATTTGGATGCTTCCAGTAACCTCGGCTTCTTCTTCTGCTTCTGCTGCAGCTTCCGCTTCTACTTCTTCTGGTGGTGGTGGTGGTGGATCCTCGGCGAGTTTGGAGAGTCAGATGTGGTCTTTCTCGCAGAGTGGTTTCATGCCAAGATTCAATCTTCCGAGTGCGCTTGAATTCCAAGGCGCACGTGGGGGTTCTCTGCAATTGGGGTCCATGCTAATGCCGCAGCAACCTTCTCAGCATCTGGGTCTCGCCATGTCTGACTCCAACTTGGGCATGTTGGCTGCCCTTAATGCTTACACTAGGGCTGGTTTCAATATTAATTCTGACAATCATCATCCCCATCCCCATCACCACCACCACCATCATCATCATCCCTTGGAGCATCAACATCAACATCAATCTCAACCTAGTGAGAGTGGAGAAGATGCTCCTAATAGCTCCCAATGAACTTTAAAATTGGTTAGTTCGCTTCGTTTTCATCTGTAGATTCTGTACTGTAAATATGTCAAAATTTATATATATATATATATATATATATATATATATATATATATATATCCATTTAACTTGTATTTTTACACTGTAATTTGTGGAGAAGGAGCTAGAGTTTGATTATTGGATTTCTTTTTCCCTTTCTTTTTTTTCTCCTTGCAGATTGGAAGTTAGAGTTGAATGAATTTGTGATAAGTGAGTGCTTTTGAAAAATCCGAGGATGCATGCTAGCTCATGCTCATCACAGTTGAGTTGATACTTAGATGTTGCTCTAGTTATGCTTTTTTAATTATTATTTACATTTTTTTGTGCTTCTTTTCTTTTGAGGGAGTGCATTTCTTTAGCTTGATTTGGAGATCTTGGTTTGTTTGGTTTTGGTCCAAAGGGACTTAGCAGACAGAGAGAGTTTGTATAGGAGGAAATTTGTCTTGCTGTTTTTATTTACTTCATTTGCTTCTTCTCTTTTCTTTCTATGTATGACAGTATGAAAAACAATTAAAAGAAAAGAATTTAAAGGGAAAGATTTGAATGCCATCTTTCTTTGCTCCATGTGTGTTTTTGTTTCTTTCCTTTAATAATTCAAGTATTTTCTACTCATAAAATAGCATATACTGTATTAAATATGCTGTTAATTTGTTTTTTCCTTCTAATGTCATTATTAAATGTATTTTTCCCTTTTAATATATATATTTTTGGTTGTACGAAGCTTTGAATGTTATTATTAAATGAAATAGTTTGAAGATATTGTGCTCCTCCGGGAAAGTGTATAAATAAACTGTCTGTGGCTTTATAAAAGCAACGATTTTTTAGTAAAATTGTAAACAGAGAAAGATAAAATAAATAGAATGGCAGTAACCAAGTATGCAATTCTCAGTTACTTATGTATGTATGTACACATACTAAATGAAGATAACTTGAGGCAGGGATGTGAGAAGATAGAAGGCAATGCATTAATTTCCACCACTTTTCTTGGCACATTATCCTCTTTTTGCCTATGAAATTTTGTATTTATCAGTCATGTGTATATTCTTAAAGCTACAATATTTTTTTCTTTATTATATTTATCATACTTGCTGATTCTGCGTACGTTTAGCAAGATAGAGATTGGTTTGACATTGAAAATATGATGTTTAAATGAATTGGTCTTGTAAAGATGAGAAGGAGGTGTTTGCTATGGTAGGTAGATGTGTTTGAAAGTTATAATGGCGTGAAATGGAAGAAATAAAATATTTGAACGAATGAGTGGATGGTTTGTGAGAGGAGTGATGAAGATTGAATAATGGAGATGGGGAAAAGACAAGAAGAAAGAAAGAAAAATGAGGGTGCAATGCAATGCAAGGAAAATGACTTTGGTGTTGACTTTAACAGTCAATTTCAGATGACTAGCCTCTGTTCATTGCCCAATCATTCTCTCTTTTTTATTTTTCCATTTTCATCACCTCACACTTTTAACCATTTACCCTCATTTGCCATATATACAACAGCAGTGACGCTTTGGATTCCCATCTTCATTTCATTTTTAGGTTTTTAGAATTTTGGTTTGCAAGGAAATGATATTTCTACTCACTCACACACAAATGGTTCACCACTACATGAAAATTAAATTACATGTATGTTGTTTAAACCTTCTAAAATAAGACCCAAAATAAAACCAAAGGCTAGTGTGTGTGTGTGGATATATTGGTCATTTCCCAATATGTGGATTTGTCATTGTATTGAGGAAAACACCATAGGATACCCCTTAGCTTCTACTTTATTAGTAGACAAAACTAAACTTTCACCCACTTTACAAGAAAAATTGCTTCTTTTTGTTTAATCAGAATAAAATTTAAAAAGTCCCTCACTCATCTTTATCATTTGGGCATTGTTTGGATATTAGCTTGCTTGTACCAAACCCCAAATAATATATATATTAATTATAGTACACTATAATACAATTGTTTTAGCAGGATTATTATTGATAATGAAAAGCACAGGTTTTGACCTGAGAATTTTAAAAAATTATTCAGTGTTTAATTATTTGGATTTTGAAAGACGTGCTTTTGGGGTTTTCACTTTATGTGTTTAAGGAAAGGACAAGGAGGAATGATGATGAGATTGGATGAAGAAAGGGACGGCCAGGATGGATTGTGGTGAGGGCGCACACTGCACATCCGTCCATCCAATCATATTTACTATTGGGTGGGGACCACTCACCGAATATAAGCCAATAAGAATAATAATAATGTAATGAAGATAAAGTACCACGCGCTTCACGTGCTCCAATCATATAGCTCCGAGTGCGTGTTTGGTTTGGAGTAAAGCAAGTGTGATTCCGCCACAGTGCCGCGCGTGGTCGTCCAACTTTGAGACAATGATTCTCTTCTTCCCACTCTTCCACTGCATTTATGTTTTTCTGCTACACTCTTTCCCACCGCACGAGAAGAAAATAAAAAAATAAAAACAAAAAACTTATATAATAAAAATAGAATATCATAAATAATATAATAAAAAAAAAAACTTAAATATAATAATTTATAAGTTGATTTATATATTTATACATAATTTTCAATAAAAAAATAAATTCGTTTAACCATTTTTTTTATTTCTTCATTTATTTTTTTATTTTTCTTTTTTATCTAATTTTTTATTTTATTCTTTATTTTATTTTCTCACTTTATCTTATATTTTAATTAAAAATAATATTTTAAAATTTAAGAATGTGATTATTTTATTATTATTAAAAGATAAAAATTATCTAAATAATCTAAAAATATTATAATTTACTATATTATATGATAAATTTGAGATGTTAGAAATATAATTGTTATGTTATAATTATTAAGAAAATTTTAAATATTTATTTTAATGTATTTTTTAATAAATGTTTTTAAACAAATACTTATTTATCATAATTCAATCTAATTATAAATCAATTAAAATATTAAATAAAATATTTAAATTATAAATATTTAATATTTTTTAATTAGATGAATAATTATTTATATGATAAAATAGTTTTAAATTATTTATTTATGTAAAAAATTATTTATTTTAAAATAAATAAAATTATTTAGTATCATTATAATTTTAAATATTTATTTCATATTCTTTTAGTTTTAATTTTATTTTAAAATATTTATTTTAACACATTTTATTAAATTTTAATATAGTAGTTTAATTAGGAAAATAAGCAGTAAAGGAGAGAGAAAAATAAGAGAAAGAGAAAGATGAAAAGTAAACAAAGAAAAAGAAAAAATAAAAAAGAATTACAAGAAAATAGAAGAAAAACTACATATAAATAATAAAATATTTATTTAAATAAAAAAAATTATATAAATTTTATTTGAGTAATTTCTTTTAAAATATATTATTTTTAAAATTTATTAAAAAAATTGTAATATAAATTATAATATAATGCCAAATATATCGATAATAGTTTCTTATTTAATCAAATTTACTGAAATAAAATTTCTTATTGACCTTATTTTACTTTTATTTTTAATCAACTGTTGAAATATATGTTAGAAAGAGGGTAGAGAGTGTGTTCTGAACACTTATATATACAAAAACAGAAGGTGGGTGTTTATTGGAATGGTTGAGACAATACAATATCAATGCATTTAGAGGGACGAATATTTTTATAATATTATAAATACATAAGAAATTTATTAGTGATAATATTTAAATAATAATAATAATAAATATTATATATCACTATAATTATAAATTATAATTAAAATTATATATATATATATATAATATTAGATAATATATGATGAATGGTAAAAATAGTTAATTATGATTGAAATATAATAAAATAATTATTATAATGTATTAATTTTGACATTATATACATAGTTAAACGTAAAGATAAAGAAATATACCCTGTAATATATATTTCAACATAAATAATATCAATATAAATATTAATTAGATTTAAACTTGTATTATTAATTATTTATAATCTTATTTTTAACAAAAAATGACATTGGATTAGCTTCATATTTAATTAATAGATTAAATAATAATTATATTATTAATATTAATATTATTTAATAATGATTATTTCTCTTCGTGCAATAGAATGATATGGATAGTTTAATAAACATATCCGCTACTTACTAATTTACATTTATTTAAATGTTTTTATAGATATATTGTACTTGACTAGAAATGTAACTTTATTTGAATTTATATTGTAGATTATGTAAATATTTTATTTTTTCTAAAAATATATCAAATCTTATACACTTATACAATAGATTTAATAGATTAAAAATACCGTAAATTTATGAGTCTTCAGACTTTTTTAAAAGAAGTTGACAAAATATTTAAAAATTAGTTAAAGTGATTATTTTTTACAAACCCTTTAATTTATAAATTTATAGTGATATAAAACACTTGTTAATTATTCTATTTTATAACTTTATTCTGATATTGATGGATATATTGTTATACTTAATTTGGATCCAAGGAATTTGTGCAGTTTAAACCTGAACCCTTCCTTATATAAAAAAATCAGATAAACCAGAGGGTTTTGTTTCAGAGAGAAATCAAACATATGCTACTTGAAGCAATAAAAAATCTCAAACCCTAAAGTTGGATCAAAGAAAATTTCAAAGACTAGTATCCCATCACTCTTCAAAGATATTTATGTACACTTCAAATTTCAATGACCATGAGAATTTAAATACAGCATGATTTTGTATCAAATGTTAAGAAGGAGAAAACTCCTACAATACAATGGGAACCAACCCAAGCTGAGGCCGACCTAGACAGTAATTTTCTGTGTAATGTGGTCCAGTTTGGTGATTTTGGATGTGGCAGTGGTTAGTAACTTAACTCTCTCTGCGTCTGCATTGTGAAGTCACGTGTGCAACCTATCGCATCAGCTTGTTACATAAAATTTGTCCTACAGCATTAAACAGGAGACAGATATAGCAAACCAAACAAATTTATAAACTTTTAGCAAAAGTGAAAGGGGAAGGTGGCATGGAGTTGCTCATATGCTGAAAAACTATTTCCACTAGTGAAGTATAAAATAAATAGCCTTGGAGTACAGAATCGGTGTGTTCTCACTTGTCACCAGCAATGCCAGAATAACTGACTACGACAACCTTATTGTGCTTTTCTGTCTTGCACCTGGTCCCCTTTCTCCAGAGGCAAAAGAGATAACATCCACAGTCTACACAAATACCAATCAGTGTGGTTAAAAATCATCATACATCATGTAAGTTCACCACTCATTAACTCGATATTAGAAATTTGGGTGATCAAATACTGATTTATCGATTTCGTAAATGTATCTCATTCTAATGAAAAAAATATACTCTGAGTAAGAATAGACCACCAGAAATAAGTTGAACATTGATATTATCACCATCCCATTACCCTTAACATTGGCTTAAGTCCTAACTTCACCAGCAAAACAGAAAGAGATAACACACGCACAAGATAAATTTTTACTTGCCAAATTTAGCTCATAAATGACAAATGAGATCAATTAGTCTTGGATTACTAGAAACTCGTTAGGATACTTGACCATCCGCTAGAAAAACAGAGTCATTTACAATCATAAAAATATAACATTAGCCAATTCCTTTTTCACAGAAGAGTTTAATATAACCAGAGCAAGTAGTGTCTTCAATTATCGTATAAAATCATAAGGCATTGATCAGCATTTCAGCACCACATGAGTACCCTTTTGGGTCTACTTGCCTAGTAGCTAAGTTTAGTAATGCAATGTCTAGAGCAAAGGGACAAGTACTGAAGAGCTTACGATACTTTGTCTGCAACATAAAATATTGGAAGTCTTTCCATTCCTGCGGCTCTCCATTTGTGTTTCTCAAGGGATATTTCTTGCTCAGACTCCGACCCAGTTGCAGTTAGAACAAACTGAAATATACAATGTACGTTTCTAATTCACTATAGTTGATTCATGACACCATTAACACAATATTTTAGTTTTTGAATGTCAAAAGAAAAAGAAAAATACATAAAAAAAAAAATGAAGGAGAAAGAAAGAACTACAAGGAAAATAAACATCATAGTTACCATACCAGTGGGAAAAGTATTGCCATAATCCCATAACTAACAAGGGGAGAGAAAAAGAATATGGCCAAAACACACGGACTCCCTGTAAGGACATGAGTTACATATTATCTCAAACATGAAGCGAATGATAGGATAAAGTACCATACAATATATAATACAAAAAAATTTCATCATTCTTCAAGATGATAGAATAGAATTACGAATGAATTTTAAACTTCAACAGCTAAGGAGTCAATATGTTGAAATTCCCCAAACCATCCATATTCCCTTAGTCATCCTTCCACTAACGAGGCACTTACGCGTTTGTTAGAGACTGATTATGATTTACCTTTAACAAGAAAACACACAAAAAATGAACTATTCTTCCTCCTAAATTAGCATTAAAAGTTATTTTTTATCTCATAAAACCAATAAAAACAATCAAAGGAATCCTCACGATCGATCAATCATATGAAATTTTCTAGTTAAGATGATTAGTTAAATTCTCGTGATTAGTGCTAGCTGATTTCAAGTATACTTACCAAAACCAGCAAAAAATGGCCAGTAAGATTCAAAGTAATCCAGCCTTCTGTCAAGAGCCACTTCATTGAAGTTCCATTTGTACCTAATAAAATCGTTTATTACTGAACATGCATTCAACTATTAAAGACATCAAGTAGTAGATGAAAGTACGGAGCACATACTCGAAGCAGTAATATGCATACATCCAGGAAAGGAGTAAAAAATTAAGCAGCTTCCCTATGTATGGTATGAATCCTGTTGCATAGACCTGCATATAACATCAGAAATAGCATATGTAAGGATAAATGAAGGAAAATCGATTTTCCTGCATATCAAGGAATGTATATATATATTATCCTATTATTATGAAAACTAAATTGTAATGATTTTAGTACCTCAAGAAAAAACACACTCAAAAGGAGTATGGAGTACACCTGCTGTCCTATTCCAATCATGACCCTGAATTAAGAAAACACAGTAGCTGAACCTTTTAGCACTATTTACCCCCGAAAGAACTGATCAATTAGAAAATAAGAAAAAATATTGCTCCATGAAGTAACTATTAATTAGAACTTTACCCTCCCAAGCCAGATGGTCCTTTTACATGATGAGCATTTTGTACAGTTGGTGAGTTGTTTTGGCTCGAGCTCTTCTCTTCAGTAAGCTTAGATTTTCCCATTGCAGCATACCCATACTTAGCAATGTCATTGTACCTAAAAGCATTCTGTTAGCAATTCTGAAGGAATAAATCTTATCTTTCATAGGCAGACTAGTAGCAAGAAACAGGAAAACAAATATAAACATAAGAGCACGAGCTCCCAATTGTGGAGAAACCTCCTAGCCTTCTCCTTTCCTCTTAGTGACCAACTAACTCACCCCACACTCACACTTTCAGAATTCATGCTAATTTGGTTTCGGTCCACCCTTAAAGGCTGTATTGACCTCAGGGCAGAAGTTTGGGAATTGGTCTCTGGTGCTTCTTTCCTCTTCCCAACTAACCTCTTCTAGTGGTTTATATGTCCAAAAGGATCAGCTATTCAGAGTCTTTCCTAGGACAAGGTATCACAAGAAACCAGGACTGCATCAGATTTGACATGTGCCAACAACTTAGGACTGAGCTTTTTGGCCACTGAAATCTGCTTAACTGGAGAAAGGACCAATACAGTACTTCTCTAGAGTCATAAAAAGAAATGCATAATTAACAAAGTCCTAAGAATTATAAAATTCATCCCTAATCAGCACAACAATGCAATCAATAGAAGCAAATTAAATCATAAAAGAGAAAACATCAACCAAAATTAAACCATATAAAAAAGAAAATACTAATCAAATTAAAAAGAGAGATTACAGTAAAACAGGGAGACGACAGTTGAAGAAGGTGCATGGGTTCAACAGCAAACAGTGCTTGGTTCAATAACAGACAACTTGGCTGGTGGCCGGTTCAACATAGGTTCGTTCATTAGAATAATGTTTGTATAAGCAAAGAACAGAACAAAGACATAACATGCGCAGAGAAGGTTTGGTGGTTAAATGGGGGAATGTGTGGTGGTTCATTGCCAGACAGTTGCTGGTTTGAAGGTGGACGGTGGTTGGTTTGATGACAGAAGGTGTGGTGGTTCAAAAACAAACAATGACTGGTTCGACAACAGACGTTGTATTGCAAAGGGGTAAATGCAAAGAAGGAAGATGAACTACACACATTTGTTAAGAAAAAAAGGAAACGAGCAGTGTCTGTTTCACTTGTAAGGAAGTGTCCTGTGTGCGATTTGACTGTTGGGCTGTGTTGAACACGCAAAAATGGCGTTTCAGAAAAGTGTCCACACTTCTTAAGTTCTTCATGCTACTCATAAAGGAACCATTTTGTTTGAATAATCATTCAGCCAAACTATGAGTTCCTTCAATTTCAAGTCAGAGTTCTACAACAGTATCTATTGATTGGAGAGTGAATTCAATCAATAGCCACCACATAGGCATCAATCAATGGCACCAATGCTATGGATAGTAATGCGAGTGATTTAGATGTTACCACCAACCTCTAGATGAAAGCACCTAAAGATAGAAATAAGTCCTTCCTTTGAAAATATAAGAGCAAGAGCTTCTAGCAATGGAGAAACCTCCAAGCCTTGAGCTTTCAAGTAGAAACATGATGAGCAACCTCATCCCTTATACATGGTCACTCTTCCTCACAACAAATTCATAGACTATAATTTCCAACAAGAATTCCAGCCCGGCATTGACTTATATAGAAAAGGCAATATATGGATACATAATGGGACTGAGAGACTATAATATTTTGGTGTTCTTTTCATCTTTTGGAGAATATATAATCCACAGCCCAACACATACAACATGAAAATAAACATGCAAGACAGAAGATTAAAAAGAAATTTTACCAAATTGTGCTAAGAACTATGCTGAAGACGTATAATGGGTAAAACCAAAGCACCTGCAAGGAACAAAAAGGACAATCACAACAGATTAAATGGAAAAACAAATTCAATTGTGGAGTTTTTTCTTGTGCAAACTAGATCCGTAAAAACATCTGAAATGCATTGCATAAAAAGAAAATGAAATAATTCCTCTCAGCAATTATGCAACTAGCATTGCAAACATTGACTTTTGAAATTCAATATTTCCATTAGACCTTCCGTGCTTTTCTAATCAATAGACTTGTTAAAGTTGCATTAGCTCGGGATAATCAATAGATTCTTCAATTAGTATAAATACTGAAAATCCATGCGAGTTATAATATAAAACAGAATCAACTTGGAGAGAAACACAACAAAGTACCTTTTATGTTCAATGTGCACTTTAAAAAGAGTATATTTCATACTTACATAACAGAGCTGAATGAGCGCAAGACGTAAGAAAGAATAAAATTTCAAAACGCCACTTAAGTCACACAGTTTATGAGAAACAAACTGTGAGCAGTGGTCAGGTAATATCCACCACAATGCAGGGATCACAAGCGAGTTTAGGACGAATATACTGCACAAAAATTTAAAGATTTTCAAATTATTAAACATGTTGAATTTAGATTCATGATTTGTGCACAACAATCCATACATAACAAAATGATGCAGGTATCAACTAATAATAGTCAAACAGATTTCTTCCACTCATTATGTCAAGAGTAAACATAATCCAACTCGTTGCCACAAATTCTTAGTCACTGTGTCAGAATAAATTGAAGTTAGTTCCATTAGTTCATGTGCAGAGCAATTTTAAGGGACAGACAGATCTCCTTCTGCAGACCTTGGCCCATTCAAAACCCACTCATCCAATCAGAAACAGCTAGTTTACATAAAACTCAAATTGAGATGTCTATTCCTAGAATTTGGAGAAAATTATTGATTTTATTGAAAAGGGTGATATGAAAAGGCTAACATATCAAATATTTCAGATCTAAAAATTCGGTTTTCCCAATTGAAGTTTATTAGTAAATATCATAAAGAAAAGATGAATAGACAGATTGGAATAATAAACTCAACTCTATATAATCCTTAAAACCTGACAACACCATGGAACTCCATTATACTCAGTTGAGAAGTGAATGACAAACAGAATTTTAAAATTCTTCACACTGAATAATATATTTTTGTGAAAACGGCTGAAGACTGAATCAAGCCCATAAATGTTTTACATCCATTCCATAACAACTCTGGAAAAGAGACTAAAAACCTTAAACTGTAGTAAATTGTTAAGTTCATCTCTCAAAAATCTGCTATTTCTTCCATCTTTATAAAGAAGGAGGTGACTTCGAGCCTCCTCAACCCAAATATAGTAAATTGATCACACTCACAACAGAACAAAAGACAAGTAATAAAGGTTCTAAAACATCCATTGGATTACAAAATTTGATTTTTCAGTGCAGAGTTATGGTAATTTAGAGAATTAGGTGTTGATTTTTTTTAGAATGGATAAAATGGTGCATGGAGAAAAGAAAATTGCATTATAGGAAAGAAAATACCTTCCGAGGAAAATGAAACCATTTAAGAGGAAACACTGGCCAGTTCGCATCAAAAGGTGGTTGGACCTCATACACAGAATAAAAACGCGATGAAGGCAACACGCTTCTCGTAAGCCTTCAAACCATAGAGAAGCAGTCATCTTCACTTTGCCGCTGACTTCCATTTGTTATTTCTGCAACCAAACCAAACAATCGCAACACTCTTCACAGCCCTTTTACTTCATCACGCACCTTTCCTAACCAGTTTTTTTTTTGTTGTTGTTGAATTTTGGTGTATATATATATATATATATATATATATATATATATATATATATATATATATATATATATATATATATATATATAGATTTTATAATAACCATCGCCATTGGTTTTAAGTTACCATATTATAATCTCAAATCAGATTTTTCCTTCAAACATTATAGTCGGAATATTATATTTAGAGATATTTAAAAATATATTTGATTTTTTTCTTTTAATATTTTAAAATTGTAAAGTAAAAAATAAGATGAAAATTATAATTAAAAACTTATGCGATTTTTTTAAACTTGAGAATAAAAACGATTTAAATAAAGAAAATAAAAGATATTTATTTTTAAAATATAATATTTTAACTTCCCTACTAAACATGATAACGAGTAATAATTATTAGGGCTCTGTTTGCTACTACCAACCTTTCTTACCCAATGGGATTTTATATACGAAGCTCAAACTTTTTTTTCAATAACAGTAAATAATCATTTTAAAATTATTCTTTAAAGGATAAACTAAAATAAATATTTTATCTAAAAATATAATTTAAATAAAATTACATCATAAGATATTAGTATAAATAACATTAGCTTTTTGAAAAATTAATTTAAATAAATCATATTTAAAATATGTTTTTAATTAAAAATATTTTTTAAAATAAACTTAATTTCATAAATTTAAATAAAGAAACAAAAGTCTATAAATCAAATTATATATAATTCTTTAATGGTTAATGTTTTCTTTATTAATTATGATCATTTGATTAAAATATATATATATGAATACAATTTATTAACTATTTACGAATATTCACATATATGGATATCATAATAGTCTCGTTTACTCTAAATAATTAAAAAAAATAAAATACTCATATCGATTATATATGGTATCTTTTGCGAATTTTACCTATAAATATTTATGGATGCACGTTGTTTTACCATCCAATTCTTATCTATCATGTTGTTCAGAAAATTGGTTTCGTGCGTTTTCATTTTGAGGTAGGCTTCTGTATTAGTAATATAAATAATTACCTTTTCGACCTTACTAACCTTTCGGGGATGATTGTTCTAACCAGGCCAAAATTTTGGATTATAAAATATCTCATACTCTGGTGCATTCTTCTGTTCTATATCAAATACTTTAATAAAAAAAGTGTTTTTTTTTTCTCTATTGGTCTAAATAAATCATATTTAAGTCTTTTGAGCACCCCACCTTAATGTCTTAATGTGTAATATTGGATAACTTGACTTGCCGAAGTAATGAAATCTTCTTTAGAACTTCAAGATTTTATAAACTCTTGGCATATTTGAAGAATACTAAACAAAAACAAAATATAATAGAAATTAAAAGATCAATCGAAATATTTGAAACATACTAATCAACTAAAAATACATATGAAAGATGATCTCGGCCATCTTTTAGAAAACAAAAATAAAATGAAAATCAAAAGAACAAAGTTAAGAAAAGGGGGAAAAAACACAGCACTTTAAAATGCATAATTGGTTTTATCTACATTATCCTCTTGTTATATTTTATACATAAACGATTGCGTTTACAGCTTTTTCTTCTTTAAATCCTTGTTGATATTACTCTAAAATTTCCTGTAGATTATTCAAAATTCACAAGAAACTTATTTTTTCTTGTATTAAGGAGTTGGAAATATTACGTACGTGTGTCAAGAAAAAACACTTTAAAGTTATTTAAAAAGAAGTATTGCTTAAATTAAAAAGAAATAAATTGAAGTGTGGTCGCATTTTACCATGAGTAGTGCTGAATCTATATAGCGACTAGAAGCAATCCAATCCACCAGGCATTCGACCCGGAGTCTACACATCCAGATTTCAATATTTAGCTCCCAACGAGCACAAAATATGGAGGTCAGCTCGAGTTCAAATGGCAGAAGACACTGATAATAACATTGCAATGCTGTCCAGTTCAAAATTTGATGATGAATATTTTCATTTAACTGAGGTACACTATATATAATCAATGTGCAGAAAATTACATTGGCCTTTGTTTTGGGTATGTAGGAGAGTAAAGGGCATAATCATATCAGGAGGCCAAAAGAACAGCGATAGGAAACTCTCATCCTTCCACTCCAACTGTATCAGGGAAAAATATGATGGGGAGGGAAATAATCAGTAAAATACAGACGACCTTGGCAAAATCCCTCCCAAGTGCCACAAGCTCATTTAGAAATGCAAGTTGTGATACAAGGACTATTATCATGGCCCTCTCATAGATTCTTGCCGTCTAAGAGGAATGCCTTCACCGCCATCAAACCCATCCTCTTCTGCATGCTTCGGAAGTCTAATAGATAAAGATGTTTGTAAACCTGCACATAAAGAAGTACATGTGAGCACGAGTGCCAACTGCCATCTACAATATGCAACTACTACAGTGCGATAGCTAGATCATACCATCAGTCATATCCTTAGTTTTGTGCAGCAGAAAAGTTCCTGAAAGAATGGTCACAAACCCACATATTTCTGTGATAACTTGTGTTGGACTTTGCCTATCCCAGTCCTGACATCAAATTCAATTCTAAAAGGTTAACCTTCAAAATATGGCAGACTTCACAGACATTGAATGTGCAAGTACAAATGAACTCAAGACTTGAACATCACATGCATGACGATTAAAGTGATGCAAATTCAATATTTGCATCTACATATGCTTATTAAGGGAAAGAACAAAAGTTGCTTCACACCCTATTGAATCTACACTCACAACAAAAGTTGACTCGGCAGACACTCGTTTATTCATAAAAGCATGCAGCTCACCCTTCATTTGTAAGCAGTTTATTAGAAGTATATGCAGGACCTACCAATAGAAACTTGACTAGCAAATAAGATGAGGTCGACATAGTTATAGGCAACCACCACCATACAAATATTGTTGAAGATCTCGTGACAACACCAAAATAAAATGATAATAAAAAGAAGCATTATCCAACAACAATCAATATGAAGCATTATACAGTCCAATCAATGTCATAATACTCCATCATAAATCATATCTATAGTATTCACTCCTAAATCGTTGTAAAGGTTTCAACCATAGTTTTTCTTGGTCTCTCTCAGCCTTTGGATAGGAGATTGGGCTTTCCCACTATTTGATCTATTATCCTTATTGACGCATCTACAGGTTTCCTTCGTACTGCCTAAACCTTAACAAACTATGAAGTCCAATGACAATTGACAAAAAGTCTTAGCATAGATCTAAACTACCAGAAGACGCTGGAAGGTCTCCAACTTTCAAAGAGCAACTAAAAAAGAATTTGAAGAAACAGGCAAAAGCAAAAAAGAACTCGTAGTCTGAGCTTCTCTGCTTCTATTATTAAATATCTTTCTTCATGTTGTGCTCTATTTTAGGGTCACAATAAAAAAATGAAATTTAAACAAACAATAATATAGTGTAGAAAGAAAGATACTTAAAACTTAATGTGGATCAAAAAGCTTCAAAACACATTATTCGATATACAATCCATCCTGATTATTTTAACACAATTTATAGAATCTTAAAGTAATGCGACGAAGTAGTGCCCAACTATACCAGTTAGGTAATAAAACTTACCTTAAACATAATAACACTAGCCACAATGGTGAATGTAGTGAACATAACATAATATATGGGAGATACCACTGCTGTATTGAAAGTATCCAGTGCCTGATGGCAGAAATGAAAAAATATCATCAAATGAATGATAAAGCAGAAAGAACTAGTGATCAAACCCCATAAAAATGAGATGATGATACATACAAATAATTGCATAATATTAGCAAGTAGCAGAATCATGACAAGAGACATCCAGGATTATGAAAACATATAGTTTTATCCTAATACTGCAAATTCAACTTTTAAATCCATAGAAAAAATGAACATGTTCTTATAATAAACCATCCAGGTACCTAAACCCAAGGTTGTCAAACTCATGAGTCTACATCTACGTAAACTCGTGGAGCTTTTGTAGACTCAACTGGTAAACTCATAAAATTTTTACCTAATATAAAAAATAATATTAAAAAACCTATTAGTGACATATTCCCATAACAATACTCTTAAGAAAAAGAATCAACATTTCAACTTCATAACAAAGCAAAGTAGCATTCACAAAAATGTGTGATAGTACATTAGTACTAAATAAAATCAAACCATTTAAATGGCCAAATCATAAATAAATTCATACACACACAAGATACTAAAGAGAAAAACATTTAAAAAAGGAGTGAATTTCATCAAATCATTTGAGCTTTGGCACAACACTACTTCTATGGGGTCAATTGGGGTTAGGGGTGAGGGAAAAATTATATTAATTTTTAAACTCATTCACTCTCACTTCTTAACCCAAGAGTTTATGCAAGTTCACACGAGTATAACAAACTCTTCTTAATTTATCTAGAAAAGAGTTTGATAGAGAGTTAATTCATTTTATATATCTAGAATCATAAAATCACACGAGTCTAAGTTAACTCATGTTTGACAACCAGGCCTTAACCTGCCTTAATGTGCATATGTGATATCTAATAAATTCAGGCCAATAATAAATTGCATGTCTTTGACACTTCTCTCAGTTTTAAATTATAAAATTCATCGCACTTGCCTCAGACCTTCTTCCTATGTTACTACCCGCCTGCAAGCCATTTGAATATTGACTACCATGCAAATTTCAAATCACTAATGGCAAAATATATTCACCACAGTGAGTAATGGTTAATGTATTCACTATTTCTACTTTCCAGATTAATGTTTTCCTTGCTTTTTGTACTAATTAAAATTCCTTTTTATGTCAATAAAGTGACTTTATGACCACTCATTTTTATTATATTTCTTCTGAACTAATGTTAGATACAAGTTATATGCTCACTCGTAAAACACCAAAGTTTCTATGTGCGTAACTATTCAAACTGCATACGTGGATCCTCTTTCAGAATGAAGGACGATTTTGAATTTCCAAAAACATTAAAAAGACAATGAATTCTAGGCCAACCTACAAACGAGAGTCACACCTTTCCTATTTTCCTGTTGATCTTCGTCCTCATTTAGCTGTCAATTTTCCTATTATGATTGGGGACTTTCTTTATCATTTAAATGCAAGCATTTCACATATTCCCCTTGTTTACATATTTGATACTATTTATTCATAAAACAGTGGATATGACCAAATATGTTCTAAACCAAGGGATAAAAAATCCAATCAATCACAGTAGTTTACTCAAAGATCACAAGGTCATATGTGACGGTAACATGTTAAAAGTTAAAATATTTACAAAATAAAACATGGTTCAAGAAACATATCATGCATAGTCTGATCAGGAGATAAATAACCAACATTTTGACAATTTTATTTCCTTATCGACACAAGCAAGAAAAGTTTACATACATAAAATAAAATGTTTAAAATTCTAAAGGCATTTAAAAATATAACATAAAATACATGATACTTGCACAGATTTCACTAAATGTTAATTTAAATTCAATAAACCATTTTGATGTATATGATACTAGTTGAACAAAAAAAGTACACTACAAAAATTGTTGAGTGTTGACAAAAAGTACATAATAGTAATCAAGTAAAAAAGAGATCGGGGAACTAACAAGAAAACAAATGTACCTTATTTAAATAATTCATTTGGGTAAGAACACAAAGAGTTACAACTAGAGTGAATGCCCAAGTTTGAGGGAAAATTAGCTGATTCATCCCAGACAGTGTTAACTTTATGGCAATTCCAAGAGCTTTAACACTCATAACCTGTCAAAGGAAAACCTTACAATACAAATAAAGAGGAAAACTAACAAGGAGAAAAACTACGATTAGAAAGTCATCAACAACTAGATAATCAGACATACCGTAAGAGAGCCTACAAGGGAACAAACACCAATATAAACCATTATGTGTGTCTGCCCATAGAGAGGAATGAAGTGAAAGATAAGGACAAAAGTAGCTGATATAACTAACGCTGCATAGAAGAGAAAAGCTGCAGAAGAATGCTCACGTTCTTGGTTAGTCATTCAATACAACATTTATTGAGTAAAGGGATTGATATATTAAGTAGGAACATGGCTACCTGGCTCCATAGCAAGATCCCACACTTCTGTCACAGATTCAATTTCCCGTTCTTGAGGTGCATGCAAAACAATTGTAGTAGATCCCACAACACACAAAGCACAACCAAGAATTCCAAAAATATGCAGCCTTTCCCGTAAAATAATATGAGCAAGAGCCGCACTGCAAGAAAATGCCACAAATCAGAATTTACCAAGAGTCAAGCACCAGTTTGAAGCTAATTTTTATCGTGCCTGATAATAATGCTGAGAGCACCAAGTGGAGTGACCAATATAGCTGGAGCAAATGCATAAGCTGCAAAATTGGCAATCTCTCCTACAATCACTGTTGAAATTGCACATATGTTAGAAAAAGAATTTAATCAACTAAAGATACTATGGAACTCATGTCAATAAGTTGAGTTCTGATTGAAATGTTGTTAACATCTCTAATGGCCCATATCCATGATGAAATATTCCCATTGAAAATGTGTGAAGCAAAAAGAATGAAAGAAAAGATAAAATTAGACTCATTAGATTGAAAGTGCATGCTTTAGCAACCTCTTTTATTTTGTGTATAAATTTGGGACATAAGTTGCAGAAAATGGATCACACAGTGATGAAGGGGGGAATATATATATATATATATATATATATATATATATATATATATATATCCCTCTTTGGATAAGATAAGGTTCTGCAACTCAATCTACGTTTTTACAAGTATAATGACTAAATTACTTTCTGCACTTGTAAAGCAACTGCAAACTCAACAAAAAGAAGGGGGAGGAGGGAGCTTGAGGGATACACTTAGAAAAGAAAAATTCAACAATACATTCAATTCGTTAGTCCTATCAAAACCAAACAGAATAATATATAACTCACTTGTTATCATTCCCACCCACCATAGTGGCTCATACAAGTAAGAATAACCTCCACTTCCTGTCAGATGAATTTGGATAGTCAGTCACTTTTGCACATGATCCACCAATGAGACAAGGGACCAAAAAATATAGAAACTAGAGGTAACACGATAACATATCCATCCTAACAGAAAGAGCAAATGCCAGAGACGACAACAACTATTTTGTAAATTAAATAATTCAAAAAAAATATAAGCAAGCAAGTAAACAAACAAATCCGAGGCTGAATTAATAGAGTTGACAAGCATCCATTTCATTTTAATATTAAAAAATATCTACAGAATAAGAATAAAAGTATTCCCTACTGTTGAACAGCAAGGCAAAACAAAATGAAAACATTTAACTAGCAGACAGTTTTTCCACCGTATTTCTAACATTTAAAGCAGGATCTCAGGTCACACAAACTCCATTTTCTGGTGAAAAGAAAGATACCGCCAGAATAATCAGATCTCTCGTCACTTCATCCTCGGGAGCGCAAGAAAGTAATTGTTGAAATCAGCAAAAAAAGTTCAGAGTAAATTGTTGAGAACAGAAAATTGTTCCCTTCCGCCTCAAGCCCGTCAGCAAAATTTGAAAATAACACCTAATCTACTTATTCTACATGTATTTGTATTATAGAATTCGACGAGGTCATACAAAAAGCCTGGTAAACGCAACACAACGCATCGAGTTTAAAGTTGAGGGATTTCAGACAGTTGAACTCAGATAGCCAAGAGAAGAAAAGAAAAACCTTCAGATCCCCATAAAATTTAACCTAATCCATTCTATACACTAAACCAGACAAGTGAACAAAAACTAAACAGGCAAAGATCAGTAAAGCACAGGAAATAAACGCCAGTTCAAATCAAAGGCAGTCACAAGTAACGAGAGTACAAAAGTGAAATCAAATCAAATAGAATCAAATCGACGGTGAGGAGTGAACGATACCGGCCCTGATTCCACTTGCACCAGCCTTCTTCAACCCCTTCTTTTTGACAATGAAGCTGGCACCGATGAAGAAGCTGGAGGAGAGAGCGAGGCATAAACCCTTTATGTTGTCGGAGGACATGCCCTCGCGCCAGCTGGAACCCGAAGAACTCGCCATGGCGCAGAGAAAAAAATAAATAAGCGAAGCAAAACCCTAGCCGTAGGTGCAGAGTGAGATCTTGCCACGAGAATCGACAAACTCAAGAATCTAACCCTGGATGAGGTTTTCCTCGGTGGATACAGCTGTCACAAAGGCTCTCTCCCTCTTGATCGAAAATGCTTTGCAATTGCAATTGCATAAGCATAATACATTGAGAAAGACAAAGAAAAATAGGAAGAAATAAAGAGATAAATAAAAACTAGACACAGGTTTTACAGTGTGACTGAGACTACTAACAAGGTCGATGACTACAACACTCCATTGTTGATTCGCTGCTAATCTTTACTTTGATTGGGAATTACTCTCTCTCTTCCAATACTCTTCCCTTCTTCTTCCTCCTCTTTCTTTCTCTCTTTTTTTTTTCTTTTATTTATCGCGATTGATATTAATATGAATATATTTATTGCTTATCATTTATTATTATTATGGTTGCGATGTCATCTCTAGGACAACCATTACCATTCATTTTTCTTTCGCATAAAAAATCATACACTTTTTATTTACGCTTTTTTTATGCTTCTGATTAAAATTTTAAAAACGATGAGAACTAAATTGATTAATAATTTTTTTTTCTCCATCGTTCTAACCGATTAATCCGTCTTTACTCAATTTAGGGTCCAAAACTGTGGATTAAATATACGCTGATTTTTCTCACCCAAAATAAAAACAAATCTATGATTTTTTTTTTTTGCTTCGGTTCTCATGTTTAATTCAGTAACATACATGAAGAAATGAAGTGGACTTTTGACTTAAACTAGTAAGCTAAAGGCTAAAAGGACAAGGTAACAAGTTCTTGGTGGGTGCACCTGTATTTTTCTCATGCCTTTAATTGCATTATTACAACTTTTTTTTATAATTTTTTTGGAACATTTTGATTTAATATTGATTATATATATATATATATATATATATATGTATATTTATATTAGTATAATGTTGTTAAGTCTATATATATTTTTTTTAAATTGTTATGATCATTCTCCTTATTTTAGCATTAAGTAATGATTATTAAATTCTATTATTTTCCTTTTATATTATATCTTTCATCTGTTTTTTAGCATGTGCTTTTTGAAAAAAAAAATATTTACAATGTTCAATATCAGAATAATTACTTTTTCTTATATATATTGTCGTATGTTTTCTATTTTTAAATAATTTATAATCGTATTTGTCGTCTAAGATGAAAAAGATGAACAAGTAAAATTATAAATTATTTAAATATTTTATTATAATTTTGAAAAGATTATAAATTATTTAAATATTTTATTATAATTTTGAAAAGATTATCGTATTTCTATAGTCTCTGGTTTCTTAAAAAAAGTCGTTGACATTTATAATTTTAATATCATACTAATTTTTTCGAATATATTTTTATGTCTTCTAATTTGAAAAAAGTTTATAAATATATTTATTATTTAAGATAAAGAGAAGAACGAGTAAAATAAGAAACTATAAGACTATTTTATTATGATTACAAAAATTATTGTATTTTTTTAAAATATTATAAACAACTTTAAAATAAATAAAAAGGAATATAAATATTAAATTATCATAAGTATAATAATAAACATGTTTTGTGATATTAATTGACCATGATTATATACTTGTTTGGAGATTTAATATAGTTAAATGATGACAGCTATGTTAAATTATGATTAAATATTTATAGAATTGTTGTTGTTGTTTTTTTCTCATTAAAAGAACTTTGTTTTTAATGTTATAATAAGTTACATATGATTGCATAAAAAATAGAAAGAAAAAGTGATTGATAGAAGAAAATAAATTGAAATAAAAAATAAAAAATATATGATTTTATGATTAAAATATTTTTAACTATGCAAAAGTTATTTAAATTTTTAATTTAAAAAGTCATTTCCCTTAAAGAACAAGTATTTCATAATTATATAATAATTTTATAATTATATAGTTTAATTTTTTTATTTGTAAAATTTTCAAATAAAAACAATTATATATTCACCCTACTTTATTTTCTTATAGTTGAACAAAACTTATATGAGTGTTAAGCACACGAAATATTAGACACAAGCTTATAAAGGGGATTATAGTTTGTATGTGTTGTTTTATAGTTTAAAGAGAAACATTTCAACAAAACAATGTTTTTTGAAAATAGTTTTTGGTTGATTCTTTCCTTGAAAGTTTGTTAGTGAGATATGTGTAAATTCAAGGGTTTGCTTGTTTTTTATTTTTAAAAATAATTTTTTTTGTTTTTAAAAATTAAAGAAAATTATTTGATAATTATTTTTTAAAAAAATACAACGTTTTTTTTATTAAAATGTTTTTTAAAAGAAATGGCAAATATAAAACTATACTAATATAACCAAGTGAAGAAAAATAATATCATTAACTTTATGTAAAAACAATAAAATGTTTTTTATGATTAGTAAAATAATACAATTACTAACAAAATATTTTTTATGATTAATGTCGACCATATATTTTAAAAATTTTCAGCAGAGTAATATAATTAATATATATATATATATATATATATATATATTACACCAGTCAAATAATAATGATAATTTGTTTTTAGCTATATTTGTAGTTTAAATCTATTATATGTTGAGTACCCACGTTCATATTTCAAAAATTTTCAATTTGAAGAAAGAGTATGTTAAATTAAGATATTTTTTTTAAGGCATGTATGAATATTTTGTATTATTATTATTATCTATAAATTGTGATTTGAAATATATATATATATATATATATATATTATAATTATTTCATATCACATGAATTAAAGTTAAGGTAATTATATATAATTTTTTTTAATTAATTTACATACTTAAAAATAAAATTATGATAAATTAAAGTTTTATAATATATATGATAATAAATCATAAGAATGTTATATAGCGAATATGATATTTAAATACTTTCGTTTTTAGATAAAATATTAACGTTTATAGTTTGATTTAAAATAAAATCTTACTTTATTTTTATTTTTTTAGTAATCAACTTTGACATTATATTTCAATATGTTTATAAGTTTCATAACACTTAAAAAGTTGATACGAAAGATAATTTGTATATATTCCTGTTGGATTGATGAAAATATTACATCTTAAAAAGTACTATATCATCACTAGTGCAAAAATGACATTTTACATCACCCAATTGTCGTTGCATGTTAAAATATTCAACGTAAATAAAACGCGATGACAATTTTGTAAGTAAGAGGTGAAACTTTTACGTCGCATATTGTAGGAGATGACGTTAAAAACCTCTTTTACGTCGCACCTGATACAGTGCGACGTAAAAGAGGGTTTTTTACGTCGCGTGGGGTGTGCGCGACATAAAAAGTGATACTTTTTACGTCATGTGGGGGGTGTGCGACGTAAAAAGTGATACTTTTTACATCACGTTATACCAGGAGCGACATAAAAAAGGTTTTTTACGTCACGTGCTAGGGTGTGCGACGTAAAAAGTTCTTTTTATTCTCTTCCAGACCCACTCCTGCATCTCGCGCCGCAAGAGTTTTTTAGAACGACGATGAGAATGACGACGACTGCTACCTTTCCACACCATTTTCGATCATTTTGACAGTGAAGAACATCAACATTGTGTCTCATTTTACGAATTTGACATTTCTCCCCGATTAGATTCGAGTTTAAAATCGTTTTCGTGTTTACTCGAGGTTAGTGTTCTATGTCTCCTGATATATGTTCAAATTGAATCCTTGATTGTTTTTGGGGATCTCAATCACGTCATTGTATGAATGTCTCCATTGGATTGTTATTGGAATGTTATTATTTTGTTTGAGTGCATTTTCGGTTTACACACTCCATTTACGTGCTTTGTTGTTTGTATATTAATTTATTTTTAAATATAAATTTTGAATCTTTAGGAGTGACGAAACTATATAACATAATATGAATCGAAGTTAGATGGATGCACGTCGTATTAGTAAAGAGTATGAAAAGGGAGTTGATGAATTTTTGAAATTTGCTAGTGAAAATGGAAAAGGTATTGAATAATATATGGCTTTTTTTCATTTAGAATCGTGTTTATAACTAATGTTCTAAGTGGAAAACCTAAAACAAAGACTTTGCAATTCATTTATCCTAAGGTTAGAAACTTATTATAATTAGTGAATACCATAATTATTATTTGTATTTAAATTTTAAAAATAACATTATATTTTATTCATCATCTCAGTGTAATAAGCAAACAGACTCATTTGAATGTGGTTACTATGTTATGTATTGGATGAGAGTCAGTTTGTGCGGGTATAATTGATTCTTGGACGGAGGTAATTGTTTTCAACATTAGTTAAGTTTATTTAACTTTATGTGTGTTGCATGTTTACAAGAGTCAAATTAATGTTTCAGGTATTTTAAGATCTATCTCCATTACCAGAATATGATATCACACAAATTAGAGAATAATGGGCAAGGTTTTTCGTTCAACAATTCTAGTACTTAATTTTTTAGGTTATTGTTTATATTATATTATGTGTATTATGTAGTTGAGGTAATTTAGTTTGTACTAACTTTTAGTTTGTGTTAACTTTTAGTTTGTATTAACTTTTAGTTTGTAATAGATTTTAGTTCATAGGTTATTGTTTGTATTATATTGTTTTATTATGTAATTTGAATTATATATAATATTATATTTTTTAATTACATAACTAAAGAAACCTGACCCTCCTGAATCTGTTTGGTTATAATATATATTTGTAGGTTTTGGTTGTAAGACAAAATAAACTCAATTTTTTTAAAAAAGGAGCAAATTTACGTCGCATATTGGTATACGCGATGTAAATTTATGTCACATATATCAATATGCGACGTAAATTTACCTCACGTATATCAATATGCGACGTAAATTTACGTCGCGTATACCAATACGTGACGTAAATTTGCTCTAAATTTTTTAATTTTTGATACTTTTTGTGTCTGTTTATTGTAAATGCAATGTAAATTAACATCGGGTCTCGATAACTGACGTGAATTTACGTCAGGCTAAGGGTCCGACATAAATTTACGTCTCCCGTTTTAACGTCAATCTTAAATGCGACGTAAAAAATCCAAAACACCTGACGTAAAAACTCTTTTTTGCACTAGTTCATATTGGATAAGTAATTAAATGGGTAATAGTAACTATATAATGAGTTTAAAGTTTATGAGGTTTCTCACTTCAGTCAAAAATATTTTAAATTTGTATTTGACTTTTCTTATACTCTTGTAGTAGTAAAATGTTGTGAGGTTTAGTTTAAATTCTTAATTTGGAAAGTGTGGGTATACTTGGGGTCAAGGACATAAGATAGTTGTCTATGTGTTGTAAAAATTTGTACATAGTGTTATTATCTGATTATCACTAGATAACCGTTATGGTTTTTCTCCGATTTTGGGAGTTTCTACGTTATATTTTTGTGTTGATTGTTCTTCTCTTATTTATCTATTAGTAGGGTAATTCTCGGGGATAAATTATAATGTTCTTTATGACGTTTTTTCCCATCAGAATGGTATTAGAGTCGAATGTTGATCGACAATTTAAGAGTAGCATTTGTATCGAAAGTCTTCTGTTATGATGAACGACGGTAGATGACTACTGATGAGTTTGAGGGGATGTATCGATGTGGAAGAATTGTGTAAGAATGAGAAAGTTGAGCAACATATAAAGAAGTATGACCCATATATCCCAATGTCTTAAGATTTTTGGTTGAGAGTGGTGTCAATCCTTATGTGGGTTGGGTTCATGTCTCATTGGTGTGTTTCTCCCCTGTGAATCCCTCTCGAAAGACCCAACGAATGGTATAAGAGTCAGGTTCAGTAGGATTTTTCTTAGTATGCTCTGTGGATGCAGCTTAGTCTGATTTTTCACATAAGAAAAGATTAATTCCTTCTTGCTAGAGAATCATCCTTGATTATTAAAGTTACAATGTCATTTGCAAGTGCTGTCAAATGTGATATAAAGAAATTTGATGGAAGGATCCATTTTGGCTTGTGGCAAACTTAAGTCAAAGATGTGCTGATACAATTTGGATTATACAAGGCGTTGAAAGAAAGAACTTTTGACAAGAAGTCAGATTCAGAGACTATCTCTCTCATGTTGGGAGAGGGTGATCTTTTGTAAAAAGATGAGTTAAGTATCCTCATGGCATAACCGCGTTGTCATGGAAAAGGGTGAGTTTTTGCTAACGTTAATTATGTAAGGACATTGACTAATATTGATGCAAGGTGTGTGGTAATTATACAGGTGTGCAGTGAAAGGAAATTCTTTGAATGATTTAATTTCAAGTGAGTATACTCTTTATGGTGAAGTATGGATGATTGTTGATGTAAGAAATGAAGATAAAACGAAAGATGTGTTTATTTTAATCATGGTAGAGATTGTTGGGTTGATAAAAATATTACATTTTGAAAATTCCCACATCACATTGGATAAGCAATGGAGTGAGTGATATTAGCTATATAATGGGCTTAAAGTTCATGGAGTTTCTCACCCCAGTCAAAGACACTTTAAACTTGTATTTGACTTTTCTTATACTCTTGTAGTAGAGTGTTGTGAGGTTTAATTTAAATTATTGCTTTAGAGAGTGTGGTGTACTTGGGGTCGAGGGCATGAAAGAGTTTTCTATGTGTTGTAAAAAATTTCACATAGTGTTATTGTCTAATTATCTTTGGATAACAGTCGTGATTTTTCTCCGGTTTTTGGAGTTTTCACGTTATATTATTGTGTTGATTGTTTTTTTTTCATATTTCTCTATTAGTAGGTAATTCTCGGGGATAAATGATAATGTTCTTTATGACAATTTTTCCTATCAGAATGATATCAGAGTCGAAGGTTGATCAATAGTTTAGGAGTGATCTTTGTATCGAAAGTCTTCCGCTATGATGAACGACGGTACGTGGCTACTGATGAGTTTGAGGGAGATGTACCAATGTGGAAGAATTGTGTAAAAATGAGAAAGTTGAACATTATATAAGGAAATATGACTCATAATCTAATGTCTTTAGGTTTTGGGTTGAGAGTGATGTCAATCCTCATGTAGGTTGGACTCATGTCTCATTGATGTATTTCTCCCCTGTGAATCCCCCTCGAAAGACCCAACAAATGGTATCAGAGCCAAGTTCAGTAGGATTTTTCTTAGTATGCTCTGTAGTTGCAGCTTAGTTTGATCTTCCACATCAGAAAAGATTAATTCTTTCTTGCTAGAGAATTATCCTTGATTGTTAAAGTTGCAATATCAATTGCAAGTGGTGTCAAATGTGACATAGAGAAATTTGATGGAAGGATCCATTTTGGCTTGTAGCAAACTCAAGTCAAAGATGTGCTGATATAATCTAGATTACACAAGGTGTTGAAAGAAAAAACTTATGACATGAAATCAGATTCAAAGACTGTATCTCTCATGTTGGGAGAGGGTGGTCTTTTGTAAAAGGATGAATTAAGTATCCTCATGGCATAACCGCGTTGTCATGGAAAATGATGAGTTTTTGTTAGCTGTAATTGTGCAAAGACATTGACTAATATTAATGCAAGATGTGTGGTGATTATACATGGGTGTTGCTTAGCATTGATGCAAATATGCAGTGAAAGACAATTCTTGAAATTGTTTAATTTCAAGTGAGTATACTCTTTATGGTGGAGTATGGATAATTGCTGGTGTAGGAAATTGAGATAAAAAGGAATATGTGTTTATTTTAATCATTGTGGAAATTGTTGGGTTTATGAAAATATTACATCTTGAAAATTCTCACATCACATTAGATAAACAATAGAGCGAGTGATAGTAGCTATATAATGGGCTTAAAGTCCATGAGGTTTCTCACCCCAGTCAAAGACACTTTAAACTTGTATTTGACTTTTCTTATACTCTTGTAGTAGAGTGTTATGAGGTTTAGTTTAGATTATTGCTTTGGAGAGTGTGAGTATACTTGGGGTCAAAGGCGTGAGAAAGTTGTCTAAGTGTTGTAAAAATTTGCACATACATAGTGTTATTATCTGGTTATCATTAGATAACGGTTATAATTTTTCTCCAGTTTTTGGAGTTTTCACATTATATTCTTGTGTTGATTGTTTTTCTCTTATTTATCTATTAGTAGGGTAATTCTCAGATATAAATGGTAATGTTCTTTATGACATTTTTTCCCATAACAGTTTAAGAGTGGTCTTTGTATTGAAAGTATTTCGTTATGATGAACTACAGTACATGACTATTTTTGAGTTTGAAGGGAATGTACCAATGTGGAGGAATTGCGTAAGAATAGGAAAGTTGAGCAACATATAAGGAAGTATGACCCATAACCTAATGTCTTAAGGTTTTGGATTGAGAGTGATGTCAATCCTTATGTGGGTTGAATTCATGTCTCATTGGTGTGTTTCTCCCCTGTGAATCCCTCTCGAAAGATCCAACAATTTCATCTCTTAACCAACCGAGATGATTTTTAAAAACAAAATCATAATGCATTAGACTTTTACCATTAATAAATTTTAATACTTTCATCGGAATGAATATTTTTTTTATGAAGAATAACTTATTTTTGTAAAAAATTGATTGTTTTGTTAAAAAAAAGTTTGATTGTGTTTACATGGAAAGGTTACAATGGGTAGTTCAACCCATATGCTAAAGTAAAAAAAAAAATGATAATTTTGTCTCTTTTATATTTTAAAGGAGGTCAAAATTCTTAGTCTAGTCTAACCCTATATTAGATCAACACGAGTCAATTTTTGTTTGATTATTTTTTTTAAATGTTAACATATCTATACAAAATCAATTAAATAAAAAATATTTTAATAAAATAAAAAAATAAAATATTTTATAAATTTAAATTTTATTGATGAAATTAATTTTTATTTAAGATATAATGATTTAATATATAAATTATAAAATAATGCATATATTCAATCTCAAAATAAAAAATTAAAAGATTATTTATTATTATTATTATTTATTTTTAAAAAATAATTTAAAATAGTATTTATTAGCGATTTATTCTAATATTTACTCTTAAAATAAATGAATCTATATCAAATTAATTTATAATACATATATATTTTTTAATTAAATAAATTTTTTTATTTAAAAAATAGTTATTATTCTATAAAATGAACCAATTCATAAACCTAAGGACTAGCTTGACCTAAACCCATATAGATCAGATCATAATATGCTTGATTCAATTTAGGTCATAAATATTTTCGCTTAACCTGACATATTTTCTTCGTCTCTTACTTCCTGTACCCCCATAATTTTTCTATGTACCTCCATATTCCAAGTCAAAATACCTAAAGTAACATTCTCATGATTTTGTTTTTTTACCTGACTTCTTCTGATTCTATCTGTTCCAACTTTTGCACTTCTATCCTTTGACTATTTTATTTTTTTGTGCTATCACCTCCATTGAAAATATTTTTTAACAATTAAAGATAAATAATTGTTAATATTATGTATGAATTACATGTTTTTACACTTAAATTATACAAACAGACTCAACTTGCTCAATATAAAACAATCTCACGTGAAAATGAGGTTAAATTCTATGACACCAAATCCATAATATATTTTTGGATTGATTTTTATAGAATAGTATTAGTATTATTAGTATTATGTATTTCCAGAAAATCAATTACAAAAATACATTCCATAAATGCGTTCTAAAAAATCAATTCTAAAAATGTATTTTGAAAATAACTTTTTAGAACATGTTTTGTTGAAAAAAATTCCAATTTTCTCACTTTTTATCCCGTGTAAGGGTAAAATGGAGTTTAATTCTGAATTACAGGAAAAAATTATAGAGGTGCAGAAAATTGCAACCATTCTCCGGGACCGACCTCAACCACACCCTACCAAACATAACGAGGATGGATATATTTCGAAATAATTGAATTACAATCATGTCAACTCTTGAAATTAACTAAACAGAGAATAGAAAAAAAAAACCCGAAAATTGGAGAGCAATAGTTTCACATCATTTTCTACTCAATTTTCACCTAAATGCTTCTGTTTGCTTAATTCTTGTTCCAAAGCATGTTTCTTTAATTTTTGACAAAAAATTTTACTGTTTAAGACTATGACTTGAGTGTGGTTTGTGTCATTTGGTTCCTTAATAATGAAGGGGAAAAATCACACCTCAATAGCCCATTTCTACTTTAATTTGTACTGTTTTTAGTTTTCAGTTTTTATGCTATTGCCTGGTGTTCTTTTTTTTTTCTTTAATTCTTATCGTAGGTTCTCAATTTTTTCAGTTCTTTAGCTTAATCTAGATTTTAATTAGTTCACAATTGAATTAGGACCAGTTTTCAATTCCGTCTCTAGAAGTAGTACTTTTCTTTTATCAAGTTTTATTTCTATTTTGTATGCATACGTTCTTAATAATTCTTTATTGTTTTGGACAAGTTACTTCATCTTAACTCTGTACTCGATCTTAATGATTTGATTTAAAAGTTTTTCCCCAATTGAAATTCACTAAAAATAGGCTCCCTAGTTAAATTTGCCATCCATTTTGGGTTAATTTCTAAAGTGTTTTCTATGCTGTTTAATACTTTGCTTTTCCTTGTTTTTCTTTGAATTCTGCCAATATTTAATATTCAATGTCTTTTTATTCTGTTTGCATCATTTCTAATTTGGTTTAGGTGTTTTAGGTCATTATCATTTTTACAAACAATTTGTATGCACTAGGTTAGCTTAAGTTTGCTATTTTAGTCTACTTCTTTTGGTAATTCGGTCTGCATGCCCAATTTTTTTTTCTGTTCTTATTAAATCTTTACATGCCATTTCAATTCTGCCTCTTATTTGTTTAACTTCAAATTACATGTTTAGTAGCCAAATATTTCAGGACAAATTCATAGAATCCTAGTTCTTAAACATAGTTTTTGTATGCTTTGGATTTTTTAGCAAATTCGATTCAGTTTATTGCTTTTAGTTTGCTGTTTTGTGCCTTGTTAATTTCTGTCCATTTTACAGCAGTTTAGCTTAGTTTAGCTTAATCATCCATTCGCCCAATTTAAGAAATTTGCATATTTAGTTCTTCATTTAGGTCATTTAGCTTGATTTGTATGTTTTTGTAATTCTAGCTTTTTCACCCACTTAGTTTTAGTATTTTAATTCCTATTGTAACTTGTACCAACTTCATCTTAAGATCAATTCGGTAAATTGTTAGTGTTTTAGTATAATTGGTCATTCCTTTTATATAGCTTAGAATTATCATTTATGCTTTACATTTCTTTTATTTTTGTAGCATGAAAATCCCCACCAAAGTTTATTTGATTCTCGTTCAAAGAACATTCATTTGAAGACAAATTGTTTTTTCATTCCTTGGATTCACACTGGGTTTGCAGAAGTTTATTCCTGGATGATCTATAATGAAATGACTTATATTTCCACACATTTAAAAAATATACTTAAGGATAATGAGAATGCTTTACATAACATTAATTTTCACTTTAATAATATATTTTGCAATATAATTATACATTAAAAAGGTTATTGAATTGAATGGAATTCAACATTTTCCCAACACAATAAGATATATTTAAGAAGAAAATTAAATATTTTATTATAGATTTTTTATAAAAATAGAAAAATTTATTTAAAATTAGAAAACAATTATTTATATAAATGATTCTAAACAAAATTTAAGTAATTCATAAATAATACTCATGATAAAATATTTAATTTTATTTTTAAATAATTTTCATTAAAATTTTATTTTAGAAATATCTTTAAATCATTCAATAAAATTCATAATAAAATATTTTTTTATTTTTAAGTAAATTATCCTGATGCTTTAATATAAAAAATACACACTTATTTATATGTCAATGATAATAATTTATTATTATCATTTAATAAACTTCTTATTAACATTTTAATATCTATTTGCAAGCAATACAAGATCTATTAAATAAATAAATAAAACACTGACAGCTATAAAAGTGATAGTTTTGAATGTGACAGATTGTGCAGAATACGAGAGAAACAAAATGAAATAAATATCTCACTTAAAAGAAAAGAAAAAGAAAAATACTATTGAAATGTAAGAAAGAGTTGATGTTTGATTTGAAGTAGAGGCCCAAGAATATCCACATATTAGCAGGGTGGCCATTATTGTTTCAGAGACAGTGTAGAGGAAGCAAATCTGAGTTTGTGTTTTGGGAGTGTGATCTGACAGTGACCATAGCAATAATGTTGACAACGATGAATCTTCCTCTCCACACGGCGGTTTCGGTCAGGTCCCGGAGTTGGTGCTGCTACGCCTCGCTTTCCGTGCCTCAGCCACAGGCCAAACCCCAACTCCTGAACGGAAACCCTCCCTCCCGACCCGCCGACCGGAAAGAGATCCGTCTCGGCTTGCCCAGCAAAGGTCGTATGTCCGCGGACACGCTCGAACTTCTCAAGGTGAAATTCCTTCGTACTTTCTCATCGCAAATTCGACTCGATTCGGCGCTGATACTTATCGTGTTTAGGGCAATTATATCTTCTACTGACTCTGACTACCATGCCTTATTTCCTTTGTGAAGAATTGTCAGTTGTCGGTGAAGCAGGTCAATCCTAGACAGTATGTTGCTGAAATTCCTCAGGTTTGTTGTGTGTTTTCTTTTTTGCTTTGTTCCCTTTGATGTGAAAACTTGTAGTTTCCAGCTTCATAACGGAATGTTACCCCGTCAATGTAGTTTGGTGCTATTTGACCATGTATCGATTTTCTTTCTTTGCAGCTGTCCAACCTGGAAGTTTGGTTTCAGAGGCCTAAAGACATTGTAAGAAAATTGTTATCCGGAGATCTTGACCTTGGTATTGTGGGTCTCGATACAGTCAGTGAGCATGGCCAGGTGAGCACGTGTACACATTTTTGCTGATTACTCAATCGAGATTTTAAATGGCAGCGCTGTTTTGTCTGGTTTACTGCTTGAAATTACGAACAAAACAAAATCTGGCTGATAAGGCCACAAATAAGAATCAAAGAAAATGGTTAATGTAGTTGATAGCATGAATCTATCATAATTTTTGTTTTTTTTCAAAATAGTTTTTATGATTAATACTCCTCTCTCCTCTAATTGTGTGTCATTGGGTTTTATAAAATGAACAAAACAAAACTCTTAATTTAAGTCTTATAAATAAGAACAGAGGGAGTACCATTTCTTTAATCATTGTATCTGGCCTATTTAACTTGTATCAGAACTTTCCAGCTTGAAAATTTGTTTTTCCTCTAAGTTTAACTATACTTGCAGATTAATGCCCCAGGGCATTCACGGGAATCAAAATTTTTATCGTATTATTTTTTTATGTCAGAGTAATGAAGATCTGATTATTGTCCATGAGGCTCTGGAGTATGGTGACTGTCGTTTATCCCTGGCGGTTAGTTCAAACTATGATGTTGTAAAACTACCAGATTCTTGTGTTGTCATTGTTTTGTACAATATGTTGTCTGGAGTATCCTCTATTTTTTCAGATTCCCCAATATGGAATATTTGAAAATGTAAATTCACTGGAGGAGCTTGCCAAGATGCCTCAATGGACGGAAGATAAGCCTCTAAGAGTTGCTACTGGATTCACCTATGTAAGTGTTTAAAGTTCAACTTATGTTTCCGAGTATTATCTTTGTGTTAGAGTTTCTACTGTTTAAAAAGAAAAAAAAATGATCTGAATTTTGTATTTACTGTTCAGCTGGGGCCTAAATTTATGAAAGAGAGTGGACTTAAGCATGTGACATTTTCAACTGCTGATGGGGCACTGGAGGCAGCTCCTGCGGTGAGAGATAGTGTTTGTTTATTAGAAGTCGTTCGTTTAAATTTTCTAATTATCGAGCATGTGACCATTCTGTGTGATGAAAAGATTCTCCTTTTACTGCTGCCAGCATGGTTGGGGTTGGGTTACTTGCTATAGTTTTTTATAGATAAGATAATATATCCTTGTTCTTTTGCTTGATAAATTAGCCTATGAGCTGAAAATGATGATGTTTAAATTTCATGATGTTTAAATTTCAAATGTAGGATAGAAGACTGTTAAACTGCAGATACATTATGCCTGGCTAATTGTTGCTAGAAATGCATAGAGCTGTCACTGATTTGCGTTTAGTGGCTTAAATTATACATTTTTTTAATTGTCCCTAAAAATTATGCTTTTTTTTTTAATGCAAAATTTATTATATCTATATGCTTTTGTTGTTTCCCATCTATGCTTTCCCATTGGTAAGGTGTGTGTGTCAACGTGACCAATATTTATTAAAGTGTGCAGTTTAATGACAGCATTACTCGAGAGTTATGTTACTGCATGGCCAACCTGATTTTGTTTTTGCATATTCTGTTACAAGAGAATGAGGAAGGTTTTAAAAATCGGCTGTGCTTCGTTGAATTTTGAAATTTGATCAAATTACCAATTTCTGTTTTATGCTGAGGTTTGGTGTGGGATGTAACCTGTGGGTTAACTTCTGGGCCAAAGGTCTGTTGGGATTGCACTCTACTGGGATGTTCTTTCTGTGGTAGCATCTAATACTGTGATTTCCAGTTAGAATTTTAACCATTTCACGGTGCAAATGACAAAATCCTTTTGTAGTTATTATATCCCCTTTACAGACAAAATTTCTACCCATTTTATTATTCCCCTGCTTGTGTTCTCAGGTCCGTGCACCTGAAATAAAGTATCAATTACTGCATGATCATTTTATTGATACTGCTGTCATTTATGCGGGATGTGTTATTTATAATCCAAATAATTGTTTGTCTTGTTCTACTTAGATGGGGATAGCTGATGCTATCTTGGACCTTGTAAGTAGTGGGACCACACTGAAAGAAAACAACTTGAAGGAAATCAAAGGTGGAGTTGTTTTGGAAAGCCAGGTTAGCAATTGTTAACTTCTCTGACCTTGACTATCACGATTTGTTGGTTTTACATTAAAAAGAACTAGGCATGGGAAATCTGCTTCTGTATTCTCCATTGTCAGGTTGTCTTGCTCTGACAATTGAATGCTCTTCAGGCTGTTCTTATTGCAAGCAGGAAATCAATGATACAACGGAAAGGAGTACTTGAAACAACACATGAGATGCTTGAGAGATTGGAAGCACATCTGAGGGCGATTGGGCAGTTCACGGTGCATAGTTTATAATTCTCATTTCCCCTAACTCCACCATCATCTGCCTTTATTTTAATTCCATTTTCTAATGCTTGACTTGACAGGTTACTGCAAACATGAGGGGAAGCAGTGCAGAGGAAGTGGCCGAGAGAATACTGAGTCAACCATCATTAGCTGGTTTGCAGGTGTGATATGAAGTGAAGTATTTGCTTTATTGTCTTAACGTTAGCAAAATCTGATGGAAAAAGAAAGTTTGATAACTTTTTTTAACAAACAACTCTCGGACATTTCCATTTAAAAATATACTATTGATTTCTTTTTTTAATTGAATCTTTTTATAATTATAATAATAATAAATTGAGTTGTATGTTTTTCTCTTTGCGATTATCTCTCAGTCTGATGCAATTATACATCTTTTGTCACAACTCTTTCCAAATTGTAAAGAAACGCTCTTGATTACCTGTCTGCAGGGACCCACTGTAAGTCCTGTTTTCTGCAAGCGTGATGGGAAGGTAACAGCGGACTATTATGCCATAGTCATATGCGTGCCTAAGAAGGCACTGTACAAGTCTATACAACAACTGAGAGCGGTGAGTTTTTGAACTAATGTTAAAGTTTTTGGATTTGTCTATATGATTGATTGATTTCTGTTATCATTGGCTAGCTGCCAACTACGAGTTTCACCAGAAAATTCTTGAATTTATTAAATATTCTGCTTATCATGTGGCTTTATACTTTGCAAAATACAATGCTTGGCACTTTTACTCGCATATAAATAAACTTTTCTTGTTCATCTATGATTGTCATGGTTTCGTTACCATGCAACAGATTGGAGGCAGTGGAGTTCTTATATCACCCTTGACCTATATTTTTGATGAAGAAACTCCGAGATGGCGTCAGCTCCTATCTGAACTTGGGCTGTAGCCATTTACGCGCAATTCATGGAGTCACTTGTGGATGTTCCGTTTTCCGATTCTGCCAAAGCAGAAAACGTTAAATCTAAGGTGAAAGCTGCAAAAGAAGTATACCAAGGACGTAGATAACTAATAATCAGTTTTAGCTGGTATGCATAGAGGAATCCTATTTCCACATGGCTTTTTAGATTGAAAATTTTGTAGCAAGCCTGTATCATCTATCTTATGTTTTAAGTTTAACTGCTGTGAGATTTTGCTTCAGTGTAATTTTAATCTTTTATTTGTGACCTAAATCTGTTGTCCATCTTTCGAATAATGTTTGATGCATATGATCTTAGATGCTCGTAGGAGCGCCCACCGAAGAAATATATCTAACGAGTTTTTTTTTTTTGGTAGCTTTGCTATTTGTGCTTCAATATTGTCATGTAAACAAATGTGCTTTAGTTTTTGTAATGTTACATCTCACGTTTAAATATCATATGCATCAAACACCTCTGGTAATGTCAACCTAAAATATTATGATTTTTATATATATATTCTTTGTAATTTTCGTTATTTAAAAGTTATTTTTATTTGTCTTCTCTTTTTGAAAAAAAAATCATTTCTAGTTATAGTTAAAAAAATATTTGTTGTCTATTTTTTGTAATATATATAATTATGAGATATTTTAAGTTTTTTTATAAATATGTTTTTTCAATTTTAATATATTTAAACTTTTATATTTCAAAATAATCATACCGAGCCTTAATTTTTTAGTTGTGGTCGACTTTTAATCATGCATATAAAAAAATACTTATAAGCGATCATAAACCATAAAAAAAAAAAACTAAAGTGAATGTAAATGCGATCATTCTTATTTATTATCAATAAAAAATATAATGATTTAAAGCAAACATTTTTCATAGATATGTACTTTAATTTGATGTGATGATAATTAAGGTCTTCTGATATGTGTGATTCAGCCCCGCACAGTGAGTACATTTCATGTACTGTCATTCTAATTTGTCAAAAAATTCTCTTGACGTCTCAAATTATTCTATTTTATTTCTATCTTTCTAGTATTTTTTTTAAATAATACCAATAATTAAAATAAGCTTATATTATAATTTATACAACTTTTCACAAATTATAAATATATCTTTTATATCACAAGAAGTAATTATATATTAAAAACTTATTCATTTGATTACAAATTTATATTATAGTCTAATTTATATATATATTTTTATTAAAAATTATAAAACAAATAGTTTTCTTAAATATCATTGTAGAGAAAATAAGATATATTTAGTGGGTTTGTTACCCTTTTCAAGTGCGAATAAAAACAATATATAAAATATAAAATCAATTATATTAATATTTATGAAATTTCGCAAAAAATTACAATTATTTGTTTGTATACTTTTGCCTAGGTTACAGTTTTTTTTTGAAGTACATATTTTATGCATATTGGGCTTAACAAAGAAGTGGAAGAAATAAAATTGCGGCTGGTTGAGTAACCAACCGTAAAACCCTTTCCCTCCTTCAAACAAAACCCTACCTTTGAAGATGAAGGGGAAGAAGAAGACCATGACGAAAGACGAGGTCGACGATGAAGCTCCATTTCCATCTGAGAAGGTTCCTTCTTCATCGGTATCCGATTCCGACTCTGACTACGCGGTACTCACCTCAAGGGACTCTGAATTCATTTAAATTTGTTTAACTGTAGCTACATACTTATGCTAGACGCGCACTCGCGTATTCTGCTTGTAGGACTCTTCTGCAGATGGCGACGAATCTTCTGACTCTCTGGATTCTCAATCTGAATCTGAATTAGAAGATGGTTCCCCTGAAAGTGGTGTCTCCGGGGATTTAGAAGCTGCAGAAGAATCTTCTCTAGGCGAGGTAAACCACTTATTGTTCTTAATAGTCTAGCATACTTAGCTAGAAGGAATGTATTTTTTGTTGTTGTTGTTGTTGGGTGTTGCTGGTACCATAACTAATATGCGTAGAAACAATCGTGGCAGGATATTGCCAATGGTGAGGACAGTGGAAGTGAGAGCTCTGACCTCCATCAGGAAGGAGCTGAGAGTGACTCCTCCGAGGATGAGGTGATCACCGTCATTGTATTCTAACACAGGCTAAACTCATTCGATTTTGCTTCATTCTATGAAGCTGATTTTTCCTTACTTCATTTGTGTCTCTTTCATAGGTGGCTCCTCGAAACACCATCGGAGATGTACCTTTGAAATGGTATGAAGATGAACCTCATATTGGATACGACATCAAGGGCAAGAAGATTAAGAAAAAGGAAAAACAAGACAAGTTGGATTCATTTCTTGCAAATGTCGACGATTCTAAGAATTGGTTAGTTTCATATATCTGCACTACTTATTTTCTTCATTTCAATTTCCATTATTGCATTATTTTCTTCTAATAAAAGGTTAACTAACTAGTCAACAGCCCAATTTACATAACTTAGTAGAGGCAGGCTCCAGTTAGAACAGTTGATCACATGGGGAATAGTATTGTGACTTGAGAGGTAGATTGATAGCAAAGCAACTCTATGTAAAACATGATCACAAAGGATTGACAATTGAAAGGTCTCATTTTGTAATTGATTTTGCACAGAACATAAATGTGGCATTTGGATTTTTAGCCAATCCCACCAATGAGAAAAGACTTTACTTGTTATCATTACTTGAAGAGTAATGGGTTTCAAGATAATTATGACCATGGTATTTTGTGATTGGATTACACAAAGGTGGCACATCTTGATTTTGCATGATTCCTGTTGTGAAATTATTTGAGTGGTTTCATTTTCTTATTGTTATTAGTATTACGCATATAACTGTGGGGGGTAATCCTTCTAGTTTATTAATGTTACTTCCTTCTAGAAAACATCTTTGATTTGTCTGCACTCTTATACATTAAGGCGGAAGATCTATGATGAGTACAATGATGAGGTTGTTGAGCTGACAAAAGATGAAATCAAACTTGTCCGTAGACTGCTCAAGAATCAGGCACCACATTCAGACTTTGATCCATATCCGGTATATATTTACTCCATCATTTTTGAATCCTTTATGCACTGAAGTTGATTACAATTTTAAGTACAATTAGTGTGCACAGTTTTGTTCTCAAATTCATCTCTTCTTTGTAATATCCAGGATTATGTTGACTGGTATAAATGGGAAGATTCCAAGCATCCATTGTCTAATGCACCTGAACCAAAAAGAAGGTTTATTCCTTCAAAGTGGGAAGCTAAAAAGGTAACCATTCCTGTGTTTACTACTGTGGAGATATTCAGGGTAGAGAATGAAAGCTGATTGTTTTTTCTTATCACTCATACACTTCCATGTTTCTACAGGTTGTACAGTATGTTAGAGCAATTCGCAAGGGGACAATTACTTTTGACAAGCCAAAAGAAGAAGATGGTCCATATCTCTTGTGGGGAGATGATTCTGGTTCAACAGAAAAAGCAAATCATTTGGCTTACATTCCTGCACCAAAGCAGAAATTACCTGGTATTAAATGTGACTTGCATTTTGCAGTTCCAAAATTTACTACTAGATGATATTTGTTTTGCCTTTGATTTTGAAGCATCTTCATTGTTAATAATAAAATTTTGCTTTGTAGGCCATGATGAGTCATATAATCCTCCTCTGGAATACATTCCAACCCAAGAAGAGATAAATTCTTATCAGTTGATGTTTGAGGAAGACCGACCAAAGTTTATTCCAAAAAAGTACTTTGATTTCACAGAAAACATTTGTGCTCACTCCTTTCTATGATGTTGAGCTAATAAAATAACTTGTCAGGTTTACATCTATGAGAAGCATCCCTGCATATGAGAATGCTATGAAGGACTCCTTTGAACGTTGTTTGGATCTGTACTTGTGCCCCCGAGTTCGGAAAAAGCGCGTAAGTGAAATATCTATATCTAAGAACTAATTTACTGATTTTATTTTCACCCCACGAATGTGTGTATAATCTAATACAATTGGTATAATTCATTAACTTTATTTTTTATTTCTGTATTCTAGCTTGATATTGATCCTGAATCTTTGAAGCCAAAGCTTCCTAGTCGAAAGGAGCTTAAGCCTTATCCCATAACATGCTATATTGAGTATAAAGGCCATGAAGATGCTGTTACATCAATCTCAGTTGAAGCTTCAGGACAATGGATGGCTTCGGGTATGAATGTTTGATAAAATATTGCTGTCTCATTTACATAGGGTGGAGATGGGCCTCTCATTTCATTTTTCTGTTATCTGCACAGGTTCAAGTGATGGAACTGTCCGTGTCTGGGAGGTTGAAACTGGCAGATGTCTTAAGCGGTGGGAGGTTGGTGAAACTGTTAGCTGTGTTTCCTGGAATCCTCTGCCCAATGTGCATATTTTAGCTGTTTCTGCGTAAGTCTGGTTTTATTGGCTATTATATTATCATATACTTTTTTTGGTCTGTAAAATTCTTAATGTTTGCTTCTTTATTATTATATATATGACTTAATTGTGAAAATAAACCAATGGTAGATATTTGATTTAGGGGACAGGATGTACTTCTACTGAACACCAATTTGGGGGATGAAGAAGTGCAGAACCGGATTAAGGAGCTTCTCCACATTGACTCACTTACAGCATCAGACGACTCTGGTCAGTGCAGTTGTCACATATTTGGTTTTAATCTAAACATTCAAACGAAAGCTCTAAGAGATCCCAATTCTCAAATTGGCCTATGGGGATCAGCATAAAATTTAAACTGGTCACATGGGTGAATATTCACTTATTATTTGTATCAATGCTAATGATTTTGTTATGTGCCATACTGGTGGGTTTATTATTTTCTAACCTTGCCTGAGCTAGCAGGTGATAAAACGCCTAGTGTAAGCTGGCTTAAAGATGACAAACATGTGGGTTTAAGGTTAAGGCACTTCAAGGTATTTTCATATTTGTCTCCATTTTCAATTTTTGGTTGTTAGTTGATATTTTGTAGTTCGATTAAACATCTGTAGATGTGTTTTTGCAGACTGTTACTGCTGTTGAATGGCACCGGAAAGGTGACTACTTTTCCACAGTGATGCCAACAGATATCCTTTTTGAGTGCTTCCTATGAGCAATTTATGCATACCTCATTATTCATTGATTTGTTGCTTTACAACAATGACTACATGTCTCTGGTTATGATTGTATATGAATATATTATTTTTTATACTATTAACTTTTTTATTATTGGGTCTATGCACAAAAATGTGCACACCCTTGCATTACACATATGTTACTGCAATATATAGTCTTATTATGTTCAACACAGCACAAGGCATGATTAGCTTTTGACATGTTTAATTAGCATAATAATAACCATTTAGACTTGAGGTGCTATTTGGCGTGTCCTTCCACCCATTGCATGTCATGCATCATTAAGGGATGTGTTTACATTATCCATGGAACTTACTGAAAACAAACTATACTGAATTTGTTATCTTAAGTGGATGAAATGAAACTTAGAGGAATACAAGTCTTATGGACTGAACTAAGGGATCGCTGGTTTTTTCCTTGACAATTTCTTTACGTGAGTCAAGAGCAGTTTTGATACACCAGTTATCCAAGAAGCTTACACAAAGACTTCCTTTCAAGTTACATGGACTTGCTGTTAGGTCAACCTTCCATCCATCCCGTTCCATCTTCTTTGTTTGTACAAAAAAGACTGTCCGTGTGTATGATTTGTTAAAGACTAAGCTCATAAAAAAGCTTGATACTGGGCTTCGAGAAGCCTCATCTATTGCAGTTCATCCTGGAGGTATGATTATTATTGTTTTAAAGTTATATTGTAATCAGTTCCTTTTCTACTCATAAATACAAAAAATTACACATCATAATTGTTTGTCTGTATGCACTCCTTGCAGGTGATAATTTAATTGTGGGTAGCAAAGAGGGGAAGATGTGTTGGTTTGATATGGACCTTTCGTCTAAACCATATAAAATTCTCAAGTAAGTCTTTTGCTAATTGAAAGCAATGCGGTAATATTTTTTTGTGCCATAGATATTCTCTGCTTGCCAATGCACAACATATTATTTATAGTATGAGCTATAAAGCTTTCTGGATGGAGGAATAAATTACCTTAAGGCAGAAACAGAAAGAAGTTGATTGAATTGAGAGTCCATGGGGAAGTTCTATATGTATTTTGAAACTATACCTTGGTACTTGTCTTTACTAATTTGTGTGGTCATATACATGCGCACATTAGAAAATTAGCTGTGCAACTGAGTGAGTCAGCATATGTTATGTTATATTATGGTAATAGCCCTCTTTATTAAAACAGTATTTCCTGTTAATTTCTACAGGTTATTGTTTGAAGTTTGGAATTTTTTACATGACGGGTTCCCTTTGTGTTAGCAAGCCCAATTTGTATATATAGCTAAAAAAATCATTATTTTGAAAAAACTAAACTAACAGGGTGTAAACATAAAAAAAAAACTATGGTTTGATTGTGTATTGGTTAATGAGCGATTTGTTATTTTGCAACAATTTGGTAAGAAACCTCATTTCTGTATTTTAAGGTCTAGACACGGATTATTTTTAATAACCTGATTGTTGCAGGTGTCACCCAAAAGACATCAACAATGTCATCTTTCATCGCTCGTATCCCTTGTTTGCTTCATGTTCAGATGACTGCACTGCATATGTTTTTCATGGAATGGTTTACTCTGATCTCAATCAAAATCCCCTTATTGTTCCTTTGGAAATTCTTCGAGGCCATGCCAGCTCAAATGGGAGAGGTCAGATTTTGGTTGTTTATGATATTTTTTTAAGTTAATAAATTTGAGATCCAATGTTTTGGGAAAAGTTTTAGACCAACATGAAAACTAAAGTCAAGCGTTTTAACTATCAAAAATCTGTTTAAGATAGTAGGATCAGAGGAGCCAAGTTGTTGTAGCCTTGTCTACCGAGGGAAAGAAAACCAAATCAAGCATTTGAAAAGTATAAAATCAGTTTAGGACAGTACATGGTGGTATGATCAAAATATCCTAAATATTGGATTTTTATAATGGGATAAACGTGATGCTACTTGCTGCTTTGGTGTCCTCATATGTTGGTGTCTAGATGATTGATTCATTAGTGTAGCCAATGAAAGGGAAAAATATGCACAATGTTTGAATGATTAGTCCAACCTTCCAACTAAATGATTGGCCTGAGTGTTCACCTTTACACCAAATGGTGTTTTTGTAATATAATTTATTGACATGATTACCACCACCATTGTTTGATAAACCAACCTTGAGTACGTGTTTGATGTATTTCCCATTTTACATATTGTTATCTGACAATGCGTTTGAGAATGATTACTTATATGCTTTATATTTCTTTATCTTACTTGGAAGCTTTCTGCATTGCAGGGATACTGGACTGTAAATTTCACCCTAGACAGCCATGGCTATTTACAGCTGGTGCTGATAAACTGATCAAACTTTACTGTCATTAATATTAATACGGATATACAGGCGTATGATTGGCGGATAACATCTAGGAGGATGGCCTGCAACATTAGCACCAATTTTTTTCCTCGTTTCTTAAATCGAAAGCACCGCAAGCCAAAATGAAGGGCACCCGAGTAGTGAGTTTCTTGCTCTGGTTTTTTGGATTGTTTTTGTTTTCCTCACATCAATTTGTCATTCTAAAATCTTTAGCTGAATATCATTCCTGGAATTCATATCCATCAAATGTCGCTTTCGGTTTGAGTAGAACTTCAATTTTGTTGTAATATGTTTAGATATGACAAACCTATTATGTCAAGATATCCAGCGGATGCTAGTATTAGGGAGATTGATAGGGGATCTGTTTGGTTATATTATAGTGAAAACATCGAGTAATGCAGTTTACATTTCTTGTTTACTTTTTTTTTTTAAATGTCAATTACACCGTTTGCAGTTTCAACGGTTTATTGAGGCTTCCCGAAGAAAAAATGATCGCAACTATTCCCTTGTTATGAAAAATAAGATTTAGTAAATTTATCTTACTGCTTAAGCTTTGCGCAATTGTCTTTTAAAATGATCTTTTAAATAATTATGCTTGTATTTTTGTATTTAATGTACACATTGCCAAAGGTAGCTTCTTACTCTGCTGAGCGGTAGAATTTCCACTTGGGTGGTGGTGGACGGGGACGAGATAGAAGTCTGTATAACAAACCAAATCTTTTAGCCCTTGTCTGGATTGAGGATCGGACTTGAGGGAGGCAAAAAAGAAGGTAGAGAAAAATAATGAAAAATGAAATTTAGATTAAGAGAAAAATATTTAAAAAGTAAAATAAAAAAGAAATAAAAATATTATAAAAAGAATATTGATTTGATTGATTAGAAAATATTTTTTTTAAATAAAATTTATAATATAATTATGTTTTCATGATATAATTTATATATAATTGATTAAACATAATCATTTCTGTTACAATTCTTTTTTCTTGCGTAATTTTTCTTCGCGTATGAGAGGAGAAAAATTCTTGAAAAACAAGAAATACATGTAATTGTTATGCTTTGTCTCAGTTTTAACTCTATTGGTGTAACAATGATCCATGATAAAGGTTCACCCAACAAATATGTCTTCCAAAATTCGAACATCTTTAAGGTTTCACCCACCTTGATTGTTGAGTCTTCTATTGCTTCTTGAGAAATTCTCCGAAACCCACTTTCTTTTCATTTTACTGAAAATTTCGCTTTTGTTGCATTTCTCCCTCTTCATAGGAAGATAAACTTCTTCCTCCATATAATTACTTCAATCTTTTCAATTACTAATTTTTCTTCCCTATTTTTGGTTTCTTCAAATGCAAGAAATTCAAATTTCTTGATCTAAAAACAAGGAAAAAAGTCGTCGTCTTCCTTAGACCTTCTGCTCTCCCTTTTCTTCCTTCATTTTTCACATTTGTTAATATGATTGGCCTCAACAAATGATGGTGTCATGTTTTTAATACTTGATGTAGTCTATATTAGTCTTTAATTATGCTATCATATAGATGTTAAAAATCGAGAAAAAAGAAAAATCTGTAAATTGGTTAAAGAATTGAAACCTATCAAAACCTCTTTTTTAAGTGTTTAGATCTATTCTCGAAAGATTTATTTAGGATTTAAAAAGCATTCTTCAAACCCAATTATTTATATTTAAATATAATGTTAAATATTTAAAATCATGAATTTTAAAAAATAAGTTACAGACTTATTTACGGTTTGATTTTTTTTAAATATAATAATAAATCTGTATTGTTTTTAATTATAAGATTATTTAATTTATATTTATATATATATATATATATATATATATATATATATATATATATATATATATATATCAAAAGGAGTTGAAATTATCAATATCATAATTATTATTAACAAAATCTCTTTATTAGACAATTTCTTATCATAAAATGTTTAACCTTTTTTTTTTTAAAAGAATGTTTAAAATTTTTACATGTTTTTATTTTTATTTTATCATAATAAAATCGCTAAACCTGATCCAAATCATATTATAAAATAAAATATTAGTTTGAATTAATTAAATTTCACATTGTTAGAATAACGTAGCGGAATGTTCGCGTTTATGGACAAAAACCAAGAGGGGTTGAATTGATTTCTTATAAAAAAATAGGGTTTTGAAAATTTTCCCCAAATTTCACCGATTAAAATGCTTGTAAAGTAAAGAGATAATGGAAAGAAGATTACACAGTTGATTTATACCGGTTCGAATCAAAAGACCCTACGTTCAGTTATTAATCACTCTAAAAGAGGATTAACGTTGTCACTATAATCACAGTTTACAACATATTACAAATTGAAATAGATAAGGATTAGAAAACATCTCTCTTGAGTCACACAAGAGATGAACACCTCCTTTGAATCCACAAAGGATGGACAACAACTTTTCCTAGAGACGGCACAACACACAATCCACCAAAAAATCCATTCAGTGATTCTTATCGCTTCTAGGCCACACTAGGTTTTCAAAAGCCCATTTTTCTTCCCTACAGAGAGTTCTCTAGCAATCACAACTCTTAACTTTTGTATGAAAAATAATTGTTATTTTGCAGAGAGCCTTAGAGAACCTTCAGTAAAGATAATAGGGTCTGAGAAATAATGATTTTCGAAACTTGAAGTATTGAAAAAATATTTTTCGTAAATTGGTCCAAATTTGAAATTAAAAACTCATAACAGACGTAGTTAATCGATTATCTTAAGTGATAATTGATTATCACAGAACCATTTTTGCAGAGGAGAAGTTTTGGACTAGGATAATCGATTATCCTCTGAGATAATCGATTATTCCAGAGTTTTCAGAAACCAAATTTAAGTGGGATAATCGATTATCAACCCAGATAATCGATTATTCCAACAAGCTTTTCAAAAACACATTTTCAAGCAGGATAATCGATTACCCTGAGTGATAATTAATTATCATAGAGTGGTTTTGATAAAAATAAACTTTTAGAGGATGGACTATGTGCTGGCTATCTTGGACTCTAATTTTACAAACTCATAGACAAAACAAAGTTATTACAAGTAAATACAAATGATTATAAGTTTTCAAGTCTTTAAGTCCTTTGTTCTTGAATCATCATCAAAATCTTCAAGCATTATCTCCTTGTATGTTCAACAATCTCCCCCTTTTTAATGATGATCAAAATTTGCTTTAAAGCCCTTTGATAATAATCTGTTTTTACTGTCACAACTAACAAAACTATTAAACATGCGAGACAACATTATTATTATTAAACATATCAGGCTTTAAAATATTTTCTCCCCCTATTTTTATTATTATCAAAAGAAATAAAAACTCCCCCTCAACATGTGCATTAAATAGAAAAATAAACAACTCCCCCTCAATCAATGCAAACATAGAATCTCTAATCTCAATCAAAAGATTTTACAATTAAGCAGAGTTTAGATTATTTCTAATATTCCTAAGTCTCTTCTAAGATCATAGACTCTATCATTGGGAAAATGTTTGGTAAATATGTCTGCTAACTGATATTTTGTGTCTATATACTCAATTTTACAATTTTCTTTAGAAATGTGATCTCTTAAAAAATGATGCCTAATCTCAATGTGTTTGGTTCTAGAATTCATAACAAGATTCTTTGTGAGATTAATTACACTTATATTATCACACATTAAAAGAATGTCATTTAGAAAAATACTATAATCTTCTAGTTATTGCTTCATCCATAGAATTTGAGCACAAAAATTATCAGCTGCAATATAGTCAGCCTCAGTTGTGGATAAAACAACACAAGCTTGTTTCTTAGAGTGCCATGAAACTAAGAATGATCCTAATAAATGACAAGTACCACTAGTGCTTTTTTTATCTACTTTACAACATCCATAATCAACATCATAATAACCTAATAAACTAGGAGAAGCTTCAGATGAGTACCATAAACCAAATCATGTAGTTCCTTTTAAATATTTTAATATTCTTTTGACTGCAGTTAGATGAGATTCTTTTGGACACACTTGAAATATAGCACACACACATACATATTGCATGATATCAGGTCTACTTGCAATTAAATATAATAGTGAACCTATCATAGATTGATTTATTTCCAAACCTGATTCGTCCTTATCTAGATAGCAAGATGTTCCCATTGGAGTGTGTGCAGCTTTTGCAGAATCCATTTCAAATTTCTTGAGAATCTTTTTGCAGTATTTGGTTTGTGACACAAAATTGTCATCTTTAAGTTGCTTAATTTGAAGTCCAAGAAAGAAGGTTAATTCTCCCATCATTGACATTTCAAATTCACCCTGCATTATCTTAGCAAATCCTTCACACGAGAAATTATCAGTTGATCCAAAGATAATATCATCAACATATACTTGATCTAACAGAATATGTTATTTTAATTTCTTAATAAATAAAGTAGAATCAATTTTTCCTCTAGAAAAATCATTTGAAATTAAAAAGGCACTCAACCTTTCATACCATGACCTAGGAGCTTTTTTCAAACCATAAAGATCTTTCTTTAATTTAAAAATATGATCAGGATATTTTAAATCTTCAAATCCAAGGGGTTGTTCCACATATACTTTTAACATCCATTTGATATAGTTTAAATTTCATCAATGAAGCATAAGCAAGAAGTAGGCGTATAGCCTCTAACCTGGAAACATGAGCATAAGTTTCATCATAATTAATACCTTCCTCTTGACAGTATCCTTTGGCAACAAGTCTGACTTTGTTCTTTGTTATATTTCCATCTTCATAAAGTTTGTTTCTAAATACTCATTTTGTTCCAATAATTTGATGGGATTCTTTTCTTGGAATTAATTCCCAGACTTGATTTCTTTCAAATTGATTGAGTTCTTCTTACATTGCAATGCACCATTGGTCATCTTTGAGTGCTTCCTCAACATTTTTGGGTTCAATCTGTGAAACAAAAGCTACAGACATACAAAAATTTGTCATATTTCTAGTGCTTACCCCTTTTGAAATATCACCAATTATATTTTCCATTGAAAGTCCTCTTGGTGATTGTCACTCTTTTGTCAATTCAGTTGGTTGAGATGACTCATTCTCATTCAAGTATATTTCTTCTAGAGCTTCTATTATGTATTCATCATCACCTGCATATTCATTATTTGACTCAAGAGGATTTCCCTCAAGATCTACAATTTCATCAAAGGTAACATGTACAGATTTTTCAATATTCAAGGTTCTTCTATTGAATACTCTATATGTTTTGCTAGAAAGTGAATAACCTAAGAAATTACCTCATCGACTTTTGCGTCAAATTTTCTTAAGTTATCTTTTCTATTATTTAAGACAAAACATTTACAACCAAATTTTTTTAAATGTGAAACATTAGACTTTCTTCCATTTAACAATTCATAAAGAGTTAATTTTATGATTGACCTAATAAGCATTCTATTCAATACATAACATGCAATACTTATAACATCAACCCAAAAGTATTTAGGAACATTTGATTCATTTAACATGTTCTAGCAAGTTCCTCTAGTGACCTATTTTTCCTTTCTACTACACCATTTTGTTAGGGAGTTCTAGGTGCAGAAAAATTATGCAAAATTCCATTTTCTTCACAATAATTTTCAAAAGATTCATTTTGGAATTCCCCGCCATGGTCACTCCTTAACACTTTGATTCTTAAGTCTTTCTCATTTTGAACTTGCTTGGCAAACTTCCTAAAGACCTTAAACGCTTCACTTTTCAATGTTAGGAAAAATGTCCAAGTAAACCTAGAAAAATCATCAACAATTACAAGAGTATAGTAATTTCCACCAAAACTTTTTATCCTAGATGGACCAAATAAATCTAAATGTAATAGTTCTAAAGGTTTTGATGCGGAAATAACATTTTTATATTTAAAAGATGATTTTATTTGTTTACCTTTTTGACATGCATCACATAATCTATCTTTTTCAAATTTTAATTTAGACAAACCAACAACTAAGTCATTTGATATTGGTTTGTTTAATTGATGCATATTTATATGAACCGCTCTCTTATGCCATAACCATGAATTTTCTTCTTTAGCAACTAAGCATGTTATATTAGCATTAGATACACAATCCAAGTCAATCAAATAAATATTTTTATGCCTAATACCTTTTAATGCTATATTTTCAGAATCCTTTAAATGAATGGTGCAAAACTTACTTTCAAAAATTACCTTACATCCTTTATCACAAAGTTGCCTTATACTTAGGAGATTGTGCTTTAGCCCATCAACAAGGAGCACATCCTTTATCTCCAAGGTATTTGCACCACCAATATTTCCGGTTCCAAGTATTCTTCCTTTATTATTGTCTCCATAGGTTACATATCTTTGTTCCTTTGTTTTGAAATTCACAAATTTCTTTTTATCTCCAGTCATGTGTCTTGAACACCCACTGTCAAGATACCACATAGATTTCTTGGATTTGGAAGTTTCCTACAAAACAAGAACATAATAATCTTAGGTCCCCATAACTTTTGGGTCCTTGGGGTTAGAGACAATCAAATAATTTAACTATAGGAACCCAACATATTTTCCCTTTGGAACTCCAAAATGCTTAATTTTACACCTATTAGATGTATGTCCATATTTCATACAATAGAAGCAATCATTAGATTTAATTCTTCAAAAAGATACAACTTTATTTTTAGAAGATTTAGATCATTTTTCAACCCATACCCTTCGGGTTCTATTTTTAAGTTTTTTCAATAGAACATGACAATTTAATTGAGATTGCACAATGACTTCATCCTTACTATTGTTACTTAATTCTTTCTTAGCTTTATCAAGTAAGTATCTAAGAATATCAATATCATATTTATATTCTTTACATGATGCACATTCTATTTGTTTATTTTCTTTTTCCTCTAAAATCACTATTTTTGATTTTAAAGATTCTACTTTTTTTTCTGATTTGTTCAACTTCTTTTTCAAAGATTTATATTCAGGTTTCAAATATTTAAAAGCAGTAAATAGTTCTTGATATGCATTTTGTAAAACATCATAGTCATTTTCATCATCACTTAAAGAACAGTCAGAATCACTTACCTCACAGTCGGAAGAAATATTATCATTTGTCATTAAGCAAATATTTGCTTCAATTTCCGAATCGCTAGAATCTGAACTTGAGTCACTATCATCCCAAGCTATATAAGCTTTCTTTTTGAAAAAATTCTTTCCTTTTATGATCATCACTTTTCTTGTTTGGACAATCAGATTTCGCATGCCCTGTTTCACCACAACCATAACATTTAAAACTTAAAAAATAACTTTCTTTTACCTTTCCCTTACCTTTGAAATGTTGCTTCCCTTTAGCTTTCATGAACTTTGTAAATTTTTTAATCATAAGGCTTAAGTTTCCATTCTCTTCACTATTGGAACTTTCTTCTTCCTTCTTTTTCTTGATTTTAGAAACTTTAGTTTTGAAAGCTAGGTTTTGATGTTGACCTTCTTCATCGTTTAGTCTTCCAAGTTCAAGTTCATGCTCTCTCAACTTTCCAAAGAAAGCCGTCATAGTCATAGTGACAAGATTTTGTGACTGCGTAATGGCAGTCACCTTTGGTTGTCATTTCCTGTCCAAAGATTTAAGAATTTTTACATTTAATTCATCAATATCAAAAGTCTTACCAAACCCTGTGAGATGATTCACAATATGTGTGAAACGCTTTTGGACGTCAAAAATTGATTCTCCCGTTTGCATTCTGAACATTTCATATTCTTGTATCAAAGAATTTGTCCGTACTCTTTTTACATCATCGATTCCTTCATGATTTACTCTTAGAATTTCCCACATCTCTTGAACACTCTTGCAAACAAATATCCTGTAAAACTCATTAAGGGTTAAAGCAGATGAAATTATATTCCTAGCCCTAACATCATATTGGGATTTCCATCTAGAAAATGGTTTTGGTTCTTCTACATCATTTACAATAACTTTGGGAATAAAAGGACCATTTACAACAGATTCCAAAAATATTTGCATTCTAACTTTTCAAAATGGATAATTTTGCCCCGTAAGAAGTGGGGGCCTGTTGATAGAAGCATCATCGGCAAATGTTTGGTTTTGTCCGGCCATTTTCGAAATTTGAATGATTATCAAAGCAAGCTCTGATACCACTTGTTAGAATCGCGCAGTGGAATGTTCGCGTTTAGGGACAAAAACCAAGAGGGGGTGAATTGGTTTATTATAAAAAATTAGGGTTTTGAAAATTTTTCCCAAATTTCACCGATTAAAATGCTTGTAAAATAAAGAGATAAAGGAAAGAAAATTATACAGTTGATTTATACTGGTTCGGATCAAAAGACCCTACGTCCAGTTGTTAATCACTCTAAAAGAGGATTAACGTTGTCACTATAATTACAATTTACAACAGATTACAAATTGAAATAGATAAGGATTAGAAAACACCTCTCTTGAGTAACACAAGAGATGAACACTTTTGAATCCACAAAGGATGAACAACTTTTCCTAGAGACGACACAACACATAATCCACCAAGAAATCCACTCAGTGATTCTTATCGCTTCTAGCCCATACTAGGTTTTTAAAAGCCCATTTTTCTTCCTTACAAAAAGTTCTCTAGCAATCACAACTCTTAACTTTAGTATGAAAAATGATTGTTATTTTGCAGAGAGCCTTAGAGAACCTTAAGTAGAGAGAAAACGGTATGGGAAATAATGATTTTTGAAACTTGAAGTATTGGAAAAAGAGTTTTCGTAAATATGTCCAAATTTGAAATTCAAAACTCATAATAGACGTAGATAATCGATTATCTTAAGTGATAATCGATTATCACATAACCATTTTTGCAGAGGAGAAGTTTTGGACCAGGATAATCAATTATCCTTTGAGATAATCGATTATTCCAGAGTTTTCAGAAACCAAATTTAAGTGGAATAATCGATTATCAACACAGATAATTGATTATTCAAGCAGACTTTTCAAAAACACATTTTTCAAGTAGGATAATCGATTGTCCTGAGTGATAATCAATTATCACAGAGTAGTTTTAATAAAAATGAACTTTCAGATGATGAACTATGTACCGACTATCTTAAATTCTAACTTTACAAACTCAAAAAGACAAAACAGAATTATTACAATTAAATACAAATAAAACAGAATTATTACAATTAAATACAAATGATTATAAGTCTTCACGTATTTTAGTCATTTGTTGTTAAGTCATTATCAAAATCTTGAAGCCTTATCTCCTTATATGTTCAATACACCTTAATTTAAAATCTAACCAAGTTTAGTTCAAATATTTGTTTAATAAAATAATCCAACCAATTGGCCGACGAATATTCCTTCCCAGTTCTCTATCATCGTTAAAGATGCAATAGACGGATCCAATTTGTTAAGAATCAAGAATTAAAGAGAAATAAAGAAATAATTTTATAGAATAGAATAAAAAGAACAATAAATAAAAGATCACTCTACCTTCCCCAAAGATTTCTCCACTGCAAAAGCATGGGAGTATCGATTTCCATAAAAATAAAAAAAATATATTTGAAACCATATACTATACATCACATGGTAACACTTTATTTCTATTATTAGTGTTGTACATGAAAAATTACAAGAATGCCTTGATAGTTCTATTCTTGTTTCGAACTAAACTATCATAAAAGCTGAACAGCTGCTATGGCAGGTATTTTTTCTCGCAACTTCTGTGTAACAGCTACACGCACAGTCATGACGCTAGCAGCGGGACCTGTGATTCGGACTTTTACTATTGGCTCATCAATGGCCACCAATTCAAGAGTTCCATCAGCAGCCCCAACCAAGTAGGGCCTTATTTCCTCAAGAGCCTGAACCAGTTAATAAAACATTAAACTCTGAACATTTCACTGTCATATAAATGTTACAGAAATTTTACACAAATATTATTCATTTAGACAGTAACTGAACAAGTCTAACTTGATATAATGACGTTATTCTCGATATAATGATTTAAAAAGATAGAATAAAGTCCATTTTTTGTCCCATTTCTTTCCATAACGTAAATAAGAATGTCAAATATTGGCAGATGTACCACACATTCAATAAACTTAATCCCTAAATTCTAAAACCAATAAAAAGAAACATAATCTTGCTATGATCTTAGACCACGTCTAGATAATCACAATGCTATGCATATAACAAATGAAAAACGACATTTACTGTTTAACAACCTAATGGAATAAAGCATCCTTCTTAATACTGAAATGCATGGCTTTATAATAAGGCCTAATCCTCATATAACGCTAGTAGTTAAACAGAAATCTCTATCCATCAAATAAACAGTGTACAGAATTGAGTAACATCTAAAGTAATACTTCCGTATGCAATTGTTTGTCTCATATTGAAGGAGAGTCACGAGAAGTGTTTACTTTCTATCTAAACTGTTTTTTTGCTTGGAAAGTCTTATTTTCTGTAAATTTTCACTAAACTTGCAACAAATAACTAAGGCGTTCTTCACGAGAAATGAGTAACTTTTTCCTAAATGTTATGAATTTCATACATGATTTCTATCAACTAACGCGATTACAATGAAATTTATAATAGTTACCAATATTTATTATTCATTATTTTTTTGTAAGAAGTATTCAGCTGTATTGTGTAACAGAAATCCCAAGAAATACAAAAAAACTATGCATTTTTCTTCCTCCTTGTGTGATTTTTTGTTCAATTAAATCACTATATGCTTCCATATTGATATCCTCAATAATGTACTGTTCCCCTCTCAAATCCCTTGCTGTATGTGCACACTGTACTTGTGTGTTGCCATTAGAGAAAAGAAAACATTCTACAAGTTTTCTCAACAAACAACAACAAAAATAATTATTTGAAATATGAATAATCCAGAAGAACCAGTGAAGTATATACATAATCTTGACCGCACAAAGAACTAACCTTCTCTATGTTTTCTTCATTTAGCTCAAGACCAGTTTCTTCATCAGCTATTGGTTCAACTGCCACTATTTCAGGGATCTTCTCCATTAATCGCCGCTCAATGCCCATTTTCATCGTTGTAACAGAACTCGGACATGAACCGCATGCACCCTGCAGCTTCAACCGCACAACATTGCCATCAATTTCATGTAATGCCACATTTCCACCGTCTGAAATGAGATATGGTCGAATTTCATCCAATACACTTTCCACATTTTCAGCAGTTAATGGCAGTTCCACTGCTGGATTTGGAGTAGCAACACAATTTACAGCTGTACAAGCATAAAATTAGCATGAGATTCGATTTCCCAATTGTCATATAAACGAAAAATCTGTATAAAGGAAACAATATTGACAAACTAAGGCGGCAGAAAATATTTTCAAATTTACTAAGATTAAATTTGTTTGCTTTTAGTTCTTGTTTTCTAATCTTCAACCCCCCACCACACACACACTTGGATAACATGGCATAGAGAAGCTTTTGAATATTACGTTGAAGTTAAATAAGTCAGCAATTGTAATCCCTCCAGGTATAGAGCTTTGAATCTCACAAACTGGATTGACAGAAGGATCTAGAAAAGTGTAAATTTTCAGAGAAACTAACCAAAGCTACGTGTAGAGTGCGGTAAATGAATCCGAACAGAAGAACGCACAACGATGCCTTTCCTCCAGAAACAAGCATGGCTACCCAAGAACCTGGTTCCCTGCGAAGCAAAAATTGCAACAGGAGGTTAAAAAAGAAGAAAGTTATTCCAGAATAATAATCCCAAAAAAAAAAAACAAAACCTTGTTGGAAACGGAGGGATGGGAAGAAGAAGGAAGTTGTGGGGCTCCGCAGCAGGATTGAGTATTGAGCACCACAACTTGCATCCTCGTGGTGTCTGTTCCTCTTCTTTGAAAATTGTTCGACCTAACAAACCGATTGAAAGAGCTTCTCCCACAGAATGTTTTCTTCTTCTCTTTGATTTGATTTAGTTTTCTTCCTTCCACAAATATGTGTTCGTGTTATCAAATAAATAATTTTATATGATTCTTAAAATACGTTACGGCTCTTCTTTCTGGGCCTTAAAAGCCCATTTGTTAATTTCGGGCCAACTCAAAAATGATAATTTCGATTTTATTACCTTCTTGTCACGTTTCATAAAGAATATTTGAATATATATATATATAATGTAAATATCAGGATAATAAAGTAGGTTTGGTCTATCTCCTTTCAAAATTTGTTATCGTGGTCTATTTTGGTTCCATTTTTATAAGGATACAAATAAATTTAGTCCAAATTTCAAAATTTATTTGGTTTATTTTGGTTCCATTTTTATAAGGATCCAAATAAATTTAGTCCAATAAATTAAAACGTTTGAGAAATATACTAGATTAAAGTAAGATCTAAATTGAATCAATTAATTTTGTTGTAGTTTATTTAAGTTATAACCTATACGAGCATAGGTTAGGTTAAGCATAGGTTTATAAAACGACTATTTTATGAAATAATAATTTTTTTAAATAAAAATAAAAATAATATTATTTTATTAAAAATTATATATGAATTATAAATTAAGTTGAAAAAAATTCACTCATTTTAAGAATAAATATTAACATAACTATCTAATAATCACTTTTTCAGAATTTAATAATTAATATTAATTACTATTTTAAATTAATAATTTCTAAATAAAAAATAATGATAATAAAGACTAAATTCTTAATTCTTATTTTAAAATTGAATAAATATATCATTTTATAATTTATATATTAAATAATTATATTTTAAATAAATATTAATTTTATCAATAAAATTATAATCTTTAAAATAATTTTTTTATTTTTATTTAAATATTTTTTAATTAGTTAATTTATAAAAATATGTTAATATTTTTTTAAAAATTAATCACACTAGAATTGGTCTATTAGTCCTAACCAAAATTGGACCATCAATTTTGACAACTTTATTTAACTAAATTATTTTGTTTAATTCATTAATTTGGTGGATTAAGAAAGAAAAAGTGGATTGACTTGCTTTAAAAAAATATATTTATTATATATTAAAATAAAAAAGTATAATTAATAATATTATGTATAATTATATATTTTTTATTATATTATTAAAATATACAAATATATTATAATATTATAATTTAAATTATAAATATTAATAATTTAAATATAAATTATTAAGTATAATTAAATATTTTAATATATATATAAATATAATAAAAAAGGTAATTTATGAAATTAAGTATTAATTAATAAATAAATAAAAATTAATTATGTAATTAAAGTTGTATTTTTAAAAAATAATATATAAAAATTATATTCTACTAACTAATAAGCTAATCCAAAAATTATATTCAAAATTATCAAATCAGACGGTCAAATCCAATAGCCGAATCAAGTAAAAAATAATGATGATCTATATTTTAAAACGGAAATTTATTTTTAATCTAACTTTATGTTAAACTAACTGGCTAACAAACCAATTTTAACATAATTAAATATTTTTAAACAAATATTAACATGTATAAAATCAATTAATTTAACAAATATTTAAATAAAAATATATTTTAAAATTTAAAATTTTATTAACAAAATTAATTTATATTTAAGATATAATTATTTATATATAAATTATAAAAAAATGCATCTATTCAATCTCAAATAAAAATTGAAAATAACTCATTATTATCATTATTAATTTTTAGTATTTTATTAATTTAAAATAACAATTAATCTTAATTATTAGATTTTGAAATAAATTATTATTAAATATTTATTCTAATATTTATTTTTAAAATATTAAAATTCTAATTAAATTAATTTATAATATATATATATATATATATATATATATATATATATTAATAAAATAATATATTCTATAAAACAAGCTATCCATAAATTTTCGGCTATATGAAATAAATTCATATAAATTATAACTTAAACAAATTAAAATAAAATAGATATGATTCATTTATTACACCAATTTTTTTTTTCTTAAATCACCTATTTCTGCAACCTGACTAAACCTATTTTTACATCTATTAGCTTAGTTTTGGTATCAATATTTTGTTACATTACTTTTGTATCAATATTTTATGCATTTCTATCCTTAATAATAACTTAAAATTGACCACTAATACCAACGTGTCATTTGAAATTCAATTAAGTACGTAACAACCAGATTCACCAACATAAAACCATAATATAAAAGGAAAATATACTAAGTCAAAGATACATCATAGATACCAATTTTGAAACTTTTCCTTAAACGAAACAAAATTAACTCCAAAAACAAAATGTATTATATCACAATTGGTGTCAGAAGTATAAGCAAGTTCAATCTTTACAAACACAGGACAGAACGATTACAATCCAAGGCACGAAAAAGAAGAAGAGAAAGAGTGGTACAGATACGTATCCCATCCCTTAAACAACAGAGTGATGCAGAGATTAAAAAGGAGAAGCATAAAGAGGATTGTGATGATGAGTAGTGGAAGATGATTTTCGCTTGAAGAAGAAATCCCCAACAAGAGGGATAATTGGTTTGTGTTTCCTCGTTTTTTTGGTTCCGAAAAGATGGTCGTTTTCTCCCAGACTCAGAATGTTGCCCAAACGCTGCGACTCCTCTTTCTTTCTCACCACCTCCTTTTTCTTCTCATCTTCGTTGATCTCGAACCTCACCGTCTTGGTCGGCGTGGCGGCAGCGGCAGCCTTCCCGGCGGCGGCGGCCTCGGCCTGAGCCAACTTGGACATGTTTTTGTGAAGCTGGGCGTTGAGCGTTGCGAGCGCCACCTCGGTTTCGGTGCCTCTTTCTTTGAGGAGCTTCAACTCCCCCTTCGTGTTCTCAAGCTCCGCCTCCAGCTTCTTTATGACATCAACGAGGTGGGCATTGTCTTGGTGAGTTTTGATTGGTGATGGTGATGGTGATGATGATGATGACAGCCTCCAGGATGATTCTCTGTTTATTGGAGTGTCGGATGAGAATGGGTTGGGAGAGTAGATTTCTCCGAGGAGAAGGCGTTCGCCGAACATGGCAACGGCTTCTTTGACGGAGGTGAAGGGACGAGAGGTGTCGACGGTGGAGCTGAAATCGGTATCCATTGTTGGAGAATGGATTGGGTGGAAGTAATTGATATTTGAGGAGATGATTGGTTAGGTCCATGCTTCTTTCTTTGCTTCTACTTCAAAGTTTAGACATAGACATGGAGATTGAGTGAAAGAAAGACATGGATGTCGTTTTTTGAAGCTTAAGACAGATACTGTATATTTACTTTTGCATCATAACAACCAACAACTCAACTTTGATGCAACATAATAATCACATTTCAACTTCACTTCTGTACCGATAATTCGATGCCAAGAAATTTATATATATATATAGAGTTTCACGTGTTAATATAGAGGTTGGGACTCTTAGCTATTGAGAAAAAAAAAAAATTTGGTGGAACTCAATATTTATTAATCGGTGGTATCAGGGAGAACACAGTAGTTTTTATGGTTTTAATTATACGAGTGTTTACAGTTATATTAGAGGAACCGTTGTAATTGTCATTATAAACCAAAAATGTTTCTAACTAATATTTAATTTTTTAATAAAATTCTCTCCGAAATTAAATGTTTTTATCCTTTTGTTCGAGTTCAGGAGCCCCCTCCATCAACTGTCCAAGCTCGAAAGCTCGTCAAGTATCCGTTATCCAAACTCCAAAATATTCGATCTTGGGAGCGCCCAAACTCCTTTCATTTCTTACTCCAAGCATCTTCTTGCATTCTTCCAACAAAATCATGGACAATCACTTTGCGGAAACATCAATTACTTATGCTCACATGCTCAAGTTACACATGTCATTCTCTTACATATTATGGGATAAAATAAAATCAAACGTTAATATGTTTCTTTTTTTTTTTCTTATTAATTGGATTCTTAGTCAAATCAACAACTTGTTATCAATGTATTATTGTCCGAGTTGTTTATCTTCCAACGAGCTCAACAGATTATTCAATTATACTACATGACAAACTTCACGAAGTTGTCACTTACTTGGCTTTACAAGTTGACAACATTATTATTGGCTACTTATTCGAAAGACAAGAGAATGTTGTGTCTCTATACCAATCATTATTTAAGTACCCAACAAATCAGGAATTGTCTGACTTTGTGTATAATAGTTTAAGAGATATTTTCCTCGAATGTATTTTAGTATTCGCTTAAGTGTCTTCCAATGTAAACAACTCGAATTCTCCACGAATATGCTAATAATACCAACACGCAGTAACAAGTCAAACCTTATGCTCGTGAGATATCAAATACTCCCTACCAAAATCTGATATCTACTCGGATCAATTCGATTTTCTCCATCAAACTTTGAAAGTTTTGTTCCCGGTTTTCATGTTGAAATCGAACTACAATCAACCATCATCAACTTTTTTAATGTCTCCTTTGCATATACTTCTTGGGATACAAAGATCCATGTTTTATCTTGCCTAATCTCCAAGCCAAAAAAAAAATCTCATCGAGCCCAAATCAGTCATTTAAACTCATTCACCATAATAGTTTTAAACTCTTGGATAACCCTAGAATTGTTACCCATGAATATGAGATTGTCTACATACAGAGAGATGAACATCATATATTCTCCATTCTTCCTTATGGACAAATCGTGTTCAAAGGGACATTGTTCAAAATTATTTTCCTTACAATAAATGTCAATACGTTCATTCCAGGCTCGAGGAATCTACTACAGGTGCAAAGACTTCATCGTAATATATTTCCTCTCTTTGTTTGTAACCTTTTGCAAATAACCGAGTTCAACCTCTTCCTATGCATTCACCATCTTTTTGAAAACCCACTTTACACAAATTGGACGAGTATAGGTCGATAGCTCAATCATCGCCCATGTATCATTTTTGTCTATAACTCAGATTTCGTCATCCATTGCAACTCGCCACCTCTCATCCTTTACTATTTCTTCAAAACTAAATTTTAGTATCAGCCAAAAGACATACAACATGTACCTCATTTGTTGTGTTGTAAATGTCTTATAAACTTTTCATTCTCGATCGTAATTTCTCCTCCTCACCTTTCGAGTTGTTTGTCTTGTAAAGGTCTTGTAAACTTTTCATTCTTGGTCGTAGTTCCTCCTCCTTGCCTTTCGAATTGTTTGCAACTGGCAGTATAACAACTCACCCTCTAATATTCTTGGATGCACTAGCTCTCCCTCTAGTGTTCTCAGACACATCTTCCTCCCTCCAATTCCACTCGTTAATCTCATCAACCTGGACATCCTAACTTATGACTACTCTTGTACTGATAAGATCCATCCATTTATAAGCTTATGTATTCTCATCATATCTAATGAACACATTTTTTGCTTCTTTCTTCTAGTTTTGTTCTATGTTGGGAAGGTACAACTCCATAGGCTATGTTTTCGAAAATCCTGAGATGAGACCAATGATGGATCTTGACCATTGATATTGGAGGGACCAAATAATATATTATTAATAAATAAATATAAAAGGAAGAAAGAAAATGAAAGGGTGAAAAGATAAAATTATAGGTATATACTTAAATATATTAAATGATCATTAAGTTTGAGGGGAACAAAATCATAAATTATATGAGAGTTACAAAACTGATGAGGGGTTGAGAGGATAAAATTGTAAATATACATATAAATATATTAAATATTCATTAAGTTTTGGGGGACAAAAATCATAAATTATATGGGAGTTATAAAACTTTGGAGGGGTCACGACCCCCTTCAACTCTCAAGAAGATCCGCTACTGGATGAGACATAGATGTCTTTTGACCTCTCCATGCCTCCTGACGTGTTACATCATTCAACCTTACATGTGAACATCTATTATGTACATAAATTGCACATTGTACTACTTCCCAAAATTCCTTTAGCATGTTTGTAGTTTTCAACATTGATCAGACCATGTTCATAACAATTTGTTTTTTTTTTCTCTACTACCCCATTCTATTGTGGTGAGTATGGAGTTGTCAAGAATCTTCTTATGCCTTCATCGTCATAGTACTTCGTAAAGGTTGCAAATGTGAATTCACCTCCTCTATTAGATTTGATAGATCTTCCAATCATCTTCTTTACCATCGCCTTGAATCTTTTAAACACTTCAAACACCTTCGACTTTTCTTTCAAGAAAAATATCCATGTTTTCTTCGAAAAATCATCAACGAACGTCATAAAATACATTTTCCCGCTGAAAGAATCAAGGGTGATCAGACCAGATAAGTTGGTATGAACAAGTTCAAGCTGGTCGATGGCTCAATACTCAACACTCCTCGAAAATAAGGTTCTTGGTTGCTTGCCGATAATACAATCTTCACAAAACTTCTTCTCGCCTTCTAAGCTCCACAATCCGAGCACCATGCACTTTTTAGACAGCTCGACCAACCCACCAAAGTTCAAGTGGTCGAACAGATGATGTCATTTCAACTCTATGTCCTCTACATTAAGTTTCAAACATTTCTCCCGAATCTTCCTCAAGTGCAATCTGTACATCCTGTTTCTTCCCATCTCCACCTCGACAACTAGCCTTTCGAGCTTGTCTTTTAACTGTATTACTTGGTCTTGTTTGAACGCCAAATATTCCTTTTCCATTAATTGTCCAATATTCAAAATATTATTCTTGAGGTCTAGGACTCGTATTGATCTAACAAACCCATCCTTATGTAAAAATCAAATATTATCTCAGTCTTTCATCAAAATTTTTGAGGCATCCTCAAACCACACAATTCCACCTTCTACCTTCTTGAATTCTTTGAAGAGATTTTCATATCCACTCATCTGATTGCTCACCCTTGTGTCAAAATATCATATTGAGTTGTTCTCTACTTATTTGAGTTTGACCATCAACAACAATGGTTTTTCTGTCTCCTCTATGAAATACGTCTCTTCCGCCTTCTTCTTACCTTTGTAATCTTTCATGAAATGTACCACTTTCTATAGTTAAAACATTTGTTTGAGTAATAGTCTTTAGTGGAAATGTCATATTTATCACACTTAAAACATTTAATACTTAAGTTATTTATCGTTCGACCTTTACCAGCTCGACCTCGTCCTCGCCAGTTTTATTAACCTTCCTTATTGTCCTCACCAAATCTATCAATTGTCACCTCGATCTCGACCTCATCTTTTTTTTTGTTATTTTCTTTTAATCTATTACACTTTTAAATTAGACAATATATTAAATATATTAATTAATCATATTTTCTTAAACAATATCTTAGTGTCATAATTTTTTTTCATTTTCTCTCATTTTTGTGAAGAATTAACTATTAACACTTTGATTATTATTTTCAGATATTCTTTATCTGAATCAAACTCTCATGAATGGGAATTCTAAGAGTTCATACGAAATCAAGAGGCAAAGGTGAGACTTGCGTGGATGAATAAGTTTAAAATCATATGAAAATAACGTAGACCCGAGGCCATTAGGACCGACCCGGAAAGAAGGAATATGGGTATTGGGCCTGTTTCGTAATGTAGACCAACCCAATTAACAATTACCTAATAATATTTTTTTTTTCTGTGCTTTGTTTGTTTGTCTCTGAGCTTGGCCTCAGCACCACACCAGACCTCACATCATCGTCGTCGTCGTTGTCGTCGTCATTGTCGTCGTCAATGGCAAATCCAAGTCTCTCCTCTCTCTTCCTCGCCCTTCTCTGCATCCACGCTCTCTTTCTAGCCTTCGCTCACGCCGATTCCCATTTCGAAGGCTTCGAAGCAGAAGACGACGATGACATCGAAGATACTTCCATCGATCCCGCCTCCCTCCGATCACCGCCCCTCTCCGACCCAACCCCTCTCGCCACTGATCCCACTCCCCAACCTCCTGCTTCGGATATCCCCAAGTCCCCGCCTGCCACCACCACAACCACCTTCGATTTCTGGGACGACGAAGAGTTCGAAGGCGTTCCCGTCGAACACTCGACCCCCGAGCCTCCCTCCGATCCCAAATCCCCCGATAACGCCACCGCCACCCCAACTCCCCCAATCGCAAACCCTCCCCGCTCCTTCACCGTGGAGATCCTCTGCGGATCCTTTCTCATCATGTTCGCCATCAATTACTTCACCGG